AAGAAAACGGAAAAATAAAATATTATTAAATATAATATATCATTAATCATAATTAATGATTAACAATAAACAATATACTATACGTAACTGAAATAATGAAATGTTAAAAAATAAATACAATAAAAATAGTATACTCGTTATAGGTATTAAAAATTTAAAGTTGACTAACCTAAGTTAACAACCTGAAATACAACACTAATTAGTAAGTTATTAATTATTAATTTATTAATTTTTGATGTTTTTAGGAAAGGAAATGTTTTTTTTTTACATCGGTGTAAAAAAAAAAAAAAATAATAGAATTAATTTAAAAAAAAAATTGCAATTTCAAATTTATTTATAACGATTTAACAAAATTCGAAAAATTAAAATAAAATACATTAAATTTTACATTGTTTTTACATGTTTTTTATTTTACATGTTTAAATACCCAAAAATATAAAAACGAATTATATATTTAAGCCCAGGTACGAGCAAATGTTTATGAACACGATACATATATATTAATACGTATTATTTAATATATTAATAATAAAGAGGATTTATTTAATTTAATTGCCTAATTCTTTAAAAACCATGTTGCTCTATTTTCTCTAATTTTTAGTAAGAAGCAAAATTGTCACAGTCTTGGTCTGGCACGGTACTGGTACTAACAAGACCAGGAATGGATTAATTTTGTCTACTTGACTTAATACAGCTTACAGAGTAACTGTATTAATATTAAATAATACTATAAAAATATTGGTGAAAAGGAATAAAAAACTTGTTTGGTTATTTATTTACTTATTTATTTAATACATTTGTATGATTTTATAAGTTGCCTAACCAATAAAATGAACGATTCGGGAGAATACAAATTGTTTTTTGACTACCCTTATTAAAGACCCGATTAACCGAAATAGGGACCAAGCGTACAATCCAAGTCGGGGCCCTAATCTGAATACGATTAACATTATTTTAAAGTACTCTGTAAAACATCCATTCCCCCTTTTAAATAGTTTTCAACATGCGCTGAGTACTTTTAATATACGTTGGTACTTATATGTTTAGTTTTTTATATTACTTAGTCATAAGTACTTTACAGTACTTCACAGGCATATAACGCCTATAACAATATTAATTCCACTTTTAATAATAACAACTTTTATAAAACAAAAAAATATAAATAAAACAATATTATTTTTGATTCCATCCTTTATAATTTTACATACAATATTATTAAATTGAAATTAAACAAACCAATTGTTTTTTAAAATTATTATGTGTATTTATCATTATGAGTTAATCTAATGAGCTTAAAGTAAAAAGATATATTAACTATAATAAAGGTTTATAAATTCAGACATTAAACACGCAATTGCATTAACTTTTATTATAAATAGTATTTAAAAAAATAGGTACGGACACATTGGTGGCCTTGCGGGCTGTGGAAGACGATAGAGTACGTGGTCGATTATTATATCCAATATAAAACACATAAAATAGATACGCATAGGATATAGAGAGGGATTTTTTAATATACGAAACGATTAATCTTTGCTAATAAAAGACGTTTCTAACTTCGTTATACGTTATATGTCATGATTTGAAAAACCATAATATTTATGATTTTCGTCAAAATGTAATACTAAAATTCTTATAAAAAAAACTCGATATAATAAATAAAAATTAACATAAAAACCTTGTAAAATTAAAATAAACATAAATAGCTCAAAAATTGTTAAAATATTTTGAAAATTTTACCACATCTAGACAAGATAAAGTTTTTAGTCGAAATTTCATGTCTACGAATATTTTTAACTGAATCACAACAAAAATAGAATTTAATATAATACATTTCTTGTTTTTCGTAATTTTTTGCCGGTTTTTCCCAATTATTATAAAAGCCACTTGAAAAATTAAATATTGATCTTTTCAAAGTACTGTTTAGTTAAAATCACTTTTCAGAAAATTTTAAAATCGAAGCCAAATTTCTAGTAAAAAAATTGTTCATAGAAAAAAATAGGCATTGTAATACGTATACATTGTAAAACTTATACATTCTTCACTCAGCTTTGAATCTAATAAACTTATCTACAGATCTACTTACTTCTTTCCCTTATCTAAATTTAACAGTGTCTTTAACTTTAACTGTACATAAATATTGATCAATTGTTTCATTTAAATAAATTGAACTTCGAAACTATGGTAAAGTAATAATATTTTTTAACTAGCGGTTTAACGACGTAGTAGGTATTAACAATTAATAGTTGTGATATTCACGACAGTAAATGTTTTCATTAACTCCCAATTTGCTATCATGTAATACAATTTTATTTTGTTTCAACTATTTGTATTACTAAAACAATTATTATGATTAAAATTAGGTATTTCTATTAAAATTAAGTTATTTTGATTACAATTTTAAGCAAACCCATCTAATTCCCTTTTTCAAGGGTAAAAAGTAAAAAAAATAAATTAAATTTGAATTAGTAACCATAAAAATATAAAAAAAAATTGTTTGTTAACTTTTTTTTTGGTGTTGTTGACTAAATTTTAATCAGTATTTTTTTTTTTTTTTTTAAATTTTGGAACACTGAACGACGGTCGGGGAAATGGCAAATTATTAAAAATTGTTTACCAAATAGCACCTTACGGAATAATATTGGTTCATTCAGCTCTACGTTGAGCAAAATTAATTAGTTTATTTGCTTGAAATCGTTTCAGGTGTTAATGCATGGAAACATAGTAACAATAATCGATTGATATCTATTATCATAGAAGCCGATATGATTAACATAAAAACCACATTATTTATTCATTGCACATTATATGTGTAACCCGAATATTATTGGTATTATAAATATTTAATACATTTTTCGAGTCTAAAACTTAAATTCCGTGAAAAATAATTGTGTCGATGAATTTGTTATATTTAGAAAAAAGCTATCTTGGATTTTACATAAATCGATTTTTTAAAACATATTATTATTACACATATCTAATATAACGATAGCAGTTTTAGGTATATGTAATGACGTAGGAACTGAAAAAAAAGGTGAAATGTGGCATCCAGATGCCCCCTCTCTCTATGATTACATCACTGATACGATAAATCAACAATACGATACTTATTGCTCATCACCCAAAACACACTATCCCGTGAAGTATACTTACCTATCGCGCGCCTTTTAGTTTAGATTTTAATATTAAAATTTAATTTGCCTTTTTGTTATGCTTGTGATAATTATTATTATACGAAAATTGGGCGAAATGCATTGTTAAATATCTATTTCATACGATGCTATAAATCAATGGGATTAGGTATTTATCTATTTTTATCGACTTTTAATTAAACATATAAATAAATAAATAAATAAACAAATAAATACATGAATGCGTTACATAGAATATTATGAAATGTGTATTGCACGACTGGTTTCGAATTAAAAATTCATCATCAGGTAAAATTACAAAGTTAAAAAGTCGCGTTATTTATTTATTTATTTATTTATTTATTTATATATTTACTTACGAGGATTAACCATTTAATAGTTTTATTTTTACTTCATTTTTTTAATTGTTTACCAACTTGTATCGTTGAAAATTGTTTCTCGGATATACAAATACTTACATGTCTATCAGCCAAATATTGACTGTTCCACAATTGCGGAAAATATTATCTAACGAGTCACGGCACACTGAACATCGTCTCGGGTAGAGATCGTTTTTTCCGACCCGAGAAAAATAACACGGACCATGAAGAAAAAAAACTGAACAACAATTTACCTGTTTTATATAACGATATATATTAATATACCGCTCTGACTGTACAAAAACGGCGATAAACTCGAAAACTATATATTTCGACCCATCTGCACCATCGCCAAACTGTATACCGTCACCTGCAGTGTTATTACGAGTACCATCTGACATCACCAAAATACGTGTATATACTTATAGAAACGCACTTGGCGCGAAATAGGACAGAGTAGGTAATATCATAGTATAATATAGTTTGAACAAATTATTACAATATTTATATATATACAAAAAATAGAAACAAACGTTTTTTAATTTTCCGAAGAAAACATTTTGTACTTTATTTTTCACACAGGAGATAGGTATGTTAACAAAATAATAATGTTAGTATAATAAAATGATAAAAGCATTGGTATAATAATATGATAATAGTGTTTTTTTTTTTTACTAATAGAAAAAAAAAATTATTGAATATAATATGATTAAATATGATCAATGAATATTGATTGATAATGAAATGATAATTTCACAATCATTATGCGAACACAATTCGGGAACCTATATAGTGCGGTTTACAGTGAAACGCGAGAGAATACACATCATCGTCGGTATGCGGTGTAGTGTAATTATTATACAATACTATTGTTATTGTTTAATTTTTTTTTTTTTTAGATACACGTAATATTACATTGCTAATACATAATATACAATACATTGTCGACAAAACGGTCATATGCGCCGAGAAAGATGATGATACAACAATATTAGTATAATATTAGCAACGGTTTCGGAATACAATAAAATATTATTGTTATAAATCATTACATAAATAATTGTTGTTTGCGTTTTTTATATAATTGCAGAATCGTGTTGCGCGTAATATCGTAAAATATCGTAATTCGCGCGGTTACGGGACAAATTATGGATTTAAAAGTTAAATAGCGTGATACAATAAATAAAACGCCAAGAAAAACGAATACAATTTAAATAAATAATATCATAGGAGTACAATAATGATCATTATAGGTATTTAGCCGGTTTCGACGTCGCGGTACAATAATCAACTGTAAAATCGTGCCGTTACAATATCGTAATCGAGGGTCGTAAACGATAACTTATTGTTATTATTACTATATTTTTTTTTTTGCGAATAAATCATTCGTAAGGTAATACCTATAATTTGTTTGTCAATGAAATAATAATAAAATATAGCAAGCAAGGGGGATGATTAATATTAGTGGGGTAAGTTTTTTTTTTCATTCTTACATTTGATGATCCTCGGGCGGGTTGAAAAAGTTCTTGGCGTATCTCCAAAGTCTCTTGGAAACATACCACAATACACCTGAGGCTGTCAATTCAGCCAAAGTCATCATTATAAGCGTCTTGCTGTTTTCAGGACTCTGACAGTTGAATACGGACCCGCAACAGTTGAGCGCGAAGCAATTAATGGTGTTAACAGTGCCAAAAACCATGAGAAAGAAAAGAGCTTTCACGATGACTCTGAGAGTATTCGGTTTGTTCGGCTCCTCGTGATGGTGATCCATTATGACTGCTTAGACAATTTTACCGTAAACTACTCGTAGGTAATTTGCAAGACGCGAGAGAGATCGACGAGCGCTAAGTGGAAACTGTGGCCGGAGAACGCTCCCGAGATTCCGGGAGCTCGAAAATAGCGCCACAGATTTCGTAAGGGAGGCGCGCCTGCGCCACCGCCGCCCCCGAAGTCCCGTAACTTTCGGGTGGCGTATAGCGGGTCGTGTTTCGTGACACCCATCGACACCGCCCCCAAACTCGTGGGCCGACCGACCCGCTGCGTGTGCGCGACTGACACCGCGCCTACGCACACAAATGTGTGATTCTATGTTATATCGAAACACGGTGTTTCCGCTGGAAAATTCACTTTTCCGCGGTTTTATTGCTCACGGCGGACACGGCCCGGCAAGACCGATTCAAAATTTAGAATTATTCCTGCGAACTCTGTACGTATAATTTCTTATAATTTGTGTTGCGGTTACAATTAATTGCGTTCCTATTGTAATCTTGAACACGTGTGCGTCATGCACGGCACACATTTACAGTAATTCACTATACCAGCAACCCGCCAGAATTTTTTTTCAAATCTTAAACTCATCACAGCCCCCTTCGACCCCCCCCTAAAAAAAATTCAAAGGATCACGATTGAGCCACTGGACCCACTAGCCTACTTTAAATGCAGTCGAGGAAGTCGGGAAGTTGTTAACGAATTGTATCTTGATTGAAAAGTATTAACTTTTTTCGGATTTTTTTTTCTAGAACATTTAAAAAACAAGCTGCTCTACAATATTTTATTTATTTAGGTTGCAGAAAAACAGAGGAAAATAGGTACGAAATTAAACAAACATTATTAAAGAAAATAAATAATGCTTATTTAATGTTTAATTATTTTGCTATGATACTGTTGACAAAGCACTATCAATTGAACTCCGCTCAGAATCGTTTTTTCGTTAGAAATACTTTATTGTTGCTTACAGGTGTCAAGTATACATTGAATTATCTATAACAGTGGCTGCACCCATCTGTATTATCCTAGGAAGCTTTAATTTAATTTTTTTTTTAATAAATTCTATTGTTCATTTTTCACATAACATGTAAAAAAAAAAATTAATTAATAACTTAATAATTAGTATTGCAATTTGCCGTAGCTTAAAATTGTAATAAGTAATAATAATGTATACAATTATTATAATGAATGTTTATGATAAGACGATAGACATTATTATTACTGTAATAATTACAACTATTATTTTATAGATTGTATTACTTTAAATTATTTGTTTACAAATAGCCAATAGGTTCCTACAATAAATGTATTGTAAAAATATTGAAAATGAAAATAAAATAATTATAGTAAATAAATAAAAAAATAAATAGAAGAGTTGTAATAATATTTAATAATATTGTTATACCTAACGATAAAATGTAATTCTATTATTTATTGCACCAAAAAACGGGGTGATTTTGAACAGTTTTTGATGTTTGCCCTTAGAGCAATACCAACCCACCCATATTTTAGGTGTTACTTGGGCAACACTTGAACCATAGGTTACACGCCACTGATGGGTGTGAGTTTTGTACGTAATTTTTATTTGGTATGTAATCTGTGGTAAAACTGATAATATTTAACAGAAATGTTTGAACATTTAACAGGAGGTTCATGAAAAGTCCTACTTTATGGCCAACAAAAGAAAATTTGCCTTTAATGTGGTATTTTTTGATTATCATTTTTTTTTATAAAGGAATTTTAATATACAATTTTGACGAAAATCCTTGAGTAAAACATGTGTTTTAGAATGTGAAACGAATTTAATTTTTCAACTTTTTTTTTTTTAAACATACGTATATTGCCGATTTAAGAACGATGGTGAAGTCAGAATTGAACTGACTAACTGAGTTTTGAAATTATAGCTTTTTCGAGTCAGTAAAATACAGCGGTTAAATGCATTAAATAAAATCAAACCTAATATAATCATCTATAACCAATGGTCCGTGATTTAAATTGAAAAATATAGGTATACTAATCTATCTGCAAGTCACGTAAACTCCTTCAGATAATATTGTCGTCCATTATTCAATTTTCGAAGAAAAACGATTATACTCGATTTTGTTCTTAAAGGTACCCAAGTAATTATTATTTGTTTCACATCGCATTTTATCAATGTTTATATTTTCGATAATTAAAATTAAGTACAGGTACCTATTATCTATTCTTCTACGACTATATTATAATATTATAGAAAATACTTAAATCGGCAAATGGATAATTACCTATTTAATCAGGAATATATTGTTTTACGTACTAATTTACAAAATTCTTTATTTTTTATTAGGAGTATTATATAGATTGAAAATTAAATGTTAATTCATAAAATACTAAATACTCACTGGCTGTTCTAATCATTTTCATCAATCTTAAACGTTTTTTTTGTATTTCAGCGGCCTATTATAAATCATACTCTTATAAACTATAAATATGTATAATAAAGTATAAAACGATGTATCACTTATCGAGGTTGTCCATAAAGCATGTTTTTTTCTATTGTATAGAATAATATGTGTATTGTCACCCAATTGTAATAAAAATAAAAAACAGCAACACAAGTACCTATAAAATATTTGTATTTTGACGGAGGATCGCATCAACCGATCAATTATTTCATACACCATAAATTTGGTAACCACTCTTTTTCCTGAAACGTACACACCATACTTATTTTAACCACTGCACTATAAGTATCTTTGTAATATATATGTTACGGCCAAAAGTTGAAATTGGACAAACCTCAAAAATAGCCGGGCAAATTGGAAATGCATATTTCGGCCTTTCAACAAATTTATAACTTAACTCCGTTCAGAATCGTTTTTCAAAGGCAAAGACTAACTATTGCATACAAAAATAAATTAAATTCACTTCTATATCTAACTTTCTCAATTTCTCATTTAAAACATTGGTCCACCCATTGTGTAGAGTATGTAAGTCTTTTTTTTATGTTACATATAAAATAATAATAAAATAAATATTATTAAATATGATTACATTTAAGAAATAAAAACGTTAAAATAATATTTGATTAAACAAATATGACAAGTATTATGAACATACCTACTGTAAAAAATTTTGATTTATAGTTTTGTCTAAATGAAGTGTGTGACCACTAGGTTTGTCCGTGCAAGTATGTACTTCACGTACTGGCATTTCTAAGGTTTGCCTGATTTCGGCTTTTGTTCATAAAATATACAACATAATATTGTAGATACCACGATGCCACCAAATATTATGAAGGTTGATACAATAACAAGTAAAAACATACGTATTTATTAAATTATTAATGTTTATTTTTTTTTAGAATAAACACATGGTATTTAATTCAGTGAACACACATACACTAATAAATATTAATATAAGGAAGTGGTATACTTTAACATTTTTTTTTATAAACGAGCAATTAAAATACAACTAGATAAGTCAATTAGTCAATTAATCAATAGTATGCTGATAATTAAATGTATACAATTATATTTTCGATAGTATTATTCAATAATACGAACCAAAAGCACAAGTCTTGAAAACATAATCAAAATAGCATAGTAAAAATATCAAATTTTTTAACAAAAAAAAAAAAATTGTTGCATATAAACCTAAAAGAATCATACATGAGTAATAATAATGATATTACAATTATATAAATATAAATATTAACAGTCTCAAATGAGTTATAATCTAACCTAAAAATAAAATACATATTATGGCACATAATATTATGTTATATATAAAAGCAAAAATGTGTCAAAAATGCCTTAAATAGAAGTGTGACAAAAAATATAAAGTGGACGCCACTTATAAGACTCACAGATATAAAATTCAGTCACTTATAAACTCTAAATCTTTTGAAATGGTTATATCCTTTCTCCATTTTGCTTGTAAGGTTTATTTAGCTACAAGACTCACATTTTCCTGGTCCTAAAGTGAGTCTTATAAGCAGCATCCACTGTAATATTATATAATACCGTTATATATTGATAAACTTTATAGTAAAATATTTTGTAATATTCAAACAAATCTATAATATTAACAGACAATATTATACAATATAGATATGGGTTAACAGTGAAAAAAATTGTTATTGGATTTAAAAAAAAAAATATTTTTCAAATTGGACAATAATCTAATACCAAAGTCAGGCTACAGAAATATTGTCATAAATACTAGATATTTTATAATTAATTTTCAGAAATTTAGCACAATATGTAAATATGCTTTATTGAAATTCTTGTTGATGCCATGCCTCGCCCACCAGTTAGATTTGTATACCCCTGCCAAGCCGCAGTGGTTATTACTATTGAATTTCTTTTTTTTCACCACATCAGCACCATGTTATTCGTCATGATGATGTGGTTTTGGTATTTCCAAAAAACGGTAACGCTTGACCGGTGGTTCCTCACGATTATGCTGCTGTACAGCTGACCAAGTCAGACGATGACCCAAAGACTTTTTGGATGGCTTAATTCGAGGCGGATTACGAGGAGAATCATTGGATGATTTTTGGGATGAGTTAGGTGAACTATGTCGAGAATTTTTAGGTGAATTATGGGATAAATGTCGAGAAGAATTGCTAGATGAGTAACGTGAAGAATTTTCTGGTGAATTGTGTGGGGAGTTATGGGATGAATTGATAGGCGAGTGGTAAGGAAAATCGTCGGGTGAATCGGGAGAGTCTTTTATGGGTGATTTTTGTGGGGAATTATGGGGTGAATTGTTAGGTGAGCGGTAAGGAAATTCGTCAGGCGAATCAGGGGAGTCTTTTTCGGGTGAATTAAGTGGGGTATGATGGGATGAACTGCTTTGGGAGTGGTAAGTAAAATCTTCGGGTGTATTAGGGGAGAATTTTTCGGGTGAATTATTGGAAGAACTGTTGGGTGAATTGCTGGATGAACTGTTGGGTGAAGTACTGCATGAACATTGGGATGAGCTGTTAGACGAATTGCTTGGTGAGTGGTAAGTAAAATTTTCGGGTGTATTAGGGGAGAATTTTTCGGGTGAATTGTTGGGCAAGTTGTGGGAATAATTTCGGCGTGAATTGGGGGAAGATTTTTGGGATGAACTGCAGGACGAATTGCTAGGTGAGTGGTAAGTAAAATCTTTGGGTGCATTGGGGGAGAATTTTTCAGGTGAATTGTGGAACAAATTTTCTGGTAAATTGGAAGGGAATCTTTCAGGTGAATTTTTGGGTGAAACATGGGATGAACATTGGGAAGAATTTTTGGGCGAGTTGTGGGAATAATTTCGACGTGATTCGGGGGAAGATTTTTGGGATGAACTGCAGGACGAATTGCTAGGTGAGTGGTAAGTAAAATCTTTAAGTGCATTCGGGGATAAATTGTCTGGTGAATTGGAAGGGAATCTTTCAGGGGAATTGTTGGGTGAAACAAGGGATGAACATTGGGAAGAATTATCGGGAGAGTTGCTAGAATAATTTCGACGTGAATCGGGGGAAGATTTTTGGGATGAACTGCAGGACGAATTGCTAGGTGAGTGGTAAGTAAAATCTTTGGGTGCATTCGGGGAGAATTTTTCGGGTGAATTGTTGGATGAAATGTGGAACAAATTTTCTGGTGAATTAGAAGGGAATCTTTCAGGTGAATTGTTGGGTAAAACATGGGATAAATTATTGGGCATGTTGTGGGAATAATTTCGGCGTGAATCGGAGGAAGATTTTTGGGATGAACTATTGGACGAATTGCTAGGTGAGTGGTAAGTAAAATCTTTGGGTGCATTGGGGGAGAATTTTTCAGGTGAATTGTGGAACAAATTTTCTGGTAAATTGGAAGGGAATCTTTCAGGTGAATTTTTGGGTGAAACATGGGATGAACATTGGGAAGAATTTTTGGGCGAGTTGTGGGAATAATTTCGACGTGAATCGGGGGAAGANTTTGGGATGAACTGCAGGACGAATTGCTAGGTGAGTGGTAAGTAAAATCTTTAAGTGCATTCGGGGATAAATTGTCTGGTGAATTGGAAGGGAATCTTTCAGGGGAATTGTTGGGTGAAACAAGGGATGAACATTGGGAAGAATTATCGGGAGAGTTGCTAGAATAATTTCGACGTGAATCGGGGGAAGATTTTTGGGATGAACTGCAGGACGAATTGCTAGGTGAGTGGTAAGTAAAATCTTTGGGTGCATTCGGGGAGAATTTTTCCGGTGAATTGTTGGATGAAATATGGAATAAATTTTCTGGTGAATTAGAAGGGAATCTTTCAGGTGAATTTTTGGGTGAAACATGGGATGAACATTGGGAAGAATTTTTGGGCGAGTTGTGAGAATAATTTCGACGTGAATCGGGGGAAGATTTTTGGGATGAACTGTAGGACGAATTGCTAGGTGAGTGGTAAGTAAAATCTTTGGGTGCATTCGGGGAGAATTTTTCGGGTGAATTGTTGGATGAAATGTGGAACAAATTGTCTGATGAATTAGATGGGAATCTTTCAGGTGAATTGTTGAGTGAAACATGGGATGAACATTGGGAAGAATGGTTGGGAGAGTTGTGGAAAGAATTTTTGGGTGAATTGTTGGACGAATTTTTGGATAAAGAATTTTGAGACAAACTTTTAGGTGGACATTTGGATGAATTTCTAGATGAACTGCTGGATGATTTATGGGAAGATTGGACGGGTAATTGGTTTGATGAGTCATCATCGGACTGGTCATTGTCGACCCTATCGTTGGCCAATTGCGGCCTCAACGTATGTCAAGATTTTGTTTTAACAGTAAAACAAAACTCGAACAAAATAGGTTTCAGAGGCTATAAGAATAACATAAAAACAGAAAAGAAAATATTTCATTAGTATACAATAAGCATAGGTGAACATAGGCAAGCATAGCTAAACCTTATAGAAATTATGAGTAATATAAATACAAAAATAACTTACATGAGTATTGTGTGGGTGGTCGAAGAACGATATGGTATTGGGCTTGTACAGGGGTCTGAATCCTACATATTGGTTGGCGAGGCATAAATCAAGTCTTGGCCCGTCTGGTAAGAGGAACGAGCGTCTATTTGCATCACTGGTTGGGTGCCTAAATAAAGGTAGTCGTGGTAGAGGTGCCGGATCTGATAGCATATAAGGCATTGGTTCGGATTTTGGTAGTGGAGGCAAATTATTCCGTGAATTATTCGGTGATAATATAGGATACTCTTCGTCAGAGTCATTATAGGCCGGTTCATCAAAATATCTGTGGAGTTGTAACCGAGTCTCGTTCCGCATAAAAAGGGGCTTCAAATCTCTCTCATCATTGTACCAGAGGGCCTTCAACTCATCTGGAATGGTGTTCAAAATTTTGGGCGCTGGGGTGGACAGTTGCCTATTACTTTCCAATAGTTCTCTAAACGACCACACGACGTATTGGCCGTTATTTTTACCGTGGCGGCCAATCATCCATATTTTATCCACGTCCCGGTCCAAATCATCTTGTAACACGTTTTTAGTATTTGGATCGTATCTATATTTAGGCCTTTCGACATCTCCAGTTTTCTTTGCTATTATGACACCACACAAAAGGGCCCAGTGTGCTGTAGTTCCTTTATTTTTAGAAGATGGCAGCATGTTTTTATCGCAATCAAAACTATACAGGAAACCAAAAAAAAAAAAAAAAAAAATTAAACAAATTACAATATGATGTGTTATGTAAGTTTATTACAAAATGTTGATAAAGTAAAATTTACAATTCGTAAGTATTTGTTTTATACGAGTTACCAGGGAGCAAACTGGTATTTTTTATTTTGAATCGAAAATTTATAATTGTAATATCCGTTTGATAAACTAGTAACTAGTTAGTCATTTTTACATGATTTGTTGCATATTAAACTAAAAGATTTAATCAATATTTATCTCACTAATAAAAATTCCCAGAACACGTAAAACACAATGACCATTTTATATCCGTGGTCCCAAAGGACGTGTCTTTCAATGCTCACCCTTCTCCTCTCTTTAATCTAGGCTTGATTATAATTATGACAAATAAAGTTTTTAATTTGTCAGGTGTTTAATGATATAACAGTTATTAACAATTAATAAACAAACTTAGTATTTATTTCTAGTATCTAAAAATGAGTTACATTTGTTTTAATTACTTCGATATTTTTTACATAAATAGCTGATTATTGCTAGATTAATGATATTTTTGTTTTTAAATCTGATATTTCACTATTTTATGGCTAGTTTTAAAAAATACACCTCACGAATCGTAGCTTTCGTAAACAATATTGTACGTCTTTCACTTTGGTCCCGACAATATTATTTAAAAAGCATAAGCTACAAACCAAAATTTCAAATTTGGGTAGGTGCATACTGATTAATATTATTTAATCGAAAACGCGTAAATCGACTTACCAAACGGCGATCAGATCGCCACGAATCAAACGTTGCACTAATTTAATCGGAGTGTACATGTACGCGGGTAACGGTCGCCCACTTTCTAAATTCCACTGGTAAGGTGAGTGCGCGTCTTTGGAAGAGTATTCTTTGATGTGGGTTATCTTAGTGTTTTCCAATATTTGTATTTTCGACTGGTTCGGACCGTTCACTGTCCGATTGAACGACTTGACCGGGGCCGAAGTCGAAGGTTTATCCGAATCCAACAGAGATTTACCTGAATAGGTTTTTTTCTCCTCGCAGTCGTCAGATTCCGTTTTACAACAATGTCCTTTTTTAGGTGTCTGCGGGGGCGTCGTTCTGGGCGTCTGCGGAGTTGTCCAGTCCTCTCTGACCAGATCAATGGAGTGTTGACCCGGTCGGAAAAAATCAGCAAGCTGAGCCATTACCCGGGCGCTGAACATTTCACCAAAACTCGTATATCCGGCGTCGATGGCAACGTCGTAATAATCTATCAGATCGGGCACCACGAAGTTTATCTGACATTTTTTATTCAATTGGTTTTGAAGTTGCGCGTTCTTAACAGCCGCTAAGTTAATGGTTATGTCTTCGGTGCCACTCACGGCGTCCGTCGCTATGTTAGTCGAACCGTACAACAGCCCCTCACAAGTCAACATTGGACGCGCCGCCATTGACAACACGGCTAATCCACAACTGATATACAAATAAAAAAAAAAAAAATATATATATATATATAGGTAAAGATAATAAAAAAAAAGCCGAGAAGGTAGAACTACAGTAATTTGGTTCATGTATAAGTAAGCATAAATGATACCAAGAAAAGTTCACTTATATGGGTTTTTAAATAATTTTAAGGATTTTCGGAAAATTTGGTCGATTAACGGTTAAAAAAAAAAATGACTGCAATACACACAACAATTCTAACTTCACCATCGCACAGAGGACCAGCATGAGTTCATAATGGGATAAAAATATGTTTTAGTATATTTCACTTGATTTGAGTTAATATAAGTCTTAGAAGTAGGTATTTAAAAATCAAAATAAAAAATTAGTTATTTATTAGTTATTACTTGCATTTGTTTTTTTAAATACAATCTATACACATATAAATAACATTGAAGTGTTTGTCTGTCTGTTTGTCCGAGCTTATCTCTGAAACGGCAGAAATAAAGTCTATGGGATTTTCACTGTAAGTGTATTTTCCCGAGCATAATATTAATAATGATATATTTTAGAGAATGATACATAATTAGTGAATTATGATTTACTTAATATATTGTCAACTACCCAATAAGCAGCTAAAGGCAGACAAATTTTTTATAAATACAACCCACTAATGTAATAACATATTTAAGTTAAATTTGAAATCCCAGTGTGCACCAGTTATTTTGAATAGATCGATAACATAAGAAAAACTACAATGACGTTAACAACTAGCATTAATATAAAATAGAATATTTCAACAGAGTATTTTAAAAAAATGTTTAAATAAAAATAAATTATTATGACTATTACTTACTAATCGATTTATTCAATGATGCTATTTGAAAGTTTAATGTTTAAATGTATATTGAGAAATATATGAGTACAATTAATGATATAAGAAAACAAAATTTAAGAAACGTATATTTATGGCTTGTTATCCGGTATATTAATCATTAATTTTATGATAACATACAATGGACTACTTAGATTTATCCCACTATCAAAGTGTAATAACAGATTATTTATTTTTTGAAAATTAAATTATTAATTTTTGTCCCGTTTTGAACTTATTATATGCCTACTGTGCATCGTTTCGTAAATTGGCAATATACATATGTTCAAAAGACTTTAAATGAACACTCTGTTCAATTTTAAAGCATTTTTATTTAGTCTAACAATTTTATCACACAGTATCTACTGAATAAAAATTACTTATAAAACTCGCAAAATTAAAATGCCTATAAATAGCTCAAAAATGACTTAAATTTTTTGAAAATTTAATCACGTCTAAAAAAAGGTAAATATAAATTGTTCAGCCAAATTTCAAGTTTATAAAATCGAAACGAATATGTTTAACTGAATTTCAACAAAAAGTATTCAATTTTTTTATTAAAAGCCTAAAAATAGCTCAAATGTTTTAAAAATTTGACCATGTCTAGAAAAGACTAACATAAGTTTTCTGTCCAAATTTCAAGTTTTTGCGAATATTTTTAAATGAATTACAAAAAATAACAAAATTGAACAAATAATAAAAGCATTATTTTCGTAAATTTTTTTCTCTTTTATTTGGAAAACTGCCAGAAAAATTAAAAAATAACCTCCCTAAAGTACTATCCTGAGTAAAATTTCCTTTCAGAAAAAGGTCTACATTATACACAATAGATCAAATCATTGGCACCGTTTAGCACTGCCCATCTGTTTATGACCGTTTCGATAATTCCAAAAATGCGGCGGTTCCACAATCCGTGTTTTAACCGCTATGTGTGGCGCGAACCGCGCCACAGTGCGTTTACCCCACAATTAACCGCGAACCAACGCAACATGAGGCATTTCCGCCGCCGAATCGCGCACTTTCCTAAACGCAAATTACTATCGAAACATATTGATTTGAATGAATGGTTAACACACTGGCACGTTTTCCCGCTAGCGATTTGATTTATTTATCATATTATCATTATAATATACAATAAATATACTACAATATTCATTACTATGGCATAAATATACAAAATGACACCCAGTATTTACGTTCGCGTTGAACTTCAAAATAATCGTTTGCGGCTTCTGCCACACAAATAACTTAGAAAAACTGGCGAACCATTGAATGAATTATACAATTTATATCGGTTATAAAAATTACAAGATGTTGGTACCTATGTGTGCTGAACAGTAAATAGGAAATGAAACTATCATAATAGTAACACGAAAACATAAGTCGTCATATAATTTATTTTTAATTGTATAGCGCGTCGAAAACGATTATTGTGTGACGTGCCCCTTAATACTTATTGAATTTTCAAAAAATTCTGGCGATTTTAAAATTATTTATAGATATTTGGCATTTCTGAATGTTTAATACTTTTATTATGTGGATATACTGTTTGACTAAACAAAAATGATTGAAAATTTAACACCAAGACCATTATATCTGGTAAAAAAAAATTCATGTAATAGCTTTTTTTAATATGCGTTTGAAGTTCAAATTTGAACGGAAATCGTAAAAATAACGTAATTTCGTCCACTATTTTTCAGTTCATATGAATAGAAATTTATTGTTGTTGAATAAATGTATCTATCTCTAATAATATATAAGACTAGCTAATTATTAAAATTTCTTTAATTTTTTTTTTTTTTTAGAAATATTACAAATTAACATGTAAGTACCTTTAGTTAATAACTCAAAAAACTTGAACATGGTTCTGGTTTAAAACGAAATTTATATTTGAACTGCTATAGGTAATACGAAGCAGAGTAGACTAATACTTTAAACCTTAATATAGTGAAACTTTCGCTGAAACAGTGAAACAGTCACCTCTAAATAGCGGTCATTATTTCCGGTCCCTTCGGTGACCGTTATATGGAAGTTTTACTGTAGTAAATTAATTAATAACACTTACTTACCTAGGTATATCTATAAATATTTGATTTTAACTATATCATTTGGACAAATTAAATTATTAATTATGTACAAAAATTGTATTTTTACATTCGGAGCGTAGCGAGTTTTGGTTATTGTTTTTACTATGATGTGTGTATTTTTTTTTATGTAAATAACTTTCTACCAGAAAACTTACACTGAAGTATAGACTATAGAACCTTTTCTGACAGTTAATTTTCTCTAGTTGGTACATAGGTCATTTTTTGATTTTTCAATAATTTTGTTTTGAAATAATTGGAAAAAAAAAATTAAAAAAATTATAGGTAAAACGGCAAATGTTTAAGACATGCCGCGGCGGCGTTACTGTTTCCATTGTTTTTATTATGCTTACACGATGTTTTATATCAGACATAGTAGTAATTTTCAATTGAAAAATGACAAGAGACCATTTTTGTTGCATCTTTAATCTAGTGTATGAGTAAATTATTCGTTTTTATTTTCTCTGTATTTTTTTTAGTAATTGAACATAAATGAAAAATATGTAAAAAAAAAAAAGAAGTGGAAAATTTTCTTTTATTATTTTAAATTTTGTTTTTTTAACGTTCAGTTTAAAGTATTCGTAGATATTTAAAATATTAACCAGGAACTTATATTTACTACTTCCAGACGTTGTAAAATTTTCAGAACATTTGAGAAATTGTTTAACTATTTATAGACATTTTGATTTTGTGAGTTTATTTGTACGTAATATTAATTCGGTACTATGTAGACAAATTGTTAAGACTTAATATAAATTCTTGAAATTTTAAAAAAAGGTTCATTATAAGTCGTCATTATTGATGAAAAAAAAAATTAGTTTGATGTAATATTTTTTATTTTTTTTAAGAATTTGAATAGCAAATTTTAATGAAATTCGTAAATATTACGGCCTTTTAAAATATGTACTCAGAACTCTACTCAGGTTTATCGCTGGTTACAGATAAAAATTAAACAACTTTATGTATCCCACCTTCTCCACTATACACCTACAATGGCCGTACCCGTCCTCAGTATCAGCTCTTTTTAGCCTTGGTTACATATTATACTATACTACTATATATATATGACACGATTTTCAAATTCAATATTTTCTTCTTTCGCAAAATTCTATATATGCAACTACTTAAGTATACATTTATTATCAAATACATAAATAGAGTTTAATTATACAGTTGCATTATTTTTTCTGCTTTAATAATCCCGTTGCTCGTTTCTACAAATATTTGATTCGTTACCTATTACAGAGATGTATGATAAACATTTTATTTAGTATAGCTTTAAGTAACTTTATTAATTTTTAATGCATCTTTAAACTTAAAAATTAGGTTATTCAAAATATTTAAATTAGATAAAAAATTATTTAATAATAGTATAATATTAAAATAGATTTTTAAGAAATTTGATTTTTATATCTACTATATTATATGCGAAAGTTAATTTTACGTTCATTTTATTGCCATTTTTCTTATTCAGGGTGTTTTTTTTTTTATAGGAGTAAAACCAAAAGTAAAACGATGGTTTTACAATAAAAGACATTTTATACAGTTTTTTTTGCTAAGCATTTTTAAGCCATTAAGTTCCGTGAACTAATTATAATGTAAACAAATATATAAACATATCCATAATAAAATTATAATGTAAATAAAAAACTCACTTGGGACCTTCTTGTTTAACCCATCGGACAGGCGTCACCCAGCAATGAAATGTCATCGGTTCTTCGGCTGTTTCGATAAATCTGCCGTATAATTTCGTCCATGTTTCGCACACTTGTATACCAATTGCAGTTCTTAGGTCGAAAATGGGACAGAATGATTCACACAGATGAGACGTAGGAATCGGTTTCTTTGGCGAATTTTGAGGCTTGAAACGGTTTCGACGGGACTCGCGGTATTTTTTTCTGAAATTGCTTTGGATGATTTTTTCTTCGGCCGCCTTTTTGTCCAGGGCTTCACGCTCATGCCTTATTCGATCAGCCTCTATAATCACAGCGCGCTTTACTTCCAGGTCGTACGCGGGATCCATAAGTCGGCGTTGATGATCGTAGCGGCTACGTTGTATGCGTCTCGCTCGTCGAATTTCTCGGCGATGGATTCGCTCGTGATTGCTCTGCTGCAAGTAATTGTCGAGTCGCTTCAACTTTTGGACCTGATCCGGACTTCTGCAGCCTTTTAAGGGATAGATGTCCAGTCGACTCTCCGGCATCGAGTCTTCACTCAAACAACTGGATGTTTCGCTGACCATGGTGGTTTCGGTTATCGGTAGCCTACCGTCGGCGACTCCACGCGGTCCGTTGCACCAGGCAGCACCGGAGCGATTGGCGAAACACTCCTCACCGGAAGAGTCCGATCGAAACGAACTGTTCCCGTCACTGTCACTGTGCGGAGCCCATCGTTTGGGCCACACGCAATTGATGTTTTCGTCTATCTGTATCTCTCTGTTCAAATCGGGCAATTTTCCGGTCCAACCGTGCACCATGCCGCGGGGACCGAGCACCATACGGATGGCCCGGACGAATGTATTTGTACCCGGAAAAATGGGCGAAATGCGAGCTTCGTTTTTATACGGATGCACTGATGCCAACATATAGGTTAGCGACAGCCACTTGATGTACTCTTCACGCGACAACTTTTTACGTATCATATCGATGATAGTCGCGATCTCCGTGTTCTCGCTTACGAGGGTATCTATGAGTGACTCGATGAATTCTGACAAATTTCCTTGAACGATGTTTTGACGGACGGGATTTTTCACTGGATTATGATGCGAACTGTTATCTGAACTGTCTGAACTGCTTGAACTATTTAAAACGTTTAAATCGAGATTTAAATTGTTTAAATCATTTAAATTATTCGAACTGTGGAAAGTTTCGTCATTTTCGGACGGAGCCCCACCGCTAATAGGAGCTATTTGATCACTGTCCATAGTATCCATTTGAATATTGTTATCTAAAATCTCTGAAAATGATGACACGCTTCCCGAAGGATACAAACGTACGACCTCCTCGTCGTAATTGTCGTCGAGGAGAGTTGGAGAATGGGGTTCTTGATTCATTGTTAATGTTTCGGCGGCTGCGAGGGTGGTGTGCCAGTAGACGCTGCAGTTGTTTGCGGATAGGGTGGAGGTGTTGCAGCTGATGCAATGGGTGGTCTAGGGGAAGCTGACAGTCTACCAGGGTACGCGGGCGGTGGTCGATACACAGCCCCTGGGCCTCGGAGCAACGGTTGCAGTCCTGGTGGCGGTCGGAGCGGAGTGGGTCTGGGCGGCAGCGGTCGGAGTCCGGGCAGCAGTGGGCGGAGTCCCTGCGGCGGCGGCGGTCGATGCAGCAATGGTAGACGGTGCAGCCCGGGCAACGGTCGATGCAACGCTAACCGGTGAATACCAGGCGGCGGTGCCCTAGGGGCAAAATTGGGGCGCGGTGACGGTCCCGTTGTTGATTTTCTTTTATTACCTGTAGATAAACGAAAAATTACGTTAAAATTCGTACCACGTACACGTCTGTGCCGCGGATTAACTGGCAACGTTTGTGGTAGCCGTGGATTTAGGGGTGGTGGTAGTCGCGGATTTAGGGGTGGCGGCGGTGACCGCGAATTAAGGGGTGGCAAAAATGCCCGTTGATTATGGGGTGGCGGCCATGGCCACGAATTAGGCAGTGGACGAGTCTGGCGGCACCTCACTACATTTAGGTGGCCTGGCGATGGCGTGGGAAACGGAAATCGATCAAACGGACGGGGTGGCCCGGTGCCGACGTTTAGGAACACCGGCCCACGCAAGCGCAGGCGTGCACGAGAGATGTTCGGTACTTGATGCGTCGCCGCCGCTCGACGGACATTCGGGTGAGTCGCACGTGCGCCCTGAACAAGCCGTCGGCGATCGCGCGACTCTGAGCTTGGATGAATGGTGAATACGGAAAATCGACCGTCAGAGTTAAATCCCAAGACATAAATCGGTAACGGCCCTCAAGGGTCAAGAAAATGATGAGCTTCGTCGACACCGTCGCGTCGTCCAGGGTGCCGGTGTCACGCGTGCGGAGCACGAGTTTTTATAGTGGGCCTACGGCCGAATGAAGCGTAAATATGCCCGTAAACACACGGACAAGCGCACAAACACGTACACGCACACGCACCACTATCAAACCTCGTACAAAGAGGAAGGGGAAAAACGAACGTCAATGGAATGGACTTATACGAACAACGGATAAAATTATGAGAATGCAATAACGATGCACCGAAAAACCAGTACGTTGGACGCGCACTCACTGAATGAATTACGCGCAGTCACCATCTATACATATACACGGCAGATATGGCCGCCAACCAACCTCAAAACTTGACGACTGAAGCGCCATCGAACGGACGACTCCGATTCAATTCCACTAGAGTCGCCATCTGGTACACATCTGGCATATGAGACACCTCAGCAATAATATATCCAGACACTACTACAATGCGCATAGCAATATAATATATGTACAGCTGCAATTCCATACAAAATCTGTTGGTACTTATACTTATTAGTCGAGATGTTTAATTTTTTAAAAATACATTTTCCCCATTATATTTTCTATAAATGCAAAAACAAATGTTTTATTTATGATTGAATTTAGATACTGAAATTTTTGTATTGGTGAATAGAAAAAATGAATTCATTGGATTTTCTAAATTAGTTTGATAATTTAATTAATTTAGTTCTAAAATTGTATGATACTGTATTTTAGTAAACTAGTGAAACCTTAGGATATTAGGTTGATTTAAAAAATAATATATTTCTAATTAGTGAGGTACCTAAGAAATCATTCATCAAATTAATTGGTGTCTTAATTAACTCCAGTACTAATCTAGATTGCTTTGTTTTGTAGGTACATTAACATCACTTTATGTAAAATATAATTATATAATTTAAAATGTTATAAATGTGTTTTATTTAAAATATATACAAATAAACATTATTATTTAAACACTAGGTATCATATGTGCATGTTAATACTATTGTATAGTGCATTAGTACCACATTAAAATGGAACATTTGCTTAGCAAAGTGGTTGTATTGCAACAAAAATATAATTTTTTAAATTTTATTTTATAGTAATAATAAACATGTTCGAATTGGTTTTTAGATTTTAATTTCTTTTTCAACTCCGAAAATGTTTAATCTATCTTTAATCCTTTTATTCTGTAGACACTATTTATAAAATAATTTTTTTTATTTTCTACATCAATAATATTAACAACTAGTATAATAATTTATTTTTAAACAATGTGCATCAGTTTAACAATGTTTACTATTTATACAGAGTGATCAATTCTCCATAAGATATTCATTATCTCAGAAAGTATTAAAAAAAATAAAAAGTAAAGAACATTTTTTGTTTTATTAATTAATAACAAACAAATGTTACATTTTCATTATTTTAGGGAGTGAAACCACAACCCACATTAGATTTACAAATAGCTACTTATATTACAAATTCCTTAAATAAATTAAGCTTTTGTTCAGATTAAATTATTTTTTGACATTTTTAATTTCTATTTACCAGTTGAGAGATATTCTACTTTTAAGTTTGGGTAGGAGTAAAGCTGTGGAGAATTTGTGTGGAATTTGAATAGTACTACTCATTCTTACAGAGTGAATTTAAATATACCTTAAATGAGCAATGTAACATTCTAGAGCTCCTTGTTTCATAAATTGTTCGGAAAAATAAATAAATATTATTTTTCACGATAATAACATTTAAAATATAAATCAACCTATCTTTATATATAAAAATAATGTCTATCTGTCTGTCTGTACATCATTTAGACTCAAAAACTACTGGACCAATTTTAACTGAGTTTTTTACAAACAATTTTAGTGGTCCGGAAAAGATTTATAGCCATTGAAATTACTAAAATTCAACCCTTAAAGGATAGCTGACACAGGAATTTCGGTATTTTAAGGTACAATTTTTGTTGATTATGTGATATCTGGATATTTTTTGTTAATTTCATTATAATTTTGATAACTGATCAACGCTCAATCAATTTAAGTTAATTTAATTTCAATGTCATTTCTGTGCAGTTATGCCTCCCAATAACAATAATAATAATAAGAATAATACTAATAATAATAAGAATAATACAAATAATAATAAAATATCTAGACATCTAGAAATTTACATACAACCTATAACTGTAATATAAAAACTGATAAATAAAAGTTATAAGTAACACAACAAAACTGCACACTGGCGAAGCTTGATTATTCAGCCTGTAACCATGTAAGTAACTGATATAATCTGTTAATACCAAAAGCAACATAATAGACATACATAATAGTAATAAACATAATATCAATAACAATAATACAGTTATTATAAAAAATGTAAAAAAATGTGTGATTATATTATTGATAATCTTATTAAACCTTCAGTTCAGTCCTTAATGTTATTCACCCAATCTAATTGGTACCTAATAAGTACAGTAATAAAAATATTTTTTTAAAAAAGGCCTCCAATTTGTGCAACTCATTTTAAATTTAATTTATGACAAAAAAAATCAAAGCAACCATTTCATTCCTCTCAAAAGGAGGCTCAAATTATGTTACTTTGAAAATAAATTGTGGTATTTAAGTTGTAATAATTATCTAATTATTAGAGTTAAAACACAAATAACAATAATTACAGCTGAGAATATTTTGGAAGGTACAGTACATTACTGTCATTCTAAAATATTGTCAAAGCTTACAGCTAGGTATTAAATAAAGTAAAAATTAACATGGCTGTAATTTTTTTGTTCGAAAATAATTTAGAAAAAACTGAAATATAATAAACTGTCAAAAATATTTTTCTCTATACATTTTGTTATCGGAGTTATGGAGTTAAACTCAATTACTTTAACCTAAACATCACAATTGATATTCTGATAAGCAATTTAATTTTGATATAATCTTTTCTTGGTAGTATTATTGTAGGTTGTTTTGGTAGAAAAAAGTGATAACACTAATTATTACAAATTATTTATCCAAATTTTTCTGGTAAAGCACGTAACTTTACAAAATGTTCAAAAATTACACCAAATAGTAAATACTAAAATAAAAATTTTTTTAACTAAATATAGTTAATAACAGAGATAATATGAAATATTCTGTTTTTAAATAAAACAGAAAGTACAATTTTTGTCAATAGATCATACTATAAATTAAAACTGTACAGATATTATAGGTACCTTATATTGTTGTATTAATTTATATATTAAAACTTTTAAAAATTAAAAATGTACTTGTACTTGGGCCACAGTCCATACATTTTGTAAATAAATAAATATTATAATATAAAATAATTTAATATTGTCATAAAAATAAGTAGTTAAGATACTAGCAATTTTTTTTCTTATATTTACAAACTAATTCAGTAAATACATTTTCTAGTACCTATACAGAAACTCACTCAATATCATTAAGTATATGGTCTACCTCTGTAGTGTGGTTAACAGCCCTTGATGAAATATATTAATTTTCAATGTACTTGAATGAAACAATAAATATTCATAATCAAAAATTGTTTTTATACAATTAAGTCATAACTTTTCTATAAATTAATTTTTAACTAAATAAATATGTCATTTTTTTGGTAAAGTTGTGTTCTTTAATTTTCATAATAGGCTGTTCACTCATGTGCAACTCACATTAATTTCAAGATAAAACTTTTTTTGACACAAATTGAATATTCAAAAATAGACACATCATCTTTTTAATATTATGTAGGTATCTGTAGTTTAATTAAAAATATACATATATATACTGATACATAATTAAAAATACACATAAATTTTACTAAAAAAATATAAATTATTTAATAAAATATAAAAATTTGCAATAAATTGATATTGTGCATTTTTGAAACTAATATTATTGTACACACATTATACAGGTATTAAATAACATAAAATAAACTGTTTTATAGGGTAGACTAAAGGCAGAAACTATGAAGAATTAGTCTCATCCCCTAAAAATAGTGGATACTTTCCTATGAAATACATAGGTATTTTATATAATAGCCAGTCCATAACAATTATACAATCTTATATAAATCTCAGATCTATACATCTCAATTTTGTACGTGGGAAAAGTATTAATATTTATATACAAATATATATAGTTGATAAATTTTGATTTACAAATAGATATATAATTTTAATAATATATAAATATCATAATAAATTGTTATAAAACAATTTATCCATAAAACTATGTATTATTATTACCTATTATATTATAAATTAATAATTATTAAAATTATAAAGTTTGTTATTAGTTAGTTTGGATTATTTGTTGTTTATTAGGAACCCTGATTTTTAAGCAAAACCAAACTTTTCTTGATTTAAAAACTGAACATACAATATTTTATTTGAACCCAAACCAAACTATTAAAATATTTTATGGAACCCAACTTCAAATAAAGTAAAAAGATTCGAAGTTCAAAATGTTAAATGTCAAAAAGATATTAACATTATTAGCATCTATTGGGGGCAAGGTGGGGATATGTGCCCATTTGACTTTTATTTTAATTTTAATTTGCATGATTTATATTTATTGACATAAAGCCAGTTTCAGTTTATTAGAAATTAAAATGCCTACCTACTCATAGTTATTTTATAAATAATTATATTATGTAGTTATGATGAATACTATTGTAGAAAATAGGAATACAGTCATACAATATTATGCTACTTAAACTTACATATAGCAGTTAATAAGTTAACAGGAAGGTAAATATTATGGAGGAAATATTATTAAGGAAAAATACTATGTCTCCCCTGGATTTTCGAAGATGGACACAATTGATTAACATCATATACCTAATTCCAAGCTTTGATTAGATGGAAAAGATTGGGTTCATAGGTATATTTTTATTCTAAAAATATATGTACACAATGCATATAGCAACTTTTGTAATTATTAATTAATATTTTGTGTGTTGTAATTTTCACAGGAATTCCCAATAATATCAGACTATAATAAGTAGTTTATTCTTGCTCCTCTGCATAAGTAAGACCTCTTACATTGTTAAATTTGTCATCATTTGACATTTATTTTTGGCTATTTTTGTAATGTAGATACTTGGAACCTTTTGGACCAAACAAAAGTTCCACACAGGCGGTCATCCAATTTAACCCATGCTGTAGGAAAAGTGTTTAAAAATACTAGCATACATTTAAGCATACTTATTGATTATCATATTTATTACTTCATAGATTTTTATAGATCAAGTAAAAATCATAAAAAAAAATGTACCAAGTAAACAGTGTCAGTAATAATTATCACTAGTAAGCAATGGTGACTATCTTCCAAAAAAATATGTTTTGTTAAGGATATTTCTGAAAACCCATAAACCTACCTGCATAAAATATATCATTCATGCCTAGTAGAAAACTAGAAAATATAAAAAACCATGCTATAAATTTAATTATAGGTATCATCAATCAAGTAACCAAAACACCTACCAAAAATTGTATTTCATTGGCTACCCAACAAAACCTTGTAAGCTGATTTTAACAAATTTTACACAAGTATGCCAAGAAAACTATAAGGAAAATCAAAAAATTGGTAGCTAACTAAATATTCAAATATATTTTGCTGAAGCTTGAATAGCCAATGGTCACCACTGTTAGTAAGATACTAAAATATTATACAAAATATTGGTTTTTTATATTTTTTTTTTTTTGGTATATAGATAAATTAATAATCAGTATCATAAATATAATTATTGAATAATGGGTAATTTCCTGTTGTATGAGACAAAGGGGTTTTTTTGAAGGGGTTTTTTTGAGGGACTTTTGTCAAGGGAGTGGGTCAACTTATGGTGAATAAAGTATACCACACAAAACTACTTTCATTACAGACTACCATAATATCATGCCCTGTGCAATTCACAATATCTATTATTAATTTTTCCTTTATTATCACCTTTTTATAAAAGTAAACTTTTTTACAGTCATTTCGCTGTAGTCATCTATTGGTTTTTTTGTTTTATAATTAATTTTAGTATGGATATGTGATCTCTAACCGAGTGAAGAAGAAGCAGTAAGGCTGCTTTAGGAACATGGCATTTTACACACCCAAAAAAAATGCATGACACAAAACTATTTGTTTAGTATATTAGTGTATAAACTAAAATTTGGAAGTGTAATACTAAAAATTGTCAAAAAATAAGTAAGTGTCTGAAATAACACTTGGTTCGAATAGGGTCATCTTTCATTTGTTACTGTTATACAATTTATTTATGCTTAGACTGAAGAATCAACTTCTATAAAATGGTGCGAACAAAATTTAGAAATAAACAAAAATACAATGATAAACTGGAATAACTATTTGTGGGAAGTTTGTGTTCTTAGGATAAAGGCAAAATACCAAGGAAAAATTGTTGAAATACATGAAAGTTTGTTTTCTAAACGCATAAATAATGCAGGCAGAATACTACCACAACAATAGATTTTTGGAGGACTATATAGTAAAACTAAAGAATGTATTTTTGCCCAGGTTCCTGATCAAATCATATTTATTCTCCTAAATCCAATATTATTAAATATAAAAAGGGAACAACAATTTATTCAGATTATTGGCGGGCATACAACTCTAACAAACTTGAAAAATCTGGTTTTTAACATTTGACAGTAAATCACAGCAAAAACTTGGTAGATCCTCAAAGTGGATCAAACATTAAAAATGTAAAATATATCTGGGGATCAGAAAAATGACAGAACAAAAACATCATAACACAACAGATCATCATTAAAAATCATATTTATCTGAATTCGTGAGAGGATAAAACATAAAAGAATGTAAATTCACTGAAATTTTAAAAACAATAAAAATCCAATTTCCTCCAATAAATTATGTAAAAAAAACTTTTAATTTTCGTATAAATTCAATTTATTATTATAATTTTTTTTTTATGTATATATAAATAACAATAGTAAATGAAAATAATGATTACTGTGTGTTAATATCTTTTCCTTATTTAATTTGTTTACATGTACATAGAAATACTTTAGAAAAAAACAGTATAAATAAAAATAAAGTATTCTGTGATAATAAGAAAGTGGGCAAATTTTGGTATACTTATAACAGGATTGTGATGTTTCTCAAAACAACTGTGGTTTTCTGGAGATAGTCGGGGTGGAAGTCGCGATAATAGCAGTAGTCTCCTATAACAGGAAAGTATCAACAAATGAATGACCTATTCATCTTTCTATTAAATATTATATTTATTTTTAATTGTACTTTAATTATTTGTTTGTCTTCAAGGTCTCTGCACCTAGCCTCTTTACTAAGTTCTATGCTGTCCTACTGGAGTGTATGAAGTTTAAGCTAGCAGTAGTTTCTTGCCACTTCTTGCGTCTATTTATGTTCAATGTTCTTACAAACCTATCTGACAAAGTAAGTCCTAACGATGTCGCAACTAGATTAATGAGAGTGGCCAAGACCAAAATGGACAGAGAACAAAAAACAGACATTAAGAAACGCTTACGGTCAAAAAAGAAAGAGATGGTAACAAGTGCCATCTACAGCTCGGATTTCTCTACAGACGATATTAGAATGGTACTTAAAGAAATAAAACTGAATAAAGCAGCTGGGTTTGATGGTATATATTCGGAATTTTTTAAGCATAGTGGCCATAAAACGCAAGCATGGCTAGCTGCTTTTTGTAGTGACATCTTGGACACGGCGTCTTTGCCGAACTTGTTCAAATGTAGCATTCATTGACCTTACAGCAGCGTATGACACGGTGTGGAGACATGGACTGTTATACAAGCTGGCTAACGTAATTCCCTGCAAAAAGATATTGACACTCGTAGAAAACATGTTAACCAATCGCAGATTCCAAGTTTTCATGAGGGATAAAAAGAGCAGGTGGAGAATATCCAACAATGGACTGCCGCAAGGCTCAGTGTTAGCCCCTACGTTATATCCATGACCTACCCATTACGTCCAGTTTTAAATTTCAATATGCAGATGACATAGCTTTGGCTTACCAGTGCAAGGACATGGGTGCAGGGAGCGAAATGTTGACCAAGGACCTAAAAATAATGAGTTATTATTTTTATAAGTGGAGATTAAATCCCAACCCGTCCAAGACAGAAGTATGTGCTTTCCATCTCTATAACAGACAAGTGGATAGTGAGCTTCAGGTACAGTTTAACAACACGATAATAAAACACAACCCCTCTCCTAAGTACCTAGGAGTGACCTTAGATCGCTGTCTAACTTTTAAGAAGCATTTAGAAAATTTACAGAAGAAGGTGAGATCAAGGATAAATCTTTTACATAAATTAGCTGGGACAGGATGGGGGTCAGATGCACATACACTAAGAATTGCATCCCTAGCACTAGTGTATTCTACAGCTGAATACTGTTCAGGTGCTTGGCTTAGATTAGAAGTTCTGGTTAGATTAATTGTAAAACAGGATCCGTTAAACAATTCTATGTTATCACAAATACATCTGAAATCTAGAAAACCCCCTTGGATCACTGCTCAACACCTTATTCTGACCAACTTTAATTCAACAACGGAATGGCGTACTGCATGGAATAATCTTACATTCAAGAATGCTGACTTAGTCGTTGACCCTACACAACCTCTGGAGGGTTTCAAACTACCCTGTCAAGAGTGGGTATCTTTAAACCGTATCAGAACCGGTCATGGAAGGTGTGGTTATTCTATGCACCAGTGGAAGCTTCGAGATAATCCTGCTTGTGATTGTGGAAATGCGGCTCAGACAATACAACACATTGTGTCAGGCTATCCTAAAAAAAAATTCGAAGGTAAAATGAGTGATTTCTTTAGATTAACAAGTGAAGCTCTTGATTGGATAGCTACCTTGGACATCAGACTGTAGAAAAAATATTGAACTACACAATAGATATTGTTATATTATTATCATTTTTATATGGATTATTTTATTTTATTCTATTATTTTTATGTTTTGTTTTTTTTATTTCATGTTACAACTTTTTATGTATATTATGTGTCAAAATATGCCATACGATAAATAAATAAATAACCTATTATATCTTTAATCGTGTATATTAGTAAGTTCGTCATCAATGTAATGATAATAATATAATTGTAATTTATCATTATAATTTATCAAATGATGAAACATCTTATTTTTGTATAAAAATAACATTTTTAAAATAATGGGCACCAGAAATTTTGGTATGGGCAGCTGCCCACCCTACCCATACGCTAGAACCGCCACTGGCTGAAGGTAAATGAAGCGGGTCTTCTTTCTCGATCGACTGGTTCCTGTGTGGTGGGTGTGTTGGTAATTGTTACCTTAAGATTTTTTTTGATAGATATATCTGTGTTAGAGTGGGCGCTGTCTGTTTTTCGAGTATTCTGTTCATTAAGATCCATGACATTTTTAACCGGAGTGGTGTTTGGGTTATTAAATCGAATCGGTTCGGATTTATTATCTATTGCATTTTTACAGTGATTCGAAGTATGACCTGTTTGTTTACATAAATAACAAGTCACGGTATCGTCAGATAAGAATATACGATATTTCGTTTGGTCGAATTGTAATAAAATGGAGCTCGGAATTTTGTCACTGTGCTCAGGGTGTATATGCATTTGACGCCTGAAACTTCCTATATTACCGAACTCGTCATTAGAGAATCCAGCTTTCATAAATGTAATTGGTGATAACATTTTAATGGAAAGGTTGTTAATTTCTTTTGCGATTATGTCATGTGAAATTATCGGCTGGACATTTGATATTATTATGCGTTTAGCCGGGTTGATAAGACGACGATACGGTATTTCTGTGTTNTTATCATTTTTATATGGACTATTTTTTATGTAGATTATTTTATTTTATTCTATTATTTTTATTTTTATTTTTTGTTTTTTTTTATTCCATGTTACAACTTTTTATGTATATTATGTGTCAAAATATGCCATACGATAAATAAATAAAATAAATTATTTGTTTAATCTTTAATAAGTTATCATGTATTAAATATATAACATAACATAAACAATAATTTGTCTGTATAATCAGTAAACAATTTGTTGTTCTAAAAAGGTAAGCAAAACACACAATTTATAATTATTTATTTAAAAAAAAATATTAATATAAAATAAATAAATTATATTTTATTAAGGAAAATTGTTAGCTATATATTTTACAAACAGGTATTGTTGATCACTTAAATATTATTGTTATTAAACTACCTATGTATTTAATGCAAAGTTGGAATGTGTAATAAAGTAAAGTATAAAACATGTATTATATATATGTATAAAACGGTATAAAGCTATAAGTTGTATATGTTTACACTGTATACATTTTTTTTATTTTTATGCTGCAATTGAACAAAAATGATCAGGTAAAATAATTGTCAATTTAATTTAATTATTATTTTTTTATTTTATATTAATTACCTAAGATATATATGATAATTTGTTATAATTATTACTAAGTTTATCTTTATTCTTTATTAATAACTACATTAATATTTATAATAACAAAAAATAATTTGTTGTTTTTATTTCATTCTAAATTTAAGAAAATTCACCAAGTTGATGTGATTTTTTAATTTGTTATATTAATTTATGAGTTTAAATACCTACTACAATTTAAAATGTACAATATTATGACTATTATAATAAATTTTATAAAATAAAAAAAAAAAATTAAGTCTTAGTCAATATAATGTTTAATAAGTGAGGTATTAAACATACAATGTATAAAACATTTTATACGCAAATATTACCAATCCTGATTTATTGATATTTTATATTAATATTTACGGGGATTGGTACCAACTTCAAGGGGTGGGTTATTAACAACCTCTCAGAGGAGTGAAAATATTCTACAAATTATACATATACAACTCACCCTTTCCCCCATTTCTAAGGAAATGGGAATTAATTTGATGTGGTACTATAAATACGAGTATAAGTACCATAAACTATATAGTGTGATTCTATATAGGTTTGATAGAAAACAGCCAGTATCGAATCCCTTTAATTTAATAATTATTTGTATTGCTACATATTATAGTCAATACGTTGTGATATTATTAATTACATAATTATTTATAGGTACCTATACATATTATCTTTGTTCCTAAGATTTTTTTTCCAAAAATTTTCTGTCAGTGTCCATAGTACGTAAGTACTAGCAGATATTATCTAACTATATAAATGTGAAATGAAAATCTTTGTACAGAGTAAACTCTGAAACTACTTATAAGATCTTCTTGATTTTATTTTAAAACAAAAGAGTATATCACAGAGAGGGTTTCTATTGCAATAGCATTTGTCTAAGTTAATTAGTTTCAGCTACCTGCAACCTGACCATTTTTTCTTTTGCGTGTTTTATTGGCGAGCGTTCCGAGAAGCAATGGATGAAAATAATCTCGAGCATCACGCATTCACCAACAATATATACACTAGTTTAGTCTTTATTATATGTAGCTAATTTTATGTTGCATGTTCTCAAGTAAGTTTGGCAAAAAAATTATATATATATATGCTCCTACAAAAGAATAGATAATATAAGCTACCAAGAAATGTTATAGTTTAGTGGTATAAAATATAGTCTATTATATCTTTTATATATTTTCATAAGTCTAAGATATTTTTTATTTAAATTTTTTTCCCCAATAAGATATTTTAAAAGAAATACAACTGACCATATTAATGAAAATAAATTAAAATACAATTATATTGATAATGTTTTTAATGTGCAATAAACGTTTCTGACTACAGTCATTGAATTTGTAGATGTTTTTAATTTTATTCTTTGTTTGTTTTTTCATAAATATTCTAAAAAATCATGTGAAAACTGAGAGATCGGTGAAGAAGCTATTATTTGCAATATTAAATAGTAAAATACTACCTGGTTGTCCGGTTGTTATCGCACGCACACAATCATTTTCATTTCACATTTTTGTAGTTAGTATAGTCTTGACACAACAAAACACGTTTAGTCCGTCGGAGGTGGACTACCCACTTTCCACCTATTTGTTTACATTCAATACTAGTTACTGACACAGTCAAAACCAAAAAGGAATAGTTCAGAAATAAAAAAAAATGGCACGGCCAACGCCTGGCGGGATCAGCTATAGGTTTATATGCAGTCATCGTTCACAGTGCTCTATTCTTCTTTCAGTCCCACATCCCCACAAACAATAACTTGTTATTTTTTTGTTAGACTACCAAAATATCAATTAGAAATCTAACTATTAATTTATATGGCAAAACAACGTTTGCCAGGTCAGCTAGTACATGTATATATAGTATTTTGGTAATAGGCAGGTACAACAGACGACGGCTTAAATATACTTACTTATGTCTTATAGCATTATTAATATGAGCAGCGTTTATAACAATTATTATTACAGAGTAAAGACCAGATAATATTAATATTGTTTAAACAATATTAATGTTATTGCTATTATATTACCTGAACAGCTGTTGTGTAAAATTCGTCCTTGCCGTGAACGTGTACAATCCGGCGTCGGCCGACTGGGTTGCTACCGTTTTGCAACGCACTCAGTACGCGCATGTATTCATATACAAACGCGACTACTCGAGTAAACGAATTCGGATAATTTGATAATTTTAAATAACGCGCAAAGGTTAAAACAACGAATAAACGAAAGACTTCTTCGCCAAGCACAAAACAATTTCAACTCACTCGCTCTCTCTCACACATACACACATACCTCACGTCATTTACGAGCACACACATACACCCACTCACACACACACACACACACACATACCTCACACACGGGCACGCACATACCTCACGTCATTTACGAGCGGACACATACACCCACTCACGTACACACACATACTTCACGTCATTTACAAGCGCACGCACACACATACATCCACTCACACACACACATACATAAATATTTAGTCACGGACACACCCTAACCCAGATAATCTAACTAAATGTAAACTTACTTACGGGTATAATTGCTTGAACGCGTAGTTGTTCTTGGAATTCTCTTGACCGGACGTCGAGTCGTCGTTGTCGGTGTATAAACGTCTTTGTCGTCGGCTCACGGCTGTTACATCAAATAAACAAACATTTCATTATTATCGTATTACAATATTGTCAATATTATTAGAATATATAATGTTCATTACGAACGCGAAGACGTACAAACACTCCTCTTAGTTTATTGTGGCGAAGAATGTTCTAATTACCCACAGCGGCGTCCTAAGAACTATTAGAAAATAAATGACCAACGACACATCATTAACAAAGACGACGCATTAAACACTACTGTGGGGCGTGTGCGGTGTAGTAGTGTTGGTATATTTCTCGGTGTCGAAGTACCCTGCGCCGCCGCATGAACGTCGAAATAATATGATAATGTCATGTCGGTCGGCCATTACTGTTATCATTATCCTGACAACCGGGTACTACCAATTATAATATTTTAGCGTCCGCGTCCATGATAATGGACAGTCATGATAACGTAGCAATAATATTGTAATATTAGGTCATCGAACCCGGCACACTGCACAGTAGCCGTCGTACAAGTCGTACAACACTATACTTCGGTACAAACCACGGTTTGATAACGACCGCGGCATTATACTATAAATTGATAACCACGTCGTCGCTGATCCGCTGATATCGACATCGTCGTCGGCGAGAGTACATAGTGCATACAATGTTAATAATAATAATAATAATAATAATAATGATAATAATAATAAAGCAAATAAATACGAAATGCCCCCCGTACCCAATTAACGCACGGCTACGACAACGATCGTGTCCGTGCGTCCCGTACATAATCACCGACGATCACAATATTCATAATTATTATTGTAAATTGATCAGCGACGGCAGATTACAGATAATTGTGCAACCGTCGGGCTGTGCGAAAACTACAACAGTTGTGCACAAGTACAACAGCAACGCCCGAGATCAAGGAGACGACAACGACGATCAAGGCGGCAGCGTTGTCTTTTACGACCGGTTTATCGCTTTATAACGGTAAACACGAGCGGATGGTATTTCTACTTTTTTTTTCGTTCGTATGTTTTTTTATGCTTTTTATTATCGTCGCGAATGTGTATGTGTGTGTTTGTATATGTGTGTGTATGTGTTTGGTTTGGTTGAACTTGACAACAGATTAACGATAGTCGGTCGAGTGCTTTCGTGTAAACATCGGTAAAATATATATACAGATAAAAATAACTATTACTTAAAGACTGTTCGAAAATCGATTAATATTGATATCAGTGTATCATTCGCTATTACTTTTATTTTTCACCGATCTTAAAGTTACCAGCTGTCAAAAACACAGGTAATACCTGATCACTGTCGTCTTTGTCACTACAGGGTATTCGTTATTATAATATTTTTTGTAATTTTGATTGTTTCTCGTACTTTGCGAGATTCTGTTATTGCACCTAATTTTTTCTAAAAAAATACGTTTAACATTGACCAAAAGTACTCCTAACGAAGCATACCGGTTAAACTCATCCTAAGAATGCCCTTAGTCAGGCTTACAATATTTATATTATGTCTGTCTATATATTAGATTATATTTTTATTACTGTGTATAAATATATGGCCAATTAAACTGTACCTACCTAATTTGTGTGTTTGATCGAGTTAATTTTTTTTTTTTATTATCCAATAGTATTAAGACCATTACAATAATGAATTATTTCATGATTGGTGAAGTCAGATAGTATTGAGTTACAAAACACAAATTGTAGACTACTACAGTAAGACGATGATGTTATCTGGCAGTGGTGGAGGCCATCAGTCTGCTGCGGCTGCAGCAGTAGCAGCTGTAGCATCTTCAGCCGCAGCAGCAGCTGCTTCGTCTTCTTCGTCTGCTGCCAGCAGCTTCCTTCATCTGGGTGATGTGGTATCTTTGTACTCTGAAGGCACTGTATCAGGATTCCTGAGCACATTAGGGTATTTTATTTTTTACTTTGTATTTAATTGTTTTTTTTTAATTTGACATTATATTTTTAATTAAAAGGCTGGTAGATGACCGTGCTGTAGTGTGCCCTGAGGCAGGAGATCTAAACAATCCTCCCAAGAAATTTCGAGGTATGTTCACTATCATTACAACACAGACAATATTTTGTATGGAATATATATATATATATATATATATATTTTATTGTTATTTAACTTCAAGACTGCTTGTTCATGATGTGCCCAATGAATCGATACTCGGCTCAAAAACAGTTTTGGAAGGCAGCCAAACAACAACAGTTACAACAACAACAACGTTTAGGTGGTAATGGATTTTCGCCCAGTATAGGACCATTGGGATCAACAACAGCAGTTGGACCTCCCATGGCCACAGATACTGTTTTAATCAAACGGCTACACGTTAGTACACCTTACAGTTTAATATTATGTTATGTTATATTACTAATATTTTTAGTGTATTAAAAAAATACTAGGTAGATCTAGGTAAGACTAGGTATAAATAATTTTAACATTATTATTTTGGTCAAACAGTTATGAATCTAATTATGAAAAATTGTTTGCCTTAATTTTAGCATGCTGCTGAGATTGAAAAACGTCAGAATGAGTCTGAGAACCGCAAACTTTTGGGAACTGTTATCCAGTACGGTACTGTTGTGCAGGTATAAAATATAATTAAATATTAAATATTTTTCATTTTAAATATTATCTTTATACCATGCTGTTTGTTGTAGTTATTGCACTTGAAATCCAACAAATATTTAACTGTAAACAAACGACTCCCGGCCTTATTAGAAAAAAATGCCATGCGTGTGTACTTAGATGCAAATGGCAATGAGGGTTCGTGGTGGTATGTAATGCCATTCTATAAACTACGTTCCACTGGTGACAATGTTGTTCTTGGAGATAAAGTTACTATGGTACCAGCATGTGTAGGCGGCGGAAGTGGTGCATCACTTGGTACACCTGCTTTGAGTGGAGCAATGGGTGGTGCTATGGGATTTGGCTTTGGTGGAGGTAGTGGATTCGGAGGAGGAGGAGGATTTGGTGGTGTTGGTTCATTTGGCGGTAGTGGCTTTGGAGGTGGAGGCTACTATCATCATCAACAACAACAAGTTGCACTGCACGTCGCTGGGAACTATGAACTACCAGACAACCCTGGTTGTAAAGAGGTCAGCACTATATTTATTCCTAAAATATTGCAATATTATAATATAATTAAGTATATGATTACTTTTCACTAAATTAGAACAAACTTACAGAAACTATTATTGCCTAAATATTCTTTTTTTCTGGTACCCCATTATTAGTGTAAAATTAAAAAATAACTTAAAACACCAAATGGACTACCAGAAAAGACCTTAGAAGTTAATGATTGTAGGAACCTTATTCATAAAAATAAAGAAAAACTAATACATTACTTAACTCACTAAGTTTCACCTTATTTTGATACTTAATAAGTTGCATTTTTTCAAATTTTATCATACTAAAAAATAATGTAGAAGTAAGTCATACTTCTTTTACCCTTGGGATATAATCTATTAAATTGAACCATCTATTTTGTATATTAAAAAAGATACTGACATATTTCACATGATGGCCAATGTTGTAGGTAAGAAGTTTGGAAGGCAGAATATAGTGGCTAATGTAATGTATATCTGTATTCAGTTAATCATTTCTAACAAAAAAAAAATTCTGAGCGGAGTTCAATTGATAGTGTTGCTTTGTCAACAATATATGTTTCATATTATGGTGAAATGATTACAACAATGTGCAGTTCTATGACAACAATGGTTGTTTAAAAAACATTAAAATAATAAAAAAAATTTTAGATTCTGAGCAGAGCAAAAATGTATTGGTTTTACAATATATTTTTTTTTATGTGAATACATTTTTTACCAGAAACCTTACTTTGTTTATTAAGTTTAGGGTATACTCATCGTATGAAATACATCTATTTATTTCTTATAATTTTGTATAAACAGGAAAAGACGTTTTAGTTCTATAAATATAGAAAAGTAAAGATTTATCAAAAAAAAAACAGTCCACATTTAAAATAGCTTGAAAATTAAATTTACTTATATCAACTTAGAATTTTTTTAATTGTAATTTTCCAATGTTGTAATAGTAAATAATTATTAAAATATTAAACCTATATTTTGTTTCGTTTTTATTCAAATTATTTTAATAAATATGTATTCAGATTATTCAGATCATCAGAGGAAAAATATTTGTATTGTTCTTTTATTGTAATATAAATAGTATACAATATGTAAATTAATTTGAAAGTCAGTAGCTGTAATTCAAAATATAATTAAGATATTGTAATGCAGTTTTTTCCAATAATATGACAACCCTTTAGTAATGGTTTAAAATAAAAACATCAAGAACCTCTAAACATTTTTTTTTTTTTTTTGGTTTTAAACTATTTTAAAAATTCGAAAATAAGTATTTTATATTTATTTATTAAAATTATAGAAAATAAAAACAATTTTAAAATTGGGTGAATTTTGAATGAATGTAAGAAAATCTTATTTCCAATAATACAATAGAAGAAGAAATACTTATTATTCTGTACTTAAGCCAACTTTAGCATTAATTTAAATAATAAGTATAGTAGAAGTTTCTTTCATTCAATCAAATCTCATAAAATCAGGTATAATCACCTGATTTCAAAATTGTTTTTTTATACTTTAAATAAATGACTAATAGTTATTTTCGAATTTTTAAAAAAATCAAAAAAATATTTCAGTAGTTCTTGAAATTTTTATTTTTATTTGCTATTATAATAGTCATATATTACATTGATAAAACACGCACTACAAGATCTGTATTATATTTTGAATTGCAGATACTGACTTTCCAATTAATTTACGTACTCTATATACATATATATTAGGGTGGACAAAAAAACATATTTTTTGTTTACTTTTATAGGTAAATGTTGTTAATTCAGCTGCCGGATCAACTATTCATCATCATGTTCAACACAGTAATAATCAACAAATTCAACAATACCAGCAGCAATCCTGGAAGGTCACTTTGTTCATGGAACATCGTGATAATCAAGATGATGTATTGAAAGGAGGTGATGTCCTACGACTGTTCCATGCAGAACAGGAAAAATTTCTTACAATGGATGAGTACAAAAGACAACAACATGTGTTCTTACGAACTACAGGACGAACATCAGCTACAGCTGCAACCTCCAGCAAAGCACTTTGGGAAGTAGAGGTATGATATTGGGTAGTATTTTATTAGTTTAATTAAATTTAATGTATATCTGTAAGCACCAATTAACTATTACTAACAAGCGATTCTAGGCAAAGTTCAGTTATAGTGTTGCTTTGCCAAAAATATATGTCATATTATGGTAAAATGATTACATATGTTTTATAATATTTATTATGAAAGCAACTGGGAAAGTCAAAAAATGAGATGTTTAAAGTACCACCTTAGTTAGATTTGCTACTAGAAAAGTTTTTTACAAGGAAAAATAGGCTGTAAAGTTTGTTCAACCAATACCTACATTTTGTACATTTTCTCTGTTTATCTAATTTTCTGAATTTAATCAAATGGCCTCTCCAATGTACTATACTTAACAATTAGAGCAAGATTTTTGGTAGAAAAGTTGTCTAAAGAAAAAAACATGTTGTTGATTTTCTAATGGATTTTCATAATAAATAGATGAAATCAGTAAAATTGTAAGAAAATTGTTAAATTTATGAAACTTATTATTTTAAAATCGTAAATATTATGATAAAACGTGTATAACCATAGTCCATTCAGAATTGTTTATGATTAGAAATTAATAATCATTGACTACAGATTTTAAATGGATGCATACTGTGAAATGTAGTATTTGTTCAAACAGAATATTTTTTCTAGTTGGTGTAATACAAAGTTGTTTTTGATTTCCCTTGTTATTTTCTTAATTATTTTTAATTAATATTAATCTACCAAATATAAATTATGTAAATAATTGGCAAAATTAAAATACCTGTAGTTAAATACAGTAAATTAGTAAAAAGCTCAATGATAATTAAACATTTTTGAAAATTTTGCTTCGTCTAGAAACTGGAAATATACATTTTCTGTCCAAATTTCAAGTCTTTACAAATATTTTTAACTGAATCAACAAAAAATTAAAATTTAAAATAATACTTTTCATACATTTTACCATTTTTTCTGGGTTTTCCCAATAATATTATAAAAACCACTTGGAAAATCAAAAAAATTACTTCCCTAAATTACTATCCAGATATAATTTTCTTACAGAAAAAGTACTACACTTGAATATTAGAGCAAGTCTTCTGGTAAAAGTGTTGTTTACAGATAAAAAAAAAAAAAAAAAAACATAAAACCAATCATTTCTCACATCCCTCAGAATCTAAAAATCACTTTTTATGATAATAATACTGTTTTTTTTTTTACCCAACTAGGTTGTCCAGCATGACCCATGCCGTGGTGGCGCTGGCCACTGGAATTGTCTTTTTCGGTTCAAACATCTGGCCACAGGTCATTATTTAGCGGCTGAGATAGATGATGATGAAACAATGGATCATATGCGATCCAAGCTCAGAGGTATGCATTTGTTTTGGGAAGTTTTTTTTATTAAGAAATTATTATTACTCTTTTCATATATTATAGATGTTCATGGTGGACCTGTATACCATTTGGTGTCAGTACCTCATTCCAATGAGATATCATCACTTTTTGAACTTGATCCTACAACATTATACCAAGGCCGAAGTGGTAGAAGCAGGATGACTACTCGCCAACTCCAACCTGGTGGATCTTCTGGTACACCAGCTATTTCTGGTTATGGTGGAGGATATGGCACCCCAGCAATAGCTTCTATACAACACCACCAGCAACCAGCAAATTTAGACTCAGTAGTGCCACAGTCCTCTTATGTCCGGCTCCACCATCTATGTACTAACACATGGGTTCATAGTACTTCAATTCCTATAGACAAAGATGAAGACAAGCCTGTCATGTCTAAAGTGACTAATATATTTTTATATCCAATAATTATAAAAATTAAAATATTATTTTTGTTCTCTTAAAAGGTGGGCTGTGCTCCTGTAAAAGATGATAAAGAGGCATTTGCCTTGATACCTGTATCACCATCTGAGGTTCGTGACTTAGACTTTGCTAATGATGCATGTAAAGTATTGGCCTGTAACAGTGCAAAATTACTAGAACATGGTTCTATGTCAGCCAATGAAAGACGGTATGTTTTTATTAATATTTAATGCTTACTGATTTTTATATTTGTTTGTATAATATAATATTCTTGTTTAAACTCTCAAAAATTAAGTGCTGTTACTACACTACTTCAAGACATTGTGTATTTTGTTGCGGACATGGAGAATGAACAAAATAAATCTGAGGCATTGGAATTGATAGTTGCTAACCCAAATAGGTATGATTCTATTTATTATATACTGATATATATTTATTATGATACTGTTTATTATACTATATATATTAACTGTTTATTCGGGTTATTATTATCACTACAATTCTAACATTATTATTACAATTAATAGAGATCGACAAAAGTTACTTCGTGAACAAGACATACTCAAACAACTCTTCAAGATACTACAGGCACCATTTGTAATGGATAATGTTATAAGTTCTGGTAGTGGTGGTAACAACAATATTGGTACACGAGTAGAGGGTACCAGTGGCACAGCTGCTATAGCCTTAGCTACAACAACAATAACAACAGAATCTCCAGATGGAGATAATCAAAAGTATGCGGCGGCATACAAGTATATGTTTCGTCTGTGTTACAGAATACTTCGACTGAGTCAACATGATTACCGAAAAAATCAGGTGCATTCATGATACCTATTTATACTAAAATATAACTAGTTAACTAAAATGTTATAATTTTAATAAATATTGTAAACTCGACAATTTATAGGAATACATAGCCAAACATTTTGGGTTCATGCAAAAACAAATCGGTCTGGATATTCTTGCAGAAGACACAATAACAGCGTTGTTGCACAATAATCGTAAACTGCTGGAAAAACATATCACTGCAGCTGAGATTGAAACATTCGTTGGCTTAGTTCGGATGAAAAACGGAGGTGGTGGTGGATTCAGTCAGTCAGCACCCAGATTCCTTGATTATCTTAGTGATTTGTGTATATCTAATAAGAAAGCCATTGCTATTACACAAGAGTTGATCTGTAAGAGTGTGCTGTTAAGTGGTTCCCGAGATATTTTAATTGAGACTCGGTGTGTAGTGATTGCTATTCTTAATATTCTGTTATAATGTACATTAGTAGTAATAACACTGTTATCATATACATATTTCTTTCTATTTGTCATTATTTTTGGTTTTCACAGTATGATGAAACGATTATTACCCCATCAACAGAGTGTAGAAGGCATGACATCACTACCAAATATCCATGACCTTTCAGTCACTATATCAGATGATTCTGACTCTGAATCAAATGATGGCCATGTGGTCATGTTGTCTTGGAATGAAGGCAAGGTCAGTGTAATAAATTTACAAATAATTGCAGAGACTAGTGTAATTTCTAATTAATAATAGTTTTATGTTTATCAATTTTTTGTTTGTTTTTTTTTTTTTTTATTGAAAATAGAATTCCAAATCATTAGTGGAACTATCAGCAGATGCACGACGCTGGCAGCTGCAACAATTACAACATCTCCACCAACACAACAAAGCTGGGCCAGCAGCGTCAAAAAACATCAATGGTTATGATGATTGGCACTTACTAGAATATTATCGACATCAGTTGGACCTGTTCTCAAATATGTGTCTAAATAGACAGTACTTGGCACTGAATAATCTTTCTCCTCACTTAGACATTGATCTAATACTTAAGTGAGTACTCAATAATATAGTGAATATAGTTAGAAATAGTGTGAATGTATGTATCAATTTTTATCAAAAAATAATAGATAATATAATTGTCTATTCTGAAAATAGATATGGCACTATTTGGCTTGTTTTTTTTTTAATTGAATCAGCCAATATTTGTTGGAACTTGAGCTCTAATTTCAATTTTTGTTATTATAGTACTTTCAAAATAGTTATTTTTAAAATTATCTACCTATTGTTCTTAATGTAAATAAACTCACTTATATGTTACTGTAAATAGCGTGTAAAAATATGAAATCTATGATTAGTGGTTATCATTCTATGTATACACTATCTTATCGCTATACAAAATATTATTCATTGAAAGTATGTTGCCTGTTGGTCATTTTTCTCTGAAAATGCAACTGTTTTTAATATGTTCATGTAGAGTACAATGTTGTAATATCAACCATTGTTTTAAATTAACAGATGCATGGCTGATGAAAATGTACGTTATGATCTGCGTGCTTCATTTTGTCGACTCATGTTGCACTTGCATGTAGATCGTGACCCACAGGAACCTGTCACACCTGTCAAATACGCCAGACTATGGTCAGAGATTCCATTACAAATAAGCATTGACGAGTAATAGTGATTAAAATATTATATACTCATTGACTTATGTATATTTATTGTGTATGATTATGAATGCTGAATAATTATTCTTTTGATAGTTATGACAATAATAGGCGATTGAATAATGATACAGCTGCAGCACAACAGGTGCGCACCCGGTTTAGTTCAACTATAGCATTTGTTGAGGATTATTTGTTTAATGTTGTGGCAAAAATGTGGAATTTTCAAGATGCCCAACAAAACAAACTAACATTTGAGGTAAATTGATATGTTCAATCAAAATATTCTAGAAATTAGTGCTCTAATAATCGTGTATACAAACTAAAATTTATGTATATTTAATTACTACATGTTTCTATTTGTTAAAAATAAAATTGGAACTCTTAATATTATTTAATACTATATAGTATTATCCACATAATGTAAGACACTCATTATCTCGGAAAGTATTAAATTTTTCAGTGTTTTAAGTCATTTAAAAAAATAAGTAACCTTATAATGTTATTTCAATTATTTTTTGTTGCTCTTATTTTAAGGGGTGAAACTGCTATTTACTTTTGATTTTCAGATTTCAACATTTACTAAATATTTTATAAATAGATTTCTATTTAATGTAACTAATATTTATTAGTTATATTAGTATAGTTAAGAGATATTCTACTATTACGTTAAGGTAGGAATAGAGTGGTAGAACACTATTAAAATGCCATATCCAAATATGCACCACTACTCTCCCCCAAATTAAATTTAAAAGTGGAATATCTTGTAAATAGGTTAACAGTAATTAAATATTTCAGCACCAAAATTGATTTAATTAATATTCTATCTATTTATAGAATTTTTAATATAGGTTGCTATTTAAAAATAAAAATTAGGTAGGTTTGACCTCCTAAAGTAAGGGTGACAAAATATAATCAAATATTTCAAAATGAACATTTTGTTTTAAATGAATTTGTATGTAATATATTTAAATAAACAGGTAGTCAAGTTAGCCAGAGATTTGATTTACTTTGGGTTCTACAGTTTTGGCGATTTACTCCGTCTCACAAAAACTCTCTTAAGCATACTAGACTGTGTGTCAGAAAATGATTTTGCATCCATTGGTCGTGCTACTGGTAATGATATTGTTTCTGGTGCAGTGAGTGCTACAGCAACAGGGTCAACAACTACAGATGTGAAAGGTAAACTTACTTTAGCCCTTATTCTGCATCCTATTAAATGTCTGCTATAAAAGCTGATTATTATAATATCATAATAATCATATGGTGTTGTGTCATTTGTTTGTTTATTATAAAGCGGAAGGAATAGGTCCCATGAGATCAGCTATTGGTGATGTAGGTGCTGTAGTTACTGGACTTACACTTGGAGGAAGTGGTGGTGGTGGGCGTAGGCATCCACCGCCATTACTGAACAAATCAAAATCCTCACTAAGCATGGTTACAACTACAACTACTGGTTCATCATCCTCATCACTTATACACCAGCAGAATCCAGGTGGTGGCGGCACATCAATTGTTAGTGGTGAAGCATATCCTCTGGTCATGGATACAAAATTAAAAATCATAGAAATATTACAGGTCAGTCTTTGCTATAAGTGTCATTCAATTGTTATTTTTTTATTTTTGAAAATGGTTCAACCACACAAAATTTTTTAAACGAAATATCAAAATCTGTCTCTGGGTGCAGCCAGGAATGGAGGTTAGTTGAAAATGGTGCTTTGTCAATAATATGTATATTATATTACGATAAAATAATTAAATAAGCATTATATATTTTCTGTAATAATATTTGTTTAATATAGTACTAATTTTTCCGATTTTCTGACATTTCCTGTTTTTTTCACAGTTTTTCACATTTGATGAGAAAATTCCTGAGAAAATTGAAAAATTATCACCCTTAAGTACCACCCCAAGAAAATTTTCCTTCATAAATAGGTCTTATATATCAGAGCAAGATTTCTAGTAGAATTTGTGTACACAGTTGTAATATAATAAACATCTTTGTAAAACCAATACATTCTTCACTAAACTCAGAATCTAAAATTTGTCTACAGTGTACTCACTCAATTTTATATATTGGCATTATTAATATTTACTTCCAAGACACATAATTAAATATATATATATAAATATAAGTTATATAATTTTTACTGGGGGATCTCACAAAATAAACCACCTTCAACTTAATTATTTTAATCAATCACTATAAGAGTATTATTCTGATAAGTGTTAACAATTATTTTACTACATTATAAAATTATATTATACATATTGTTTATACTGTAGTATGTATTGTACTAAAAGTGTAGAAAAAAAATTAACTGATAACATTAATTGAATTTATTTACAGAATCAATTTAACTTGACTTAGTTAAAAAACCTAAATATGTATTTTTTAAAAATAAATATGCAGCCTTTTGTCTTTCAACAAGCTATTTAAGTAATTTTATTTCAATAAACAATATTTGAAATGTAATATGTACTTAAACTTAAACTTTACCCTGTCTTATTTGTTTCAACATCTATGTTTAAATTTAGTTTATATGATTAACAAAATAGCAGTAAAATGACATTTATAAAATAATTTAATTGAAACATATTTTTGAAGTGAAACTTTTATGAGCTGAAAGTAAAATTTCAAGGCTAAATGTGATGAAAATCATCATAGTCAGTCTCAGTTAGGTTAACCAGCACGTACCATAATCACATCATCAGTTATTAACACACTCACACACTAGTGACACTGTGAATAAATGTAATCAGAAAACCATTCTAAGAAACTTAATATATAATACAGGTCGAACCCTTTATTCAGAATATACCACTTTTATATCTATGAATGCAATCCTTGATCTATTCTGGTAATTTAAAATTTTGACTTTTAATCTATTATCAAAGTCACTTCTTTGTTTATGAAAATATATACACTACTTATCTGAATGCAGATAATAATGTATCCTAAACAAATTAAATCTGTCAGGATTAAAATCCAAGAATTCAGATTTTCGAAATTCGGATTTTTCCCACCATTAACACACACACATACACATACACATACAATGTAAATAAAAATATGGCTAATTCAGTTATCATAAGCCCATTATATAGTAATAATAGAATAAGAAAATTAATAATAATAATGATAAATTAAATTAATTTTAATTAGATTTTATTTTGTTCCAATACAAACCTAATATTATATCAGTTGAATTACTCTGAAAGAAGTTCATAATATTCATATCCAAACAGTATTTATGTAATTTTATAAACATTTCATTTCAATCCTTATCAATAGAATAAAATTTAATCTAGCTGTTAAAGTGTTAGGAGTTTCACTTCACATATTTAATCATATAGACAATTTATTTTAACATTTTTAATTTATTTACAACTGAAAATTAACAAATATGGTTACTTTTTGGTAACTGAAAAAAAAAACCAAATTGCCACAATTATAACAAATGATTATTTGTTCACATCACATTGTTTTGTTTTTACATCTATTAGAATATCAATAAATTATTTGATAACAGAAAGTGTTAATGGATAGATGTTATAACCATGATTGTTGATACATCAGATATCTAGAATATTACTCAATGATCTAGAACAATGGTTATAATAATAATTATTAAGGCCACAGATAACATGAAAACTATGTATTAACCACAGATTTATTTAAGTCCGTGGATACTAATTATTGTACTGTAGCCACAATATTCCTTGTTATAGTCCAAAAAAAAAATATTTATTCAAGTTTTATGAGAATGTCATGATATTAATTTACTATTATGCTACCAAGGAGGGGGGGTCCTGAGCTATTTAACCCCCTTCAGTGTGCTATTAAATCAATATAATAATACATTACCTATGTATTATTATAATCAATTATTGTGTTTTCCCTCTGATATTCTGTTTAGTATATAAAATAAACTTATTATGTTACCTAATTTATTTGATCATGTTTTTCTAAATAAAAATGTATAATATTTTATTTTGCACTATATTTTATAAACCACAGTTTGAAATTGAAAAATCATAAATCATTCATTACATTTGACTACTGATTCTGAATAAAACTTAAAATTTATTTACCAAGACTCATATTTTTTAGTTTTTCAAAGTTTTAATAGTTAACAAAACTAATAATAAACTTTCTACTAAGTTCCTTTGGGTGTAAATTATTCTAATGATATTGATGGAATTTTTCATTTTCTAGAGTTTTTTTATAAACCAAAATGTTTTTATCAATGATACTTCAATATTTTTCGAAATTTTGAATTCTTTATCACTGACAGTGTCTGAGTGAACATCTTCACCTACAATGAAATTTTTATTCAGGAAAATTAACAACCAACTCCCCCCTCCCTCCCGGGACAATTTGACACTAAATTCTTAACATTACATTTTTTACTTGGATCAAAAAGTCTCCAAAACATATCTAATTGTCCCAGAGATAAAATGTCTGGAGATGAGATTGAAATCTCAATACAGGTATAATATCTAATGTAACATAATATTATAATTATGTATTTCTGTGGGACCTACTCAAGTAAAAACAAAAAAAAAAACACGATATTCATCAATAATAGGTATAAATTAAATTTAGAAAACATCTTTCTCATCATAATACTATGTTAGTTCCCTAATTTTGAAAATTTTAATCCAAAATAAGTTACAAATAATATTTCAGTAACAATGACTTGTTGTAAAGTACATTATTTAAAAAAAATGCAAAATGTAATATCATTAATGTACAGTAGAAGCCCTTTATTGGGAACACTTTTGGACCAAGATGAAGTGTGTCAAATAAAATTGTTTCAAATAATATGGTTTTTATTTGCTATGAAAAAAAATATATATCTACCATAAAAAAAAAAAATGAATTATTTTATTTGTTATGTAAACTTACGAAAATAACTTATGTTTCTTTACTTGTGTAATGAACAGTAAAAATAAACAAAATTAATTGAACAAATAGAATTCAGTATTCATAGTAACATATAGTAAAGATAAAATAATGTAATACTACAGTAGTATAGTACCTCTAGTATAGAATCTTATTATTTTAAATAATCAATGTGCTGTTTTAATAATCCCACCGACAGCTGGTAGCTGGTCCGTATCTAGACATTTTATTTCAATAATATGATTGTATTATAATCCTTTTTCCTAATAAGCGGCTTCTACTGTATTTAAGTTTTTAAGTTTACCAACATGGGATCATCGGGTCACTGAAAACTGTTATAGTATTATTATCATCTGAAAATAATTGTTCGTATAACATCTTTAATTGGGTAATCACAATTATTGACAATAATTTGTAATTATATATTTTCAAAAATATCTATTTTAAAACAGTTATTATGAAAAATTAAATAATTTATATCATTGAATTTTATTTAATTAAAAAAAAAAATTTTTAATTAAATATACTATTGCCTTTGTGGTAGATAGTTAATGACGACACTACAGTCTATACAGTATGTTTTACTAACTTATAACCATTGCAATACCTCAGAGTGTATTACATTTTTTTCATTAATTTAAAAAATACAAGCAACTCTAAAATGTTAAATTTCTGTACTATTTTATCACAAATTTAATAAAATAATGTTAAACATTTTGGTGTTGTAATTTTGTATTTCAAGATAAATGGAGTATTAGTTTAAAGACATTTTATTTCTGGAATTGTTGAATAGTATTCTACAGCACTATTCAAATAGTGCTGCCATACAAATTATGTTCCACTACCCTCCCTTTTCCCAAACTTAAAAGTGAAATATCTCATCAATGGATGATAGAAATCAAAAATTTTAGGACCAACATGTATTTAAACAAATACTCCATTTATTTGTGGGAAGCTTAAATTTAGATTGTCATTTGAAAATCAAAACTAGATAGTTATTTTACTCCCAAAAATAAGGATGCCAAAAAATAATTGTAATATAACATTTTAGGAGGCTGTTTGTATTTTAAATTATAAACAATAAATCAGAAATAGTACAATGGGTATATCTTTTTAGGACACTTGTATCTATTTAATTTATTTCTCTGGTACATACTACTTTTTTATGTAACAATAATAATGTTTTTTTTTTTATACAGAATTTTCTCAGCTAGTACTGATTGCTGAATATACTGAATTTTTTACTGAATATTTAAAATAGATTAACAATAAGTTCTTGCCAATTAGTTTTAAAATATATAATTTAGAGATATTTTTTTTATTAAGTCATATTTTTATTTTCATCATTCTATAAAAACATTGGTTTGAAATTAAAACTATGACTAGGTAGGTTGTTACTGTGTGGTGAATAACTTTGACTAAATAATATATAACTAAGTACTTACTCAATAAATAAATATATTATGTGAATGTTACCGGGATTTTCAGCTGAATAACATAATTCGGGATCCAGATAAAAGGCAAATCGATAGTTTTCTTTGTAAGCAGGTATATGCTTGTAAATATTTCTTTATAAATCACAGTTTACCTTACAATTTTTATTAAACTATGAGGAATATTAATTTAAAAAATATTATACAATTAATGTTGGTTTGAATAATATTTGTATATGAATAAAGTGTAAACGGAAAAATAAATATGTACATGCACGTGTAGACAAACAAGCCCAATATGAATAACAGCTAGTTGATGACTGAATTTACTGACTATACCCACTACTACCTGACCAAGTAACATTATATAATATTTTACAGACATAGTAATAATTATTATATACATTGCTAGTGCAATGGATGTATTTTAATTTGTATACAACAGATAATGGATAATAATACTATGATATTGTTCCATAATGTTCCAAATGTACCTATACTATTTTAGTGCATGGGTCTTCAACCTTTTTATGTAGTAGTCTAAATATTATTTTCTAAAAAACCATTAGTAGTAAACAAGTGTATTTTTTACAAAAATTTAATTTTATAATTATTAAAACACATATAGATTAACATATTTTAATTTTGAATTACATATTATTTATTTTATATTTAATGTGATAAATGATAACTGATATTTTTTACTAATTAATTTTTCTATATTTGGTTGGATCTGAGAGGATGAAATTATCAGTGAGTTTTCTAAGTGTATGTCAACCAAGCTCTAGTTTTCGATTTGATAATTTTCATTTGTGAAAATATATGCTCACAATTGTAAGTACTACCTAAAAGAGTAGGTAATTTAATTTATCTTATTGCATTTTTCCTAATTCTTTTGATATCAATGGCTTATGACTGTTCTAATTTTATCGAAAGGAAAAGAAATAGAAAATATATACTATATTTAACATATGGTCACAGGCTGCAAATAATGGCAAGGTGGACCATGGGTTGAAGACCCCTGTTTTAGTGTATTAGGAAAATAAAGAAACAAAAAAGATTTATTATCAAAATTTTACCCAAACCTATTACTAATCATATGATTTATTTTAAAATTGTGTTAAAATGTATAATATGAGAACAATAAAAAAATCAAATTATAATTTTTGTGGAGGTAAATATAATAATATTATATAATATTTGTACCCCCACAGAGATGCAAATGTTTAACTAGATATAGGATATAACCGGGCAGATGGGAAGATATAGTGCAAGGATAATAGTCAGTAAATTCTATCAAAAAAACAAATATAAAGGAATAGATATTATGAGAAGGGCTTGTGTTGAAAGAAAAAGAGAAATTATGAGATGGTCAAATAGACTGGTCAAATTTGTATGTTAGTGGCAAGTAACCTGCATTTGGAAAGTAATGAGGGCATGTGAAATATATGAGAAACTTAAAGTATCAAAGCAAAAAGATAAAAAAAGATTAGTATTGTAATATGTAATAACATAGAAGTATCTTATCCTTTACATACACGGCCATTTACGTCATGCATAATCACTATAATACATAATTTACCTATCTAGTCATATAATTCTGAGTATTTGAATATTGTTTATAAATAATTCATAATTTGTATTATTTTTTATGCATAATATTATTTTAAATTTCCATGATTTCCATAACCTATTACACAGGTAAAGTATAGCCGAGTGCAAAAAAATTTATGTCAACAGCATATAGCATTATAATAGACAATAATGAATTTGGCTAAAAATAAAAAAAAATCTCATTTGGTTAAATAAATTTACAAATTCTTCTCATTTAAATAGTGGAATAATTGCTTATTTTTTAAAATTGAATGATTTTAACTGAAATGTTTGTGTATACTCTACTACCCTAAATTTGTTTTGATTTATTATTTATATTTTAGAAAAAATATATACTTTCTCTGATATATTAAAAATCTTATTTGTTATACTTAATAGTACATTTCACTATACAATGATCTATCCATAATTTCTTTTTAATTCTGTAATAAATAAATAAAAGTATAAGAAATTTAAATACTTAACACCATCAGCTACTTAGATTATTACTTTTGAGAGTAAGAAACTTTTAAATGTTATATTATATAATATAATAAAGCTGCCCTTACCTATCCTGCGCAAAACTTCCTCTGTAGTGGTAGTGAATATAGAAAATATAAATATATTTATAATTGTTAATACCAATATTAATAAGAATTTAAAGTATTACATATTATAGCCAATATATTTTAGATTTTGAAGTTTATGATTTTACAAAGACATTTATTTTTTTTTCTGTGTACAACTTTTCTACCAGAGATCTGGCTCCGATTTTCAAATTTAGCACCTTTTTTGAAAGGAAATCAGTGTGAAAAGGTACTTTAAGGAGGTAATTTTTCAGTTTTCTAAAAAGTTTTCCCAGCAAATGTGAAATACCAGGAAAAAACCGGTAGACATATATATATTGTTGACATGGTATTATTGGTTTGTTGGTTGCTAACAGATATACATTAAATTAACTAGAACAGTGGCTGCCCATCTCCATTATCCTAGGATGTATTATCAACTTTTATTTATTTACTACATTATATATGTCCTAAATTAAAATAAATGTAATCTTCCATATATATCCAATTGCATTATTTACATATGACTAATAAACTAATCGCTGATAAACTATGCATACAAATATAAAGAATTTAACATAAGTGACTAAAATTAAAAATTATGATGTATGTAAAATAATATACACCATTCAAATTATTTTTTGCTATTATCTCCATCTATCTCTGTTTTGGTTTTCTTCTTTTGTTGGATCGGATTATATCACTGAACCAGTTAGGTTGATACAATTATCTTTTATCACTTATATATTAAACTTTACAATGCTAAAATTATTTAAATATTTATAATTATTTGTAATATTTCTAAAGTAGTTAGTGATCCACCAAATACAATATTGTGTAATTGTATGATATTAAATATTTATTGTTTTTATATTCAGTTTATATTGGATGTCCGTCTGGATTACCGTATTGGCTGTTTGCTGTCGATTTTCAAACGGGAATTCGATGAAATTGAAAAATCTGCAGCGGCCGCCACTGCATCTGCGGTCTCTGCCCCCTCACAACTATCGACTTCAACGACTGGCACCAATGCTGAATCTCCATCTACACCCACAATTACTACAACAGCATCTTCCACAGCATCATCAGTGTCATCGTCAGCCTTTATTGATCACCACTACCACAAGTCCATTGATTTGGAGCGGGTCGGCGTCCAAGCCGAAGGGATATTTGGTGAAAGGTAACTTTTCAAATCGCATTTAGTTGACTCTACTCACCTCTCTGCGTTTGTTTTGGTGGTTTTAGTAGTACACTATTATTGTTCCTCCCAGCTCTTTTACCCTGACTTAATATTTTATATAATGGTATCCCAACTAACAATGATTAACGTGAGTATGTTTGTGTTTGTGTGTTTGTGTGTGTTCGTGTGTGTATGATTAATTTAACAACACAGTGAAGAATGTGGTGGCGCAGCTCTAGACTTAGATGACAATGGAGGCCGGATGTTTTTACGTGTTCTCCTACACTTGACCATGCATGATTACCCTGCTCTTGTCTCAGGAGCTCTGCACCTATTGTTCCGACATTTCAGTCAACGGCAAGAAGTGTTGCAAGCGTTTAAACAGGTATGTTTTCTAGGTACGACTAATTTTATGTTGGTTCGACATAAGACAATAATTATGTAATAAATATTTAAACTTACACTTTTTGTTTATATATTTTTATTCAAACAGGTTCAACTGCTAGTGTCTGATGCCGATGTAGAATCATACAAACAAATTAAATCAGATCTAGACGTTCTCCGGCAAAGTGTTGAGAAATCTGAGTTATGGGTATACAAATCAAACAAGTCAACTGCTACCACTGGTGGTGGTGATGAACATCAGCAACACCAATTGCAAGCACAATCATCCATTGTTACAGTGCCTATGACAACAAATAATGGCACAACCATAACTATAAACACATCATCCACACACTTTGGTAACACTGCTTCATCTACACCATCACCACAAAAAGCAACAACTGGCCATTCAGTAACTTCAACTTTGCCAACAATGTCTACCAGCAAAGAACATGTAGACACTAAGGTAAATGATAGTGGTGGCGGCGAAGAAGAAGATGAAGATGATGAATACAAAAAAATCCAAAAGGTAATGTCTCGGATTATGTAGTGTTTGATAATTATTATGTTTAATAATTACTATGCAGAATGTCCCAATATCTCATGATGATCTGATGTTTGAAGTAACTTTTATTTTATTCAATATTTTTAGTATATACATACATTTTTTTTTTTTTAATAATAATTATTGTGCCTCTGCCATAATTTAAAAAAAATAAATAAAAATTTTGGTTTGGGAACAAAAAATTAAACATTTTCTATAATTTTTTTAAAACAATAACTATTTAGTCAGATATATTTTTAGAATAATTTTAGTGCTTTTATTTTCTATAATTTTTTGAATTTTTTGCAAACGTAAATATTATTATGATTTATAATCCTTTGTAATATTTAATCAGTAGTCAGTATTAATAATTGTAAGTGTTTTTGAACTATGAGTGAAAATAATTGTAATATAGATTGAATTTGCATGCGCCATTTTTTTTTTAAATTTTAAATTTTGTAAAAAACTTCTTCTAGAAATACTCTTATTTTCTTAATTTTATGAGCGGGTTTTTAAAAGGAAAAACCGCAAAAGACACAACATATTAATAAAAACAGAATAATACAAGTATGTTTACAAAGAATTGTGCATAACAATAATACCTTAATTTAATAAAATTTACTTAAAATAAAAAAAAAACTGATACTAGGTATGGGAGTGGCCACTGTTGTAGGTGAGAAGTTGGGAAGGTAGGATACTTAATGTTATTTTGTTTGTAAGCAACGATAAACCATTGTTTGACAAAAGACGATTCGAGCACAGTTCGGTAATACATAATTTGAAGTGCCGTATTTTTCTTTGCTGTTTTCGTTTAAATTACTTTCAAAACGCTTATTAAAAAAAAATCGGCCGATGATTTTGAAAATTTCACCACGTCGGTAAGTCTAATATAAGTATTATTACCAAGTTTCAAGTCTACGTGTATTTATAACCAAATTACAGCAAAAACTTCAAAAAATTTAAATTCCTTAAAGCTCAAAAGTTTTTGCAATTATAGCATATAAAAGTAAATCAAAAAGGCAACAAAAATGTATCTTGTGATTTATCGTTTACATCATTTTTTCTGGTAGAAAACGTCCCGTGATTTTATAAAATAATGAAATTATACATTTTCCTACGTTTTTTCCCACTTAAGTGCTTTTATTTAAAAAATGGCGTCAACTTGAACTTTCAGAAAATATGCTACACGTAAAAATTGGAGTAAGTTTACTAGGAAAAAACATGTTCACAGTCTAGAACAAAGTAACAAAAAAGAAGAAGAAGAAGAAATAAACAGCATTGTAAAACCAACAGCTTACTCACAATGCTCGGAATCTAAAATTACATTATACTACAAATTTAGTTAAAACTTTGTCAAATAGTAATAAAAATGATTTATTATTATTAAAAACATCAATTTTTACATTTTGACTGTGATATACCTGATGATGAATTTTTAATTTGAAATAAGTAGGTTGTATAATACACTTATCATAATATTTGTGTATATAAGTTGTTCATACATTAAATTATTTGAAAATTCAGCCCATATTGTGGGAAATTACAGCTTAGTTATTTTTTTTTTAAAGTTACAAAAATCTTTTATTTACTGATTATTTGGTTTTCAGCCATGAGATCATCAAATTCAAAAATTCATTCTTAAACTTCCTCAGGTTTTAAAAAAGATAATTTAAAGAATGGTCTTAATAATTTTTAAATTTTTTACTTAGACCTAGTGATTTAATTTTTCTCCACATAGTCTAACCGGAATGAAAACGGTAACCTTTATGAATTATTTTAGGAAAAATTTCCAAGATAAACTTGTTTGAATTTAGCATACATTTTATGTGGTAAAGTCAAAGTCAAATCACCCATCTTTTTTTAATAATATGGACAATATATCTTTATAAATATTTGTATTTTTGCCTATTGATAAAAAAATACTAGTTGTGTTTAAATTCCATGTTTAGCTCCATAAATAATGAACAAAATGGTAATATTGTTTAGGGAAACTTTTGAATATGTCATCAAAATATAAAACATCATATTCAGCTAAATATTGTAACTCATTTTCGTGGTTGTAATTTAGAACACTAAAAATAATTTCACCATTTTCCCTTAATTTAACCCTGGTATAAAAAATATGGTCGCACAATTTGGTTGTGAACCAACATCACTCTTTTTTTGCTTTGCAATTTGGATGCAGCTGTTATAGTATGATAATATTATCTCATGAAACAAAAAATCCTCATTTGCTATGCTCTTACTACTGATTAAATATTATTGTAGATTATAATTTACAATAATATTCACATTTGCAAAAATTTCAAAAAAATTCTAATAAATAAAAAACGACCATAACTAAATAAAAGTTTCAAATACTAAACATTTTCTAAAAAACTATTTTACAAAATGGCTCTCTCGATTATTTTTTTTTTTTTAATATATTAAATATATTAGCTGTAGTACAGAGACACTATGTTATGAACCCCTGGTATTTTAGTTAGGTTTCTGGACCAATGGTTAGTATTAAGAATATAGTGTAAATGGTAGTTTGTATAGTGTACAGGCAAAAGGGAATGCACTGAGTTAACCCTTTTGTCTATCCCTTGGTTATGGTATGATATCGAGAGAATGATGTATGAAAATATAGTAGTAATATTATTCAATAATTCGTGAGTGTTCACTTAATTTATTTATTTGTTGTCGACTGTCAAAGTCCATAATAACTAATTATTAAAAAATATTGAATAGAACAAAAGTTATTGTATGTGTCAGATCATGTGACAGGGTGTCCACTCTATATACATAAAAATGACAAAGTGAACTTTAAATTGGTTTTATTTGCCGGGGATTTTAAGTATACAATTTTACCATGCATATTTGTAGTATTTTAGATTTTTAGTGCTATTTTTTACCAATATACAGTAATTATTGATTTATTTTATGTTATTAATAAATATTGTTTTTATTGAATGAAGGCTAAAGTATAAAGTTGTCATTTTATATGATTTTATTTTATTTATACATTTGTAATTTACTAATTTAAATTTCTAAAACATTGTTATTATAAAATAATATTTTTTTTATGTTTCAGGGTATACAGGCTATCCTACAAAGATATCTCTGGAGATAATAAAGATAATCAAATTTTGTTGTTTTTTTTCAATTACTGACAGGGATGAGGACTACAAATATTTATATTCAAATTAAAAATTTTTTTCATTTATTAAAAAAAATTACTTTATTTTATTATTTTCATAAAAAAATTTAAGATAGCCATTCTATAAAATCTATTCTTCTGAAAATTTTAATGTATCACATATTTATATCCAATAAATAGTTTTAAAACTAATGTTATCTAGGGAATAACCTACACTTGTTATTAGAATTTAGGTCCCCTGTTATATAGAAACTATACATTGAATATAAATATGTGATACATTAAAATTTTCAAAAATAATAAAAAAAAATTTGTACTTCTCATCCCTGTGAGTAATATTAAAAATAAAAACAGAATTTAATTATCTTTATTACCTCCAGAGATATTCAAGGGGTATATCTTTTTGGGACAGCCTGTATTATATTACATATTTTAAGATTTTTATTTCAGTCATATATTAAAATACTTTTTAGTGCTATAGATTTTAGCTCTAGTAATAACTAATATACAGGATAGACCAGTGAACTAGGAAGAATAACTCTTACAAACTTTAAAAAATTAATTTTTAATATTGTGGAAAACATATAGAACATTATTAAATGGCATATTTGCTATTTAAAGTTCAAAGCACTAAAATCTCAAATTCGGAAAATAAGTCAGTGAGATGGTGTCTGTTCCTCTGTATGCATTCCAGAAATTGTGGTGTGTAGGTTTTTTTATGACCAACATCTTCATGGAAATCAAAGCAATTTTTTCTTGGATTTTTGTCTTTGTCTGGACAAGGGTTCGTGGGCGAATTCAAATCATTTTGTAATATTCAGATTATCATCTGAAATTCAATTCTGTTGCTTGTTTTCAACCAAACTGCTTCAATTTTTGCAAGGGTTTGTTGAGTTCCTTAAGCTCTTGGTGGTTTATTTTTTATAGGTGAATTGGGCTCCTCTAAATTCTCAATCCAAATCTTGATTTCAGTTTATGATGAAATACAATCACTGTAGTGACATCAAAATTCCCTGCTAGCAACATTCAGACTATCGCCATTTTTGGTGATTTGCCTTCACAGGAAATGTACATTGTAAACTAATCCACTGATTCATAATTACTAAATGACAAGTACTTGTGAACATATAAATAACACTTCCACCTTTCTAGAAGCTTCCCAGTTCTAACATAATAACTTTCAAATTTTCCCGGTTTACTGGTCCACTCTGTACATATTAATTTTATTACTAACAGTTAAATAATATTGTTTAATGGTTTTTATTGTAACTAATATGACGTGTTTGGTTTCCTCAGATTTTGATAAGAATGAATGAACTGTGTGTTACTCGCATACCAACTGTTGCTGGTGGTGGACTGCATTCATCATCCTCCAGATCTAATCTATCCACAAACATGACTGGCACATCTTTAATATCAGCAATAAAAAAACCAAGGAAACATGAACAACGGTTGTTACGTAATGTCGGTGTTCACACAGTTGTGTTGGACCTGTTGCAGGTACCATATGATAGGAAAGGAGACAGGCGCATGGATGGTCTCATGGAACTGGCACATGAATTCTTGCAATCATTTTGCCTGGGTAACCCCCAAAACCAACATTTACTACATGCCCACTTGGATCTATTTCTTAACCCTGAGGTACACAATTTTCCAATTACAATGATAATAAAATTGTATTCACAATAGTAATAAATTTCATAATTCAAGTAGATTCGAGATGCGCGGACCGTCTGTGCAATATTTAAGGACAATCCAGTGCTGTGCAATGAAATTGGTGGTGGTGGTGGTGACAAAGTCGTTCAGCATTTCATACATTGTATTGAGTCCCAAGGAAAACGGGTTGAGTACTTGGAATTTTTCCAAACAATAGTAGGTTGCTGTTCACCAGAATCTGGATCTGTTTCTGGGGTAGGGACTGATGGGTCTATGCAAGAACCAGAAAGCTATTATTATGGTAGCAATAGCATGAATCAACGCCCTGGGGCAGCAGCAGTAGCTGCTGCTGCTATACAGAAACAGCAATTCATAAGAAAATCACAGGATATGGTAATGCAAGAAGTAAGTTTAACGAATATAACAATTATACGAAACAAACTTGAATTAATATTATATTTGTATGAATAAATAATTTGGTTCTAACTATTTATAATACTATGTATTTAAAATTATAAAATGTCCAATAAAAATAGGAAAAATATTGATCATGAAAATATTATTATTACTTCATCATGTGTAATCAGAGAATTTTTTTCATTTCAAAGTTCACCTTTTTTTAAAAAAAAAATGTTCTTATATATCATTTAATGTAGGTTTCAAATTAATTTTTTCTTTTCAATTTGTTCAACCTTTTTCTTAGAATGTCAAAATTAGAAGAGATTAATAGTTAATTTCAAATAGTTTCTTTATCCAATTTTACTTTCTTAATTTTAAATCATTATGTGAGCATGATAATTAAAATTAAAAAAATATATATTGACAAATTTAAGTCTAGAAACTAAAACAAAAAAAACCAAATATTACACACTAACATTATAATTAGAAGATATCTATCTTAGTTTTAATGTAATATACATATCAAATATTGATTTTCATACTCATGCAGTATTATGAATTATGATTTTTATTTTAAAAATCTTCATGTTGAATTTTATAATTGTATACTTTTCAATTTTCTAGTTTCTTTTTGCCAAAAGATTTCAGTAGATAGTTTTCTTTGTTCCACATGTGTTATATTTTTTTTTTTTTTTAAGATTTTATATAAATAAAAAAAAAAACTTTAAGGGTAATTTCAGGTTTATTATTTATCAACATTTTGTACATTTGTTTCATGGCTAATAACTTTACTATTATAAAATAAAATAAAATGAGTACAAATTGTGTTTTCGCCTAAAACTGGAAATTTATTCTATTTCTGGAAGATTCAATAATTTTGTTATACCTGTATAAATGAAATTTAAAGGTATAAAAGAAAAGTTTTTTTGGTCCATTCCATTGTATATCATAGAAGCACTAATTTATTCCGTCTATAATTTAATAATTCTTTAACTAATTGCTTAGTGTTACCTTTTTGTCATAGTAATATGGAGTAATCTATTATTTTTTATATAATAATAAATTTGTACATACTTATAGTTTGTTGAATGGTGTAGTTTTCTTACTTTTAACTCAACTAGAGTAAATTTCCTTCATAAATATGCATCTATAAATATTAACATATTAATTTTTATCAACTAAAAACAATTGGGTTTAATCTTACTAAAATTAAGATATTTTTTAAATAATTCTCAAAAAAAAATTTGTTTATAATGTGATTTACTGTGATTTATAATTGTATTATTTTCTTATTTATACAAGTGATTTATTAAGCATACTCACACCATGTAGCAATCATTTGGTGATACTATCTTTGTTTTGTCAAATAAGAACCAATGTAAAAATTCCATAAATAAATGGAGGAATATTTAAAATTAATTTCAGCATTGAAATTTTTGAGTTTTGTTAACTAGTTTAAGAGATATTCCACTTTTAAGTTTAATCAGGGGGGGGCCGAAGTGGAGCATAATTTGTGTAGCAGCATAGCACCTGGTGTTTGAATAGTGCTCCACTACTTTCCCACTTCTTAAACTTGAAAAAAAAAAAATTCAATACTAAAATTTATTTTATATAATACTCTATCTATTTTTGTAATTTTTAATATAAGTTCTCATTTGAAAAACGAAAGTTGATATCATCAACAGGATACTCTTTAATTGGGATGAAAAATCTAAGTATATGAAAATATCATCTCTACACTTAAAAATTCCTAAAAAAAAGAATTTGCATATATGTATAATTTACCCCTAAATATGGGTTAAGCATGTTTAATGAATTACATTGTATATAATTAGGTTTAAATTTTGTTTATAAATATACTGAATTAAAATTTAATAAATTAATTTTTTACACCCGATCTTTAATTATTATAAAAATACTACTGTTAGATAAACTAAATCTAACCCAATATTGCTTTTCTAATACCTACTCAATCACGCATCAAAAAATTATAGAGTAATTCCATTATTATTAAACCTATAGGAACTTAGTATTATATTAAATTAAATGTTGTTTAAACAGCTACTGAACGCAGGAGAAGATGTGCTGGTGTTTTATAATGATAATAAGGCATCATTTCAACAATTTGTGGAAATGATGCAAAATGAGCGTGATCGACAGTACCGAGAAGACATGCAAATAGCTGGTAGATTAAATGAAACCACTGCAGAAGAAACCTTAGTACAAGACAAACAACCACAAATTTCCAGTGACATTCTAGAGTCAGCAACTGTAGGTGCAGTAGAAACAATGACAGGGGAAGAATCTGCTCAACAAGAAACACCTCTGGCAACCACAGAATCAGAATATGGAGACAATAATGGTCATGGCGCTCTACTGTTCGTTTGTCTATTTATTTTTTGTTATTTGTTTATTACTATGTAGGTGATTCATTTACATAAAATACTCATTATTTTGCAAAGTAATGACTTTAAAAAGTTTTAAAAGTTTAAAAAAACAAGCAGCTCTAAAATGTTACTTTACCATTATTTGTCGTCATGCTTACTTTGAAGCGGGAGATGAAAGGACTACAGATTACCTACTTTTGATTTTCAAATGGTAACCTATACTAAAACTTACACAAATAATTGAAGTAATAGTTTAAATATTTAAACAATACATTTTGGTTCAGAAATCGTTAATTTCCATCAATCTATTGAGAAGATATTCCACTAGGTTTATGTTGAGAGGATCAGTGGAGCACAGTAATGCAAGAACTGTCCTTGCAAATTTTTCTTCTTGGACTACTGCTTTAGATTCAATAACAAGGAATGTATGGTTTTACTATTATGTTTATTATTACTTTTTTTTTTTATGTGTACAAAAATTCTACCATTTCTACCAGAAATCTTTATACATGTGGCAACATTTCTGAAAAGAAATATTATCTAGATTAGATGGTATTTTAGGAAATTTGGTTTTTTGATTTTTCAATCAGTTTTCATAATATCTGGGAAAAACCAGGATAAAATCAAGAAAACCAAGACATTTAAAAAAATAATGCTTTTATTTTTTTTTTGATTTTGTTATTTGTTGTAATTTAGTTAAAAAATGTTTGTAAAGACTTGTTATTTTGACACAAGATTCCTCATTTTTGGCATTTCTAGACGTGGTAAAATATTTTGAAAATTTTAACCATTTTTAAGTTATATATGAATATTTTAATTTTTCGAGGTTTTTACGTAATTTTTATTTGATAGGTTCTTTTTTTTAAAAATTGTTGGACTAAACTCAAATGCTTAGAAACTTAACAGAATTTTCATTAAAAGTCTGTGATTGAAAAAATAATTTAAGCTTATTATAGAATTTTTTTTTTACAACGGAATTTTAATATCAAATTTTGATGAAAACCTTTGTTTTGAACGAAAAGTTAAAAATTATGTTGAACAAATTAATTTTTCAATTTTTTTGTTTTAGATTCCAAGTGGAAGAAGCTTATAGTTTTACAAAGATGTTTTTTTTTTATCTGTGCGCCACTTTTCTACCAACAATTTGACTCCAACTTTTCATATTAGCAATATTCCTAAAAGGAAATTTCTCTAGCAAGGTATTTTAGAGGAGTCATTTTTTTCGATTTTCTTATGAGTGTTTTCATCACATTTGAAAAACCAAGTTAAAACATGGGAAAATCATAGGAAAACTGAGAAAATTGGTACAACATTAAACAAATTTTATTAAAGAAAATATATGAAGCCTATTTAATTATTTTACTACAAATTGACATAAATATTGTTGACAAAGCATCACTATCAATTGAGTTCCACTCAAAATCGTTTTTTCGTTAGCAATGGTTTATTGTTGCTCACAGATATACATTAAATTCCCGTCTGTATCCTACCTTCCCAACTTCCCACCTACACCAATGGCTGCACCCATTCCCATTATTTTAACTTTTTTTTTTATTTTGAACATACAGAAATTATTAACTTTATTTAGAATTTGTTTTCTAGAAAATTCAAGAAACAAGCAGCTCTGCAATTTCATATTTATGTTATTTTTTGTCTCCCTTATTTTTGAGGGTAAAACCACTACTTATTTTTGATTTTCAAATGGCAATATATATTAAAAATTCCATAAATAGATAAAATATTATTTAAAATAAATTTTTATGTTGAAATTTTTTATTTTTGTCTAGCCATTAGAGAGATATTCCACTTTTAAGTTTCGGTTGGGTGAGAGTAGTGGAGTATCATTTGTGTGGTGTTAATAATACACTACAACTCTCATCTAACCCAAACTTAAAAGTTGAATATCTCGTCAATGGCTAGACAGAAATCAAAAATGTCAACACTAAAATTTAATTTAACTAATACTCCATCCATTTAATACTGATTAATCTTTTTAATATAGGTTGCCATTTTAAAATCATATGGAAGTAGTTGTTTTACCCCCAAAACTAAGGGTGATAAAAAATAACATAAATATAAAATTCTAGAGCAGATTGCCTCTTAAATGTTCTTAAATGAGATAATGAGTGTACCCACTTAAATGAACCACCTGGTATGTATATTGCTGATTTAATAATGATGGTGAAGTCAGAATTGAGCAGACTGACTTAGTTTTGAGTTTTGAAATTATAGCTTTTTGAAGTTCTGATATTATGTGGATATTATATGTCATGTTAAATAATTCTGTATCGTCAATTTTAATGTATGTCTGTCGTAGTCTAATTGTGGTCATCCAGTTATTGTCATCCTAGAGATTGCAAGTTCAAACCGTATTCCAAATTGTTTGGATTAGTTTTTTCCCTTTTACCTAAATAGGGAAATAAAAAATGCATTTTGGGTGTACCTAATGTATCCAAGCTGTTGCTCCAGAAATCTTGTTCCGTTGTATCAAGTGTAGGACCTTTTTAGAAAAAAAAATTTATCATTGTTTTTGGTTTTTTCAAGAGTTTTTGCATTAATTGGGAAAAACGGGAAAATAAACACAACATAACCATTTTACCATAATGTAATGTAATATATATTGTTGTCAAAGCAACACTATTATCTTAGAATCGTATTTCATTAGCAATGATTAATCTTTGTGTAGAAATATACATTAAATTTCCTCTTTACCTTCTCAACTTCTCACCTACAATAGTGACCTACCACATGCAATATGTCAGTCTTTTTTTTTAAATGTGTTTTTATGTATATAACTCAATTTAAAGATATGGAGTTTCTATTAGTTTGACAATGACTATATTTTATTATCTATAGGTTTATTTTTGTCACAAACTATCAAAATTCAGTTGGTTAACCAACCTTTAGTGCTAATGAGTTCAGTTAATTAGTTAGTCAATTGATATAAATATATAATCAATATTTTTGTGGTGTTATTACTATAATAATCTAAAAATTCATTAGTCCTAAGGGGTGTACCAATACATTTTGTAATAGTTCACTGACATTTGATACCAATTATTTTATACCAGTCTTAGGTTCAGTAATGGAAATCAATGTATTCCTACCATTATCCAAAATTATTAATAATAATACTATCAATTGAATATTAATCAATTATTTAAATTCTATCATTTCTACTTCCAGCTTAATAATACATTACAGTATTTAAAAAAAATTACTTCCTAATCATTTTTTTTTTATTAGAAAACTAATTAATTTAATTCATTTTTTAAAAAGTTCATTTTAAACAAAATTGGAAGTAGTGTCAGTAGTATTCATATTATTTTAATGAATTGGCTTAGATATGTATAATGTATATATTGCTTATTATTTTAAGGAGAAAATGAGAGGAGATAAAAACAAATTTATATATTTTGTGATAGTGTGGTTAGTTCTAACACCTGTTACTCCAAAAATTTCTGAAATTTACACTGATTTGTTTTTTCAAGGGGTAGTTTACACCAGTTTGTACTAATACATTTCTTGAAAACTACAACACTTAAAGCATGCACATTTTTTATATATACTGTGAATTTTATTTAATTGTATTTTATAGTATTACAGTTTAAGGCACATATGTCTTCAATTAAATTCCTTGTGAGGGGGTGAAATAATAAAATGTTTAATAAGAACATTATTTTCTGAAGTTATAACTAATTAATTATAAACAATAGATATTTAGTGATATAGGGGGAGGGAATTCAATCCCCTTATGAATATAAAACTATCCCTCTTATAATTTAGGTTAGTATTCATTTTAGGGCCCATGATTTATCTTATAATTGTAGGAAGAGAATATCTAATTCTAGTTATGCTACTGGTGAAGCATCATTTGTGTTATGGGACAGTGCATGGCATTTGAATAGTGTTCTGTTACTCTCTTAATAACTAAACTTAAAAGTGGAATATTTCGTCAATGAACTGATGGAAATACATAATTTTAATCAAAGTGTATTTAAACTAATACTTAATCTACATAATTAATTTTAAATATAGGTTTCCATATAAAATCAAAAGTAGGTAGTCATTTCACCTTCAAAAGTAAGAGTAACAAAAAAATAATGGTAATGTAACATTTTAGAGCTGCTTGTATTTTAAATTGTAAAAAAGAGTCTATACCTTGTAATACAATAAGTGTTTTATGTGTGTGATTCATTTACCCTCTATTATCAGATTAAGATATCTATACAAATAAAAAATGTTTCTTTAGTAGTTTACTAGTTCTGACTTTCTGAATATATAATGTAAAACAAGTACACTCCTCAACTAGAATACAGATGTTTTAGTACAGACCATTGTTGTGGGAGAAAAGTTTTACATAAAGAAAATATAGGTTTTACTTTATTTATGTATGCCTCCTAGATTAATCTTGATCATTACTAGGGTCATGATTACTAGGGTCACACATCTATAAAATTTACTAAATATTAAAAATACATTTTCTTATTCTCATTCAAAAATACAGGATTCAAATTTTGAATAATATGAACATCACATAGCATGGAAACATGCAAAGTGCTATTGAAATCCTAGCCCCAATAAAACCTCAATCTATCGAGTATAATCAGAGCCAGTCGAATAGTATTAGAGTTTTTTTTCTTTTGTATCAGCAGTTTATCCTAGAATTATCAAAATAATTTTAATTTTAAAATATTTAAATGTATGTTTTTAAGGAGGTACATCTTGTAGATTTTTTAATTGTTTCCATTTAAAAATAAAAAGGAATAATCTCCTATTGTTCTATATTTGCAATAGATATCATATCGAATTGGTGAAACTATTGGCCTATTGTACAATGGGTAAGAACGTGTACACAGAAATCAAGTGTCATAGTCTATTACCACTAGATGACATTGTAGCCATGTTAACACATCCACACTGCATACCAGAGGTAAATAATGATTTCACCATGATAACCAAAGTTAACATTGATTGATTATATTATTGTACAGGTGAAAGAGGCCTATGTCAGCTTTTTGAATCACTGTTACGTGGACACAGAAGTAGAGATGAAAGAAATTTATGCTTCCAATCATATGTGGACAGTCTTTGAGAAAAGCTTCCTACCGGACATGTGCCGAGTGGCTGATCAAGTGGCCGCTGCAGCTGCAATTGGAAATTCTACAACCACCAACTCATCACCAACAACTATTAACGTGACTCGCACGAAAACACATAGGCAGCTGTCCAAATACGTTTGTGAAGCTCTCATAATGGTGATTGGTTCATTTTTTGGCAGTCCGTTTTCATCCACAGCCGCAGCTGCCGCTGCAGCAGCTGCCGCTTCCTCTGCAGATCACAACCATCCCCACAGACTGCAAACAGGCACAGACGAAAGTGTAGGTGGTTCATCTTCTGCAACCATAGCAGCTGCTGCTTCAGTCGCTAACACAGTCAATACAGCAGTAGTACAGGTATTGTTTTCAAAGAAATGTGAAACTAAGTGCATGTAATAATAGTGATTTGATGAAAAATTATGTTAACTTATTGTTAACAACTTATATAATACTTATTTAATACATTTCATAGTAAAAATTTGTTAAAATAAAATATATATATATATATATATATAAAATGATGATATAATAATATAATTTTATTATAAATAATAACACTTATTTGACCATTAAAATTCAGAGTTAAGTTGAGTTATACATGCTTTGTTGAAAGGCCATGATATTTATGATTTTAGTCAAAATTTGATTTTATAACTTTTAAAAAACGACTGACATACTTGGCACATGAGTGAGCCACTGTTGTATGTGAGAAGTTGGGAAGGTAGAGGGGAAATTTAATATATATCTTTATGATTAACTATTGCTAACAAAAAACAATCCTTAGCTAAGTTTAGTTTAATTATTATTTACATTATGATAAAATAATTATGTATGCATTTTATATTTTCTTAAATAATATTTATTTAATATTGTATCCGTTTCCCAGTTTTTACCATTTATTGGGAAAATCAAAATGTGACCTCCTTAAATTACCTCTCCATTCAGATCATCTTTCAGAAAAACTGCTATAATTGTAAATCTGAGGAAAATTGTTGATAGAAAAGTTGTTTACAGATGTTCATATTATCCAATGCATTTCTCAATCTGCTTTGAATCTAAAAATATAACATTAAACTATATTTTTATTTTTTTGCCACTAAGAGTGTAACGATCCTCCTATCAAATTTTGAAGTATTTCTGTAGATAAATTGTTAGCAATTTATCTAGATGTACCAAAAACAAATTATGTAAAAAGTTCTAAAATTTAACAATGTCTATAAATAGCTTAAAAATCTCTCAAATGTTCTAAATATTTATTATTAAATTAATTTTTTAATTAATCATTAATTATTATTAAAAGGAACAAAATCGATCTCTTGCCAATTTTGGATTCGAGGAATATTTCTGGTAGAAAACACTTATAAATTTGTTAATATTTCATATTGGTGATATTATATTATAATATTTATCTATAATTTTCTTTCTGGTTTTTCACAATTATTTTGAAAACCACTAGTAAAATCTAAAAACGACCTCTCCAATAAAGGTAAAACTTTCAGAACTTTTAAGCAATTTTTGATCTATTTATACGCATTTTCATTTTTCGAGTTTTTACGTACATTTTTATTTGGGGTTTACTCTATAGATAAATTATTAGACTTAACTGAAATACTTGAACATTTGATAGGAAGTTTATTATAGGTCGTACTTAATGACAAAATATAAAAATTTAGTTTAATGTGCTTAGAATTTTTTTTTATTTATAAAAAAAGTTAGAATCTAATTTTGATGAAATCATAAATATCCTGTTTTTAAAACATGTATATCCGAATTTCTTTCCTTATCAATGTTTTTCATTATCAATGGTCATTTTCCTTGGTCACAGATATAAATTAAATGACTATGTATCCTATCTTCCCCATTACCCACCTATAACAGTAGTCATACTCGTCTTCAGTATCAGCAATTTTTTTTAAATATTTTTTTTCCCCTTTTTTTTCTAATTATTATGAAAACCCCTTGGAAAATCAAAAACCAACCTTTCCATTGTACCAACTAAATATTATATATATATATATATATTACTGATATATTGAAGTAAGATTTCTTATTGAAGTTTAGGTTAGGTTAGATTAAGTTACTCACAGATACAATAAATACAAAAAAAAAAAAAATACTAAAACAAACATAGCTAAACCAATTGATCCATCCCCATACTCTGAATGTAAAAAAATGAGACTACAATTTAGGTGTCAGTTTTGAACCAATTCCCTTCCCTATTCATAAATCATATGATTAGCAGAGACATAAAGTGATCCTACTATCTTTGTTACTTTAATTTTGTTATGTTATAAAACATTACACAACATATATAAATATTTTAGACACAAATTAGACACAGATCACAGATCATTGTAAATCAATGTGTGTGTGTATGTGTAAACAGTTATTCAATTTAATTAATTATTCTGCAGTAATACTGGTGATGTGCACATTTAAACATTTAGTATAAATGAAAATATATGGTTTATTACAGGCACGGCAGCCAATTTTCGTACAACTCTTGCAGGCTGCGGTTCGGTTACATCAGCAATTAACAGCCACTGGTCATTTGAATGTCCAACAGAGGTTCAATGTCGAAAATACTATACGTATACTATCCGATTATGGTTAGTGGCTACATATTAATATTCAATTTGTTATATAATATATAATATTTATTACATGTCAAGAGACTTATCTAATTTACTGATCTAATAATGGTTTCAGTTAAATATTACATTTTATATCAATTGATTTGAACTTAGTTTCAAGCAGACATTTTTATTTTTAATAGCTAAGAATATGTCAATAGACGTGCCTTTACATCTGCTAAGTCAGGTCAACAATATATTTAACAAACAATCACAAACCTCTGGCGGTGGGGGCTCACCATGTGGTGGTTCGTCACCATCAGCGTTGTTATTAAGAAGACAGACTACCAAATGGTTGCAAGCCGCTAAGTCTACACCAAAAAAAATGATCGAAAGGTCACAATCACAGGTATTATTTTTATAATCACTTATTACACTTTCTTATAACAGTGGTTTTATGTTAGTTATTATCCATCACTGGTTAAAGAAAATATGTAATACAAATTTAGTTTTATTATTCTATTTTAGTTGATTCGACTAGACAAGAGTATTGTAGAAGGCTTGCAAGATATTGTGCTAGTTTTGGAAGACCAACTTAGACCATTGGTGCAAGCTGAACTATCATTACTCGTAGATATATTGTACCGACCAGAATTGTTATTTCCAGCTGTAGCAGCAGCTGCAGCCATAGGGGACACAGCATCAGTTGCAGTGGCTGCTTCAACATGTGGAGTTACTGGTTTCATCAACAGGTATTAAAGATACCGCATCAGGTTTATTTTATTTTTGTATCCTCCTTTCCGTGTATTTTTTGAATTTTTAAATCTCTTTTATGCTTCTCATTAAACCTTGAGGATTAATTCAAACTATTAAAGTATAAAATCTAACTTAACATGAAGTTAAATTTTTTAATGTAGACTTATTAAACATACGGAACAGCTATTAGAAGAAAAAGAAGACAAATTATGTGTCAAAGTTTTGAAAACTCTTCAAGAAATGATGGCGATAGACCTGGATTATGGCGAGAAGGTATTTTCATATTATAATAATATTTCCATTGTATTCATTACTTAACACATGAATATTACAGGGAGATGTGCTTAGACAAAGTCTACTAGTAAGATATTTCAATGGTGGCGCTGTTGGCATTGGAATAAATACAGATAGCTCAAGTGATAGTGGAATAGAACCTTCTGATCGAGATGATAATGGCAGCAGCAATGGAACTGATGAAGAAGAAGACAAAAGTAATATCAATATCTCCACAAAGACTGTTGGACGTCTTAAAGGCATTAGCGGTACAGCAGATCCATCAATAAAAACAGCAACTACCAATCAACAACAACAACCACAACATTTGCCTCCATCACAATCAACAACTCCATGGTCTCCTCCGCCACCTATATCCTTTAGAACTGAACAACTTCAACAGCAACACAGAGTCACACATGGACCTGGTGGTGAGTGTTAATTGATTTGCCTAATCAATAATATAAGATCATAATAGTATCCGGTTTTATATGGTTTTAGCTAAGTTCTTGCAACGAGCCGGGTTAACTTTACATGAAGTACAAACCCACCTAGACCGAGAAGGTGCATCAGACTTAGTAGTTGAACTAATCATAAAATCAGCCGCTGCTTCAGCAGCCGCAGCTTCCGTGTCCAGTAGTGGCGGTGGTGGTGGTGGAGCCGTTGGTGGCTTTTTTGGTTCTAATGGCGTTGGCAGTGTTAGTGGTAATTTTTTTGGTAGTAATTACTACTTTGGTAATAGTTTAGGAGGGGTAGGTAGTTTTGGACCATCCACTTCTGCTGCCGCTGCTGCACTCTCTGCATCTCCATCTTACTCTATATTCGTCGAGGCCGTGCAACTGGGTGTCGCCCTCTTAGAAGGTGGAAATCCAATAGTCCAGCGTAGCGTTTACAATAAACTACTGTCACCCTTGGCCCCGGGTACGGCTGCTGCTGCAGCAGCTGCAGCTTCGGCGGGCGGTGCGGCTGGCAGTGGTCGTGGTAGTGGAGCTAGTCCTACCGATCCATCAGTAAACTGCTGCCAACTATTTTTCCGAGTGTTTTATGATAAAATGCGCGATGCTCAGAACGAAATCAAGTCGACAGTTATCGTATCGGTGAATACAGCTGCCACGACAGCCGCGGCTCAGGCGGCCCAACAACAGCAACAAGAGGCCGAAATGGCGGCCAGTGGACGACGGATGCCGGCTGTTGGTGGACAACAGCATCGCGGTAATCAGCGGCGACAAAACAACCGTTTTGTCCGGAACTCTGGAAAAAAGGGTATTTTCGCACTGTATCTAATAATTATTTTGTTATATACGTTTTGTAAATTTCTTATTTGTGTATAGGTGGTAAATCAACAAGATCTAGAGATAGTGGTGGGAAACGACAGATATTGATGACAGATGAGTTACGTGAAGAGTTGGCTCAAGCAGCAGCAGCTACCAGCCAAGCTTATGTGGCTGGTGCTCGGAATTTGTCAGCCGCTTCCTCTACAACTTCTGGTACAGATACATGTATGCACTAATAAACTAAATAAAAATAAATAATCAAGTTAATACTGTGATTGAGTAATAACATTACAATGTTCTAATATATTTGTATTTATTTAGAATTTGATTTATACAATTTAGAGATTTAAAAATTTCTCTTTATAGCTTAATTAGTTATTGTTTACACAACAGGTGAACGAGATGATGACTGTGATGGAAATTCATCTTTGTCCATGGTGACAGCTGAAGGTGACATTGGCACTGCATCTGACAGACTTCAACGAGCTGATGACTCATACTATTACTACTACCACAGACAGCAACAGCAACAGCAGCAGTACTTGCAACAACAACAACAGCAGCAACAACAATTATTATCCCCCAAAATTCTGATAATGCAACCAATCCTTCGATTCCTACAATTACTGTGTGAGAATCATAACCGTGATCTTCAGGTAAATATATTTGATTTTTAGATTTTTCTCTATGTTTTTTCAATATTTTGAAGTACATATTATTAATTATACTAGTTAAAAGCCAAATACAAATTATTGAAGTATATTTATAGAATTATTCTGCTATACTGGCACATTATAGAATGTCTCATCTTATATTTGGTTATTATCGTAATAAATGAACTCTTAGTTTTTATATTACTAACCAATTGAAAGCTTTTTCTATATTTCCAAAATAATAATGTATGCAGTAGACTATTCTTCCTAATTTTTAATGGTTTTAAAAGTAGTGTTGCCTTTATTAGTGTTCTTCCAATCCACACAGTATTCAGTAATGGAACATGTTTTTAGATTTATTAGCTCAATGCATAGTTAGAATAATTTTATTTTATTTGTTAGAACCTGTTACGCAACCAAAACAATAAGGTCAATTATAACCTGGTGTCTGAGACTCTCATGTTCTTAGATTGCATTTGTGGTTCTACCACCGGTGGTCTAGGACTTCTGGGCCTATACATAAATGAAAACAATGTATCGCTCATCAATCAAACTTTAGAAACATTAACAGAATACTGCCAGGTCAGTATTACTATATTATAATACATATTATTGAATCTGAGGGTTATTATAGCAAATGCTATCATATAGGGGCCCTGTCATGACAATCAAAACTGTATTGCCACTCATGAATCCAATGGGCTGGACATTATCACAGCTCTCATATTAAATGACATTAACCCTTTGGGAAAAACACGTATGGATCTAGTGCTTGAGCTGAAAAATAATGCGTCAAAATTGCTGTTGGCCATTATGGAGAGTCGTGGCGATGGGGAAAATGCTGAGCGCATCCTGTACAACATGAATCCAAAGCAGTTGGTAATTATTAAAAGTTTTGGGCATGACCATGATCCCTTTGCCATTATTGTATCATTCAATTTGTGAAATCAGTGTAACTTTGAATAATTATCATCAATTTATAGGTGGATGTGGCTTGTCGTGCCTACTATCAGCAGCAATACGATTCAGCATCATTGTTAGCACGTCGTCGCCGCGGCATTCTGTACTGTGTTAATGATGATGACGAATATTGTGATGAAGATGACGAAGAAGATGATGATCAAGATGATTGTGACGAGGAATGTGATGAAGAAGACATTCTACTTAGAGAAGGCGCATCAATTAATGGTAGTCGCGGTCGAGGTACCAGTGGTGTTGATGGCGATGTTGAAGATGATGATGATGATGAAAGTGGTGTGTCTCCAAAAGAGGTATTAGAGCAGTAGCAGTTTTGGTCCTGATAAAGAACAATTCTATGTATATTTAATATAATATATTGTGTAGTATATTATTTTATACAATGGCCCAACCAGAGGGGTTTGGAAGTTATACCTCCTCGCCTCTCCAAAATTTGAGTGTTTTTATGAATCCTACATAATAATTTGTTTTGTTTAGAAAACTAAAAATAGGTACTAAATTTGTATTGCATGTTTTAGACTTAAGTCTAGTCTCTAAAATGTTCACACAGTACATTCAAATAGTGATTATTTTGCAATTCCCTTGAAACCTAACTGATTAATTGGTTTTGTTTTGTTAATTTTGGAGTTATCTTAACTACAGTACATTTCATGAAACTAGCGACTCTGGAGTGATGCTTCCGGTAACAAAATTTTCGGTGTTTCTCAAACTTGCACATAATACGCGGCAATTTAGAATACTGCATTGTTTTTAAAAAATATACATTTTCTTTTAATATTCTAACATTTATATTTACAATTAAAGTGATTCATGGTCATTATCCTCGCTTTCACTGCTTTCTTCCTGGATAATTGTCAAAACTATTGGCTCCAAAATCTGGTCCCTGAATCCTTCTATAATAAAGTTTTCATCTTCGCTATGATCAACACAACATTTCCAATTGTCTAGAATAACGGATTCTATTCTATTTGATGGTTGATTGTCGCGTAATTTTTAAATTACCTCGCCTTTTTAGTTACACGTTTAGGAAACCCTCACGAGAATCTGCCATCGGAAGCGCCACGCGGAGTCGCTAGTTTCATGAAACGTACTGTATATGGAAAAACAATATAACTAACATTTTACCAAATTACAGAGCTCGACTCAAAATCATTTTTTGATTTATTTTTTTGTTCTCAGTATATTATAAACTATATTACTTTATTCCCTATACATTTGAATCTTTCTACCACAACAATGGCTTACCATTGATGCAAAGTATATGTATGTTTTAGATTCTGAGTGGAGTGAAAAAACTTTTGGTTTTACAGATATTTATTTATTTTTTTATCTGCACAACTTTTCTACAAGAAATCTTACTCAAATTTTTAAATGTAGCACCAATTCTGAAAGAAAATCTGACTGGGGGAGGGTACTTCAAGGAGAAAGAACATAGGAAAACCTAAACAATTAGTACAATATTAAACAAATATTATTAAAGAAAATATATAATGGATATTTAATTATTTTACCATAATATGATGTATATATTGTTGAAAAAACACCATTGTTAGCAATGGTTTATTATTAAATTTTGATTCTGTTTTTTTCTTCGGAAAACTCATTAAGCCTGTTCTTAAAATGTCAGGGTTAAGTGTACTGATTACAGTAATCCATTCTTACAACCATTAACTACAACTAACTGGCAGTTTTAATACAAATGATTTCCAAAACAGCCACCCATGACCAAATTGTATTGTTTTATTTGTGCATAGAAACATTGAATTTTTGAGTTATCATTTTTTATTGTTATTATCATTTATACAATCTGATAATTCATTGTGTTACGTAATATTATATTTACTTGACTGTTTAATTTTACAAAACTAAAAATTGATAATACAATCCGAAAGATTTCAGTTTAAAACTTAATGATTAACACAGTGTACACACAGTATTTAAACTAAATTACTATGTATATCCTATATCTTTTCAATTACCCATCTACAACAATCTACCATGATCAGTTAAAACTTTGAAATTAAAAAATTTCAACTTATGACATCAACCCTACCCTCAAAAAATAAATTCTGGTTGTACCACTGATATTAAATAATTTTTTTTTCTCTCTAAATCAAAAAGGTGTATTTTTTTGCATGTATAGGTAGGCCACAATATTTACATATTATGCCACCAACTGGCACAGCACAACAAGGAATTAGCTGGTTTACTAAAACCGAACAGTCTGTATTGTGGTGAAGTTGAAGGTGGACAAACTGCAGGTGGTCAAAATCAACAACAGCTTCAACAACAACAACAGCTATTGCAACAACAAAACCAAGTTGATCCTCGGGTGAATCGTGCTCTTGTCTATTACGCATCTCACACAGCCCAAATTGAGGTATTTGGTAATTTGATATATTTATTTATTTACACAGACAATAATTGTTGTGACATTGTTACATAAATTGTTGTAAATATTTATTTTTTCTAGATTGTTAGACATGACAGGACTTTGGAACAAATTGTATTTCCCATACCTGAAATCTGTGAATACCTGACTAGGGACACAAAAATAAAAATTTATAATACCGCTGAGCTTGATGACCAAGGATCCAAAGTATCAGATTTTTTTGAAAAAACTGATGATATGTTCAATGAAATGATGTGGCAAAAAAAGCTAAGGGGTAATTAATTTAAATCGTACAATAATAAAAATAATAACTGTAATTAAAGGATAGGGTACAATAACCAGGTATCTCCGTTTTTTTTTCAAAATTCATGTTTTAACATATTATAGTGAACAATTTTGTATACAAGATGGTCCAACAACAATACATCTCTAAAAGACAGATAAGCTAATATCACACAAAAGAAAATATCTGGTTTAAAATGTTTAGTGCAATAACTGGATATCTCAGGAAACTGTACATTACAAATTTGTTAACTAGTATAAATATATGTATTAAATACCTAACATTTTGTTAACACAGCAACCTCCATATTATTTTGTAGCATAAACTCAAGTATTTACTAATTTTGATATACCTGGTTTTTTATGATAAAACATACAATTAGCTCAAATTTATCATCATAAAAAGTTGTGATTGGTTGGATGGTTATAATAATAAATATGATAATATTTTTTTAATGTTTGTTTACATTATTTTATTTAATGTTGCAAACAATTTTGAGATATTAAAAAAAAAAAAAATTAATCATGGATTTAAATTGGAAGGGAAGTCACTAAATTTTGTTTCGACATATTCAAAAGTATTTAGATTTTATTTACTGTTATATATATATATATATGTACACCTAAAGCATAAACCTAATGCAATAAAAACAGTAATTTGATCAAAGGGGTTAATAAAACTGTTTTTTATGTCTTCTAAAATATTACATAAAGTGGAGATACCTGATTTGTTATTGCACCCAACCCTTCAATTATAAAAATAAAAACTATCCTATATTTTTATAGCACGGCCATCACTTTTCTGGGTCAGCAGTTTCATGTCTCTGTGGAGCAATATTCTGTTCAATTGCGCTGTCATTATCAATTTAATTGTGGCATTTTTCTATCCTTTTGACCATGGTGGTAGCAGTGGTGGCAACAGCAATGATGGTCAACGCCGTCGAATGATATCAGGTGAGTGTTCCCTCTTTTTTTACTGTACTGTATTATTAATTTACTTGTAAAAATGGTCCAATAAACTTGAAATTTTAAATACGCAATACTATTTTAATTATATTATGGTAATCAATAATCAGATTTTTTTTTTTTTTTCAATATTCATCGCAGGATGGTTGGGACACTGTTGTAAGTGAGAAGTTGGGAAGGTAGGATATAGAAAGGAATTTAGAGTGTATCTGTAGGCAATAATTGAACTTTGATAATGAATTGTGAACTAAGGTGGGTTATACATATTTTAAAAGACCGTAATTTGAAAATATTACATTTACTATATTTTCCCATTTTTTCTACAGTCTCTCCCCTTCACAGTTTTTCATATTAATTAATAATAATTGGGATAACCAAAAAATGACCTGTTTAAACTACCACCTCAATCAGATTCCTTTCAATAGAATTACTATAATTGAAAATCGGAACAAAATTTCTGGTATAAAAGTTGTTCACAGAAAAAAAAAAAAGATTCCTAACATTTTATTATGTTTAGAAAAAGCTATAAGTATTCTGTGAAAATGTCCGACCTTTACCATTATTTTTTTGAATTTTTACCAAAAAAAAAATCGAAAATAATGAAACAACTAATACACTGAAATTGTCATTTTTCTCAATTTTTAAGAAAACTACAGAAAAACTTTCATACACACAGACTAGAAAACATTTTCTTTTAAAAAAGATGCTACTCTTGAAATTTGTACTCAGTGTTCTAGTAGAAAATCTAAAAGTTTAAAAAATAAAAAGAATTATTGTTAACTTCCGAAAATAATTAGTTATAAATTATGTTGATCACCCGTTTATATATGAGAAAATTCTTACCTAACCTAACCTCTTGAATGAGGTTGATGTATATGTAACCCATTTATGAATTTTTCTGAAAACTGCTCACAGCTCTAGGTGGCCATGTTTCGGCAGCCGTGTGGCTCGGGTTGTTGGCTTCTGTTAGTGCAGCTGCGTTTCTAGTGTGGGCCCGAGATGATGAGAACGCTGATGATGTGGACGATGATGAAGAGGATGACGATGAAGATGAAGATGACGCTGGTGGAGGGTCTGGTGGTGGTGGTAGTGGTGGTGACAGAGACCAACAGCAGCAGCAACGTAAGTCGACTATCCGTCGCCGTATCCAGCAACAACGGCGCAGACGTAGGCGTACATTGCTTTCAACCAGGACCAGCCGCCGGAGGTGGACAACTGCTGTCCGTACCACTCTTGTGGTTACCGCCATCTTCCGGTTAATATTGTCTGTTGGGCCGGAACCTACACTCTGGCTTTTGGGTGCTATCACAGTATGTGAAAAGAAACCTCTTCCAACTTTATAGTGAACCATTTTAGTAATAATAGGGCCTTATATAATATTTGTGCACAATATTCCAAAAATACTTAGAAGTATGCATATTGAATTTGTTTTACCTAATTCAAAAAATTAAATTATATCTTTAAAACAATTAAATATAGTAAAATATATATATATATATATATATAAATAAAAAACAAATAAATGAATAAATACACCTGAGTAGTATGATAATATGTGTACAATGTACTTACATTTTTCTTTTTTCCTATTATGAAAACTACAATTTTGATAACACTAATTTTTTTATTTATTATATTTCAAATATTAATATTCATATGTTTAATGTTGAATGTATGAAAATAAATAATTAGACCTTAACATTAGAAGAGTTTTAATATGAAAACATAGACATTTTTGCTAAAATTAAATAATATAATCTTGATCACCATTAAATTGTACTGTTTAATGGAACAAAATTAATAAATATTGTCATATTTTTATTATAATTTTTTTTTTTTTTTCATTACCACAGGTAGTAATGAAAAGTGTACACATTATTAGCATTATGGGCAATCAGGGTACATTCACCAAACGCCTGGGTCAGATATTGGCATCAGCTGAGATCCTCTATCACCTGATGTATATAATGTTCTGCGTACTCGGTTTATGCATGCATCCATTTTTCTACAGTGTTCTGGTAAGTTGTGAATATAATGTTATATTACTGTTTGTATAATATTTTAATATTTTGCATTATCATTAAATATTATTATTAAATTATATTAAGTATAATATTCATAATTTTTGAATATTTTTGGGTACTAAGTGTAGGTGTTACACCTATTGTTTATATTTTTATTATAGCTATTGGATGTAGTATACAGGGAAGAAACGTTGTTAAATGTCATACGGTCAGTCACACGAAATGGCCGATCGATAATATTAACTGCAGTCCTAGCCCTCATTTTAGTCTACTTGTTTTCCATAATTGGCTACATGTTTTTCAAAGATGATTTTCTCGTCCAAGTAGATGAGGATGTTGTTTTCGGTGAGTATTCCTGCACCGGTTATTACTATTGGTTTTATTTAATTTATGAATATCATCGCATAGATATAAATACATACATAATGTGAATACATATTTTTTTTTAGAAACCCCTGGTACTGATGATCAGCAGACTTGCTCAACGATAGGTGATAGTGATTTTAACTGTAACAATGATGATAACAGCCTGACAAAATCTTCAATTTTGGTGGATGCAGGTGGTGGTGACCGGAAAGAAAGAGCTTGTGACTCATTGATTATGTGCATAGTGACCACATTAAACCAAGGTCTGAGGAATGGTGGTGGCATTGGTGACATTCTTAGAGCGCCCAGCAGTCAAGTACTATTCATGATTTTTTAATTATTATTAATGGTTGAATACTGTAGATTATAGATTACTATTTATTAAAGGGTTCTTATATGTATTAATATTTTACTTTTTTACAATTTACATTATAAATTGCTATTTTGAAATTAATGAATCCAATTAAAGCTACATATTAATGTTGTTCTATGGGACCTCATATTATGGACAAAATTGTGGTATTTTTGATTTGAGAAAAATATTTTATCATTAAGGTGCTCAAAAACCAAAGTGACAATGACACTGAAAACTTGTTTTCCTACATTTAAATGAAAGACTTCATACCAAAGCAAAATTATTATTATTCTCCTTCACATTTTGTCATAATTGAAATTAATTTTTTTTCAATTGTTTTTTCCACAGGAACCGCTTTTTGTGGCCCGTGTTGTTTATGATCTCCTATTCTTCTTTATTGTAATCATTATTGTCTTAAACCTGATTTTTGGTGTCATAATTGACACATTTGCTGACCTCCGTAGTGAAAAACAACAAAAGGAGCTTATATTGAAAAATACATGTTTTGTTTGTGGTAAGTATAAAAATTTAAAAAAAATTAATATTCACAGCGCTAGAAAAAGACACTGGACACACTATAATTTGATAAAACTTCAAAAATCTCATAAATAACTAGAATTGGTTTTCAGATATACTTTTCTATGCAATTATATATAAAAATGTTGTTTGCAGGCCTAAACAGATCTGCGTTTGATAACAAAACTGTGAGCTTCGAGGAGCATATCAAGTGTGAACACAATATGTGGCACTATTTGTACTTTATTGTTTTAGTAAAAGTCAAAGATCCCACAGAGTTCACTGGACCAGAGAGTTACGTTTACGCTATGGTCAAGGTACATAAAAATTGATTATTCTTGATAAAAAAAATTTCCCCTTTCCTTATCTAAAACACCAATAAAATATGAAAAATAGGACCGAAATCTGGATTGGTTTCCACGTTTGAGAGCAATGTCGCTGCTAATGGCTGCTCAAGTAGATAGTGAGGGTGAACAAGTGGAGTTACGAGGTTTGCAGACCCAATTGGAGACAACACAAACTCTGGTAGCTTTACTATCACAACAACTATCTGAGCTCAAAGAACAGGTATGTTATTATGCAAACCAATATTTAAAAAATTATAGAGTACCAACTATATAACATTATATTGAGTAAATATGCTAGATTTTGAATCTATCAAAACCACTGTATATTTTCATGTAAAATTATTCATGTATTTTTTTTAGATGACAGAACAAAGAAAACAACGTCAACGAATTGGATTGTTAAATTCAACCAGCGCTTATTATGGCATTGGTGGAGGTGGTGGAGTCAATGTTTCACGTCAGCAACAACAAATGGGCATAATATAATACATAGCAAGAAATAATAATAAATTTAATAATAAAAATAATTTAACACAATTTGCACTCAAATCAATTTTATTAGAAATCTAACACTAGTATTGGTGTAGTAATACTTAAACCAGAGAGGTAATTTATATTTACAGTTATTTATATTATCATTATAATTGTAGATAATTTTTATTATAAAAAAATTCAGAAATATTAAAGTCTGATATTTTTTTAGGTAGTACAGGGTAGTTAAATATGTTTAAAAAATTATGATTCATTATTAAGTCAAATATTGTTGAAATTTTTGTTTTAGACCAATTTATTAATATTATATAATATAGTTTAGTACTTTGTTAACAATTACCATGTTATTTATATTTGTATACTTTATATGAGGTGGAGTTATGTGAATTATATACCTATGTTATTCGTTATTTATGAATTATACTTTAATTAAAATACATTAGTTTGTTAAACAATATAAATGATTCTATATCCCATATCCCAATATGTCACTTATCATACTTTAATTTGCTGTGTACTATAAATTCATAAATATTACTATTCTTTTATAACTAATAAGGGTGCTCCATATGTTCTTATCAGTATGAAAGTGTATCTTTAAGCCAGAACATTTTTTTAATTTATAGTTTGATGCTAAATTGTACAGGTAGCTAATTAAATTTTAGAAGTATATTTTTGAAGTATAATTTTATTGCATTGTATATGCATTGTATATTTGCAGAAATTTTGTTATCACATATCAGTAACCCAGGTGTTTCAAAAGAATGAGTTTCTGCTAAATGAACAAATTCTATTTTATAAAAAAAAACCTGTGAGCAGCAGAGTTCTATCACTAGAATCAAATTTCCCCCCTGCTGACTTTTCACCATTACAGTATTTCATTTTAATTTTTTTTTTTTATAATTAATCTGAAATAGTTATGGTTGCTAGTTTTTTTTTATATTTTAGTCTGAAGGGGTATGTAAAATACAATATTTTCTGTAAAATAATGAAAATGTTTGGGGAGGAAATTGAAAGTTAAAACTCCCTAAAGACATATCTTTGATGCCTACACCATGCATATACACCCCGTTGCTTTGTAAAGGGGCTTTTCCAGAACCACAATATTCACAATATCAAACGTGGTATTGAACATACTTCCATGCCATTTAAAAATTCTTTGAGACCTAAATTATGCTTACAAAATGTCAAAACATCTACTAAAAATTTTACCTTCATATTCTACTTGAAAAAAATATATATTTCTTTCTTAAATTACCATGTAACAGCCCTCATCCTTCTGTATCAAAAATAATTTGTCCACTAAATTAAAACATATTTGTTTACCATTATCAATAAATTTTCATACCTCTCGAAAATCATTTCATATAACCTTTACCCTACAAGCTGGATCTATAAATACAGATATATTATCAAATACACTATTTAATTTGTTTGCATTAATATTACAAACTAGAAGATATGACATTGTTAAGTTTGAAGTGCAACAATCAAAAGTTAAGCTTACTAAAACACCTGTTTCTTGTAATTGTCTTAGAATTGGTCTGTACGTTTTTTATACATTATAAATAAATAAATGAACTTGAGCACAGAGAGTGTGGATAGTAAAAGCTTTCAAATAATGTCGCCCTTCGCTCAGAACCATGGCGGTCTAATAAAACTTTGCAAGTTTATAGAACTTTTCGGTATTCTCAATGGCCTAACCATTGGCCGTCCATGTACCATATAATATATTATATATAATAATACTGCACCCGGACACGTTGCCGCTATAGAGTACAAGTGAAAAGTTATGATTCACTTTAGGGAGGTAGAAAAAAAGAGAGACATACTTCGCACAATGGGTGCAGCCACTGCTGTTTGCGAGAAGTTGGGAAGGTAGGATATAGAGGGAAAATTAATTTGTATCTGGAAGCAACGATAAACCATTGCTTACTAAAAACGATTTTGAGCAGAGTTCAGTTGTTAGAGATGCTAAAATATATATTTTCATATTAAGGTAAAATAATTAAATAGATATTATATATTTTTTTTTTTTATTATTAATATTTGTTTTATATTGTACCAATTTTCCTGTTTTTTCTATGTTTTCCACATTTGCTGGGAAAACTCTTAAAAAACAAAAAATAACTTCCCTAAAGTATCTTCCCAGTCAATAAAATTGCTATCATTATAAATTGGAGCAAAATTGGTGGTAGAAAAGTTTGTTCACGAAAAAAGAAGGCCGTAATGTTTTTTTAACTAATACCTACATTTCGTACATTTTCCCGTTTTTCCTCCCTTTTTTTTTCGGTTTTTCATATTTGCTAAAAGCCAGGGAAAATCGAAAAATTACCTCTTTAAATTACCTCCCCAGTAAGATTTCCTTTTAGAAAAGTAAAAAAAAGACAACTTGAGATACACATCTTTATAGATTTTAAAATAATAGGCCGTAATTCAATGACTTAAAGAAAGATAAATAGAAAAAAAAATATTAGTATACTCTAAAAACGTAAAGCAATTAAAAAAAAAATTTTTGAACATAATCAGAAGAATTTAATTTTGAAAAATAAAATAGCTACACTGAAAAACAGCTATAATTGAGTTACATCCTTCATATAGAATGTCGAAATATACAAGTATATTCTATTTTATAAATATATTTTTTTTCTCTATAACTATGAGATTGTCTAACAAAATTTAAAATTAACACAGTTCAATTTGATTTTTTTTTTCTGATCTCTCTGCCATAGAGTGTACTATTTATCATGCACGGCTGCGGTCGTCAGATATAGTCTTATAGATAATAAAAATCGATTTACTTAGCTCATAGAACGGTACTCTCCACTGCAGGGGATTCAGTGTTTCTTCTACTGCCAAACCATTTAGTCATGTGAACGCAGTTGAAGATTTCTGTTAGTTACCGAAATTGTTGGCAATTACCGCGATTCGGTAGTCAGTACGCAATCACAGTTAGGTACCTTTACGACGTTGTGTTAAAATATAATAATTCAAGGTTTAATTGGTCATCTTTTGTTCGTAGGTATTAAAACTACTCAACCGTGGAACGGCGGTACCGGTAATAGAAGCTGGTGAAGAAAATTAAATACTGAACAGTAATCAACTTCATTATTACTTTGATGACCGAAGAAAAATTTACCTGGGTAATATGTATAACATTTTGTTGCTAACTATGTTACTATCCTCCTGCACACATTATATAATTTTCTTATAGCCGATGTGGATTCACCTTTCTTACAATTATATTTTTTTATTCCCAAACTGTAGTTGTAAGATAACATTAGATACATACAAATATCTTTATATATCTACGGTTATAAATTAAAACCATCTTTGGCGGTAATCGGATATTAAATTGAAATTTACGTTTATCTGCTTTGCCGCCATTTAAATCGATGACCTCCCTTGAATACCCCCCCCCCCACCACCAAGAGTACGCTGTTATCGCCGCGCTTCACTGGGCATAGTAGCGTCCTCTGATTCGCTTATCCCGTCCAAGCTGTGTGGTAATATGTCTAAAAATTACCGTTTAAAGTTTCTGATTACCATCTGTCTATTATTCGAAATTTTAAAATAATTAAATCATAGTGATATAATGACCGTAAAATTACCGCAACGGCATTTTATCCGCGCTTACCACGTTTGATCGTCTCCTAATTCTACGACATTTGATAATATTGTTCACGATTAAATCCAACTCACTAGAGGCCACTATAGCTCACTGGACGTCCATAGATTCAGGTAAACAATAACACACGTTCTACATTAATTTGAGCATACTAAAGTTTGTAAGACCGTTAGCCAATTATAAATTATTTAAATACCAGCGTGTGATTATCGTACATCGAAACTTCGCGTAGTCTCGGTGAAAAATCTTGATTTTATTCTACTGTTCGTTTGTCTATTCATTTTTTCTTTTATTACTATCCTCGTGATTCATTTAACATAAAACACTCATTATTTCGCAAAGTGTTGAATTAAATAGAGCTGAAAATTGGTACACACCTCAAGTATATCATTATAAATGATATTTCAAAAGTCCCCACCGATTCTATTGCTGCTATAAAATATATTTTATTCACAAAAAGTGAAAAATTATAGTCACAAAAATAGGTTTTTTTCACAGATCTCTTAAACTTTAAATATTTTCACATAAACAACTTTACATAATTTATAGATCGAGTAATTTACTAAAAAAAAGTATCTTTAGTTTTTTTTCTATGAATAATATTTCATTAGATATTGTAGTTTTTATTAATAATATTACATAATTATATAATCATTATATCTTATCGTTACGATTAAACGGAAAACTATATAAACATCATAGGTGCAACCACTGTTGTAGGGGGGAAGGTAGGATACAGACGGCAATTCAAATTTCATCTTATATCTATATATCTGTAAGCAACGATAAACTACTGATAGCGAAAATCGATTCTGAGCGGAATTCAGTTGATAGTGTTGCTTTGTCAACAATATATATATACATCATATTATGGTAAAATGATTACAAAAATATTCGTTTCCATATTCTATAACAACAATGATAAATAACAAAAAAATAAATAAAAGTGGTTGCCAATGAAAACCTTATTTTTAATCTTTCAATCTTTTTTAACCTAAAGAACAAGATTTTCCTCATTATCTCAAATATTAATTAGAATTTCAAAAAATGACCACCCAGAGAACATTTCCTTTCAGAAAAGTACTTAATAATTGGAAAAAAATTTCTAGAAAAAAAAGTGTTCATATTAAAAAAAAAAAAACATCTTTGTAAAATCAATACATTCTTCACTAAACTCAGAATCTAAATGGAAAGACTTACAAATTACATTTTATAGAAATATTTTAAATAAATTATCATTATATGCTATTACCATAGATACCCATACAGCATAGGGAATGTACTACAAAAATGTAAAACTATGTTTTTTACACATTGATATTCGAACAAATTAATGAAATTACTGGAAAATATTAAAATAGTATAAACAAGTGTTATAAGATTTTATTAATCTATCTATATAAAAACGAATATATGTCTGTTTGTCCTTTATACATTACTATTACATTTATCCGATCGCCATGAAACTTCAGGAAGTTGTTCCATGTTGTGCAAAGAAGGTATAAAGCTATTGAAATCTACTCCTATTGAATACTATTTCCTAAAATTTTGTTTTTAGATATTTTTAGTATAAAAATCTACTTAATTATTTTTATTGATTTAAGAGTTACATTGGTAACAAGGATGACTGAAAACATAGTTATACATTTTCATAGTACAATTCCTGTGCTGTGTGGTTACCTATTGTAAAAGAATATAATGATAATTTATTTAAACATTTCTATAAAACCTAATTTGTAGGTACCTATTTTTTTTTTTCATGGTTTGGGTTATCACTGGAAGGAAAATAATACGATAAGAATAAAATAAGGAACAATAAATAGAGTTCTATAATTGATAAGGAGAAATTAATAATTATTGCATATTGACAAACTTATTAGCCATGTTACGTAAAAATGTACAAAATTTTGATAAATCTGTTAACTTTATTTAGAAATGCTTTAATTGTACGGGCAAAACCCGACGGGACAGAAGAAAATAACAATTCCATTTGCGATAGACAGTCGCTATTATTTATATTGTTTTCCATATAATCGTAATGGTAAAATACAATAATTATAATATTATGTATTATTTGAACCAAACTGAAAAGTTTGGTTCCGGAACCTAAAAGACCTTAAAATATTGGCAACCGGAACGTAACCGGATCTGAATTTAAATAATTTAAACAATTAAATAAATAACAATTAATTAAACAACGGGTACTAAAAATTAATAATAAGTAATACCTATCATGAACTATAAAAAAATAGTACCTAGTTCATTAATAATAATTTGAACATTTTAAATTTGTTCATTCATGTTTAAACTTTGTTAGGTACTATGATTATTGGTTATCAGTGTTAGGTTGTGGTGTTAATACAGAGAAAATTTTAAAAATGACAGATAATCAGGATATAGGTTATGTTTTTAAAGTAGATTTAAGTTATCCTAAATAACTTCATGATCTTCATTCAGATTTCCCCTTAGCATCTGAGAATATGTTTGATAAAAAAAATTACTTAAGTTAACAACAACTCTATATGATAAGAAAAAATATTTTCTCCATTACATTAATCTTAGATTGTATTTAAATTTAGGTTTAAAATTGGAGAAAATACATAAAGTAATGGAATTTAATTAATTTTCTTTGTTGAAATCATATATTGATTCTAATACAGAGCTTCAAAAAAATTTAATAAATGATTTCGAAAAAGAATATTATAAGTTAATGAATAACAGTGTTTTTGGTAAAACTATGATGAATACAAGAAAACATAAAGATATAAAATTAATTACTGAAGAAAAAAACTAGAAAAATGGGTTGTTAAACCAAATGACTTTTATACAGATATAAAAAACAATGAACAACTTTTAAATGAATTTGATTTTTCAGATTATTCTGAGAATAATAAATATGGAATACTCTTAATAAATAAAAAAGTTCTTGGTAAATTCAAAGATATAATAATAATACAATAGTAATATTTATTTTTTAAAGAGAACTGTTCCTAGTGTAATGTTTATGTGAAAATAGTTTTTTAAATATTATTAAATTAAAGTATGTGAACGAAGAACAGAAAATAAAACAATGTGAAAAGAGATCAGGGAATAATAATCTAACTATAATTTCTGTTAAATATTTTCTGATGTTAAGTACCTAAATTACATTTTCAAAATCCGGCCCAGAACCTTTTGCATTTATTTACTACTATTAGGTATTTATTTATTTCATTGCTCCATTATCAAACTACTATTATTTTAGTTACCTCTCCACAGTGATAGATATTAGATATATTGTTACTGTTATTGTTTTCTTACAGAGTGTATAAAATAATAAAATGTCTTCTTAAACTATTTATTACTATTAAGTAAGTATGGTCGGTGTGATCAATTTATTGTAAGACACTCTATCTCGGAAAATGATATTTTTTCGAAATTTATGAAATGCCGTGCACTGACTCGCCACACAAATGATGCTCCACTTTTCTCCCACGACCTAAACTTAAAAGTAGAATATCTCGTCAACTGATTGACGGAAATTAAAAATTTAAACGCCAGAATTTATTTTAATTACTAATCCATCTATTTATGGAATTTTAATTATAGGTCGCCTTTTGAAAATCAAAAGTAGTACTTTCACCTCCCAAAATTAAGGTGATAAAAAATAATGTAAATGTAAAATTGCAGAACTATTTGTTTCTAAAATTGTTTATAAAACAAATGTCGAAAAAAGTTAATACTTTCTAAGATATTAAGTATCATATGATAGATTAATCACTCTGTATATTAAATACCTACAGATAATATAATAGTACAAACATTTGAAGTTTCACAACTATATACTTACAGTAGTATGATTACTATTAAGTTAAAATTCCGAGGATCATTATAGTGAATATCTATACTAATAGTGAAATAAAATAATATTAGAATTTTTCTAAATAGAATTACTCTGCAAGAATTTAGTGTATTGTTTTAATTAATTTTTCAACACAGTAAGTACCTACCGAAATGTTCAACGTGTCTGTTTATTGCCTATCTTATTTTCAAAATATTCTATTGCTGTTGGAAAAAATATTTCTATACCAAACCAATACCACACAAATTCTGAGTTTTCATATATGTTTGCACAATCAACTATAAAATTATATTTTTATTTTATTCATTCAGGGACCTAGTATTTACCCATAATAAATTAATGTCATTATTAATGACAATTATAGGTACCTAGTTTATATTAATTATTAGATATATAATATGACATGACAATTGTAATTTGAGGATGTGAAGTAATTTTTTTTAAAGGTAATTTTGTAAGTAAGTCTTACCAAATAAAATTAATTAATTTCTTTCTTTCTACTATTTATAATATATCTAAGGCTTTCAGTATTTATTTAAGATAATTGTTACTTAGAAATTGAATAATATTAATATTATATTTAGACAAATAGGTAACTATTTGTATAGTTTTATTGGAAAATTGACATCATGATTATTTCATATTATTTCCAAAGTCTATTATAAATCTATAAGTATTTTGTATACTTACACACATTATTTTATTATTCTTTTTTTTTTCAATTAAATTGTCAAAACTGACTTGTACACCGTGAAACAATAACTGTTATAGGTGATATTATAGGTGTTATAGGTTTGATGATTCATTAAATTATTAGTACAACAAAATAATTATGAACAGTTATCATTCTATTCATTAAATATTAACCTGCAATTGATTAGTTGTGAAAAAAGATAGCCTTCTACTATATCAGTTGTAGTAGTAATTGAGAATATTTGTTAAATGTTGTATTATTAAAAGCAACTATATTGTATTTATTATAAGGTTGTTACAATATTGAATGATTGAAATTCCCTAATTTCCATACATAAAATTAATACAGCCATGATTAAACAAAGTACCTATAGTAATAAAAAATACCAAACAAATGAGAATTTAAAAATAATAAATACAAACACTTCAAAAAAAAATGTGTCCAAAATTAATATTAATAAATATAGGTTGATATTCATTCTATGTAATCCCTGGAATGCACAAGAGATGAAATAAAATTTTTTTTATAAAATATTATACAAACCATTTTTTAATTAATATTTATCAATTTATTCATTCTTAGAATTAGAAACAGGAACTTTTCATTCACTGTTCATACCAAACAACTGAAATTTTGGAATTTAAATAATGATTGATAATGGACTGTGCTTTAAATTGTGATTTTTAGCTCAATACATTTTTTAACAAATAAATTGTTATCTCTGATAATAGTCTAGTCTATTTTTTTATCACATAAAAACATGTTCTTTTTTCCAGTTTCCAATAAAAATCTAATAATTATAATTTATTTTGTAAATGAACCACAGTGTGAACACCTATTAAAACATGGGCATCATAAGTTTTATACAAAAATAATTATTATTTTTTTACTCAACAATTGTCTTTTTATTTCAAGTGAAACATAGGTAGTTTGAAATTATATTAGTATTGCTTCAAATTAATGATTACCTAATCATAAGTACTAAGTAGGCAATTATCAGTACACCTCTAAGTCTTAAATTTCAATACAGGTGTATACAGTATGACATGCAATGTAAGGTATATTAAATTTTTTATCATTAATGATAGTTACAAAAAAATATTGTATTTATTAAAATTAGAAATGTTATTCTTACCTACCATTATGTATAAAATGTAATGAACATAAATATCTACAACAGATAGTTAAATAAATAACTTTGTACTTAACTGTCAATAGTATTAAATAATGTATGATTGTTTACTGTTTTAATTTCTCGAGCTCATTGAAAAAAATGAAAAAAGTTACTATACATTTTTCAATTGATGAATTATCAACTAAAACAATGTTATGTCTAAAATTAGATTGTTAATATTAAAATGAAGATAGTAGGATTTTTTAATATTTCATTGTAAAGACTAATGAGATTATTCAATCAATTTTTAACTGATGATAAACCTACATTTGCTTTGTGATAAAGATTATCTATTGAATACTCATTAAATAATAAGACATTATTATCAGAAAAGTAGATAATTATATCATGAATTTTAAGATTTAATAATCCATGTATATGTACTTACAAGAAATAAAACTGGACCTAATATGTTCACTTGAGGGTCACCAAAATTAATCAAAATTTCATTACATAAACAATTTTTATTTTAACCATTTGAGTTCTATTAAAAAATATGATTTAAATAATTATAATGGAGTATCTCCAATAACACAAAACTAGTATATTTGTCATTATATCTTGATTAATGGAGTCTAAAGCATTTTTTAGTCAATAAACAATCCTAATAAATTATTATTTATATGAATATACCTTGTGACATTAAACATGCCATGATTAATGTATAATCCTTTCTAAAACCAAATTAATTCTTACTAAAAAAAATTGTATTTATCTAAAAGTTTAAGTAATTTAGTTTTATAGATTTTTCAAAAAGTATACTAATTGTTAAAGTCAAAGAAATAGGTCTGTCATTATTACATAACTTTGCATTACCATTTTTAAAAAAGGGGATAATTAGAGATTTTTTTTTAAATAAGTCAGGAAAAAATCCCAGAGAAGAAACATTTATTCAAAATAATTTATAGTGGAAAAGCTAAGACTTTACTAGTGTTTTTAAGAACCTTATTAGTAGTAGAATTTACAATGTAGCAGATGTTTTATTTAATATCTTTAATACAATTTATCGATTCACATACAGAAATATAAAATAGAATTAGAAATATGCCCACCACTATAGACGTGATCAGGTGTAGGGAGGTAGGGGGTTCAAGCTTCCCTCCCATGGGCACTTGAAAAAAATATTATATATATTATGTGCTTACATAATATGATTATAATTATTTTATTTCTCAATTTTAGATATTTTCTTTTTTTATGTAATTCATTAGGTACTAATATTTATCTACTATTACTAGGTACTAGGTATTTATCTCCTTATTAGTCTATATTATTTGATAACGTGTAGTAACCATAATTAAAAAAAAAAAAATCAAAAATTCTTGACTTCTTAAAAGAAGCAATGGACCTTGCTGAAGTTATTGTTGCCCAGGAATTTTCAATGGGAAGGGGGAGTAATTTCTAGATAAATATGTAAAGGGCTATTGGCATATACCACTCTAGTTATGACATTTATTATTATTTTTAATAATTATAATATAAAAAAAAGACGTCCTAGGATAATGGGGTCGAATGCAGGCACTGTTATAGGTAATTTAATGTATATCTGTAAGCAACTATAAACTATTGCTAATGAAAAAACGATTCCGAGTGCAGTACGGTGTTCAGTTGATAGTGATGCTTTGAACAATATGAGGTGTGGCTATTAAATAATGAGACTTGTTACGAAAAAGTGTTATTATAAAAATTATTCTACATTCAAATGCTCCCCTTCAATATACTCCCCTCCCCTCGCCACACACCGTTTCATTAGTTTCTTCCATTGCTCGAGTGTTGGAAGTCTGTTTTCGTAAGACCATTCAGGAGTTCCGCCGATTTCTGTTTCACCTCTTCCATCGACTCAAACCGGATTCCTTTTAAGGCAGACTTTATCTTCGGAAACAAGTAAAAGTTGCAGGGTGCCAAGTCGGGTAAGACGCGTGTTCGAGTACTGGAGTGCCTTAAGCGGCCAAATAACGCTTCACAGACAGCGCGTTATGGGCAGGTGCGTTATCCTGGTGCACAATATCGACCGTTTCTTACGAACTCATTCGCGCAATGTTGCCAAAACTGTCAAATAGTAATGTTGGTTCACAGTTTGACCCTCTGGAACCCATTTAGTCATTACGATGCCGCTGATCGAAGAAAATGGTTTTGAATTGGATTCCGGTGCACTCTCGACCTTCAGAAAATAATTTGTGCCACTCAAAAACACACGCCCGAGATAGGAAATCCTCACTATAGGCCTCTTTTAACAACTTATAGCACTCAGTTGGAAATTTTTTTAGTTTAATGAAAAAATTTTACGTTTATCCGTTGCTCATGTTTTTCGTCACATGGTTTTCGGCACGAGAAAAAAACACGTTCGTTTCAAACCACTATTGCACAAATACTATAATAGTGACGAAAATGTGTTTTGGTACGTGCATAGATAAGATATCTAGATCCCAACGCATTACTCGTTTTTTTCACTACCCATCTAGGGCGCCCTCTAGGCGAGCAGTCTCGTTATTTAATAGCCACACCTAGTATATTTGTCATATTATGGTAAAATAATTGAATAGGCATTATATATTTTATTTAATAATATTTGTTTCATATTATACCGTTTTTCCCGGTTTTTCATATTTACTGGAATAGCTTTTAGGAAAATCGAAAAATTACCTCTCTAAAGTACTTCCCCAGTCAGATTTCATTTCTTCATCACTGAGAGTTTTCCCAATATATTTGAAAAACCAGAAAAAAACCTGAATTAAACAAATATTATTAAAGTAAATGTTTGATGCATGTGTAATTATTTATCATAATATGATATATATATATATTGTTGACAAAGTAACAATATTATTTGAACTCTGCTCAGAATCGTTTTTTTCGTTATTATTGGTTTATCTTTACTTACAGGTATACATTAAACTCCCTTCTGTATTTTACATTCCCAACTTCTTACCTAAACTAGTGGCTGCATCCATTGCATGTGAGAAGTATATCAGTTTTTTTAAGCTTGCTTCTTCCCTAAAAGTTATTGTGAACTGTTGAATTTAAATTGATATTTTTTTTTTTATAATTTTAAGCAATTTATCTAAAGCAATATTTGGATCAAGATTAAAAAATTCAGACTTCCAGTTTATACTTCTGATTGTGTGGTTTAAGTTGTCAATGTATATATGTACAGAATCCAAGTTATAATCATAGTTCATAATAATAAAATAGTAATTATTTAAATTATCACTAGTTTGTTATACTACATCTTAAAATATAATCACGAATATAAATTTATTGATATTGTTAACATAAAAGTGATCAATACAAGCACTACTAGATTTTAGTGTTGGTTACAAATAGTTTCATAAAAATAAAAGGTAGCTAATACATTAGAATAATTGAAGACATGATTATTGTAACCAAATTGGTTAATATTGACGTCACTACAAATAAAAGTATTTTTTTTTGCTTTTATTAATATATAAATATGTTTCAAGAGATTCGATAAAATTAGTTGTATTGGTAAATAAGGGGGATCTATATCAACCAAAAATAATACATGTTTGTCTATTATTATCTCCATAGTTATATTCTTGTAAAAGCATAGTTCTACAGATAACTATTTTACATGAATTATTTACTAATAAGGTGATTAGCCTTATTAGTTATTTATTTTGCATATGACATTATCAGATTATAAAGATAAAATAAAAATAAGATACAAATATATTAGAATGATCAAGATTAAAAACAAGATAGACTATGAGATTATATAACAAACAAACTAATACTATGACTCTATAGTTAAAGGTTTACAGACAACATTGTTAACTTTTGAAGTGTTAGCTTACAGTCTTAACTTCAGGTTCTCCATCCATTTCACTGCATCCTCCTCTGCTTTATGCAGTTTCTCCAGTCCTCCTTTAAATTATGTTTGTGGGCAGTTATCAACGATATGGCGTATCGTTTGATACATTCCGCATTCACAGAGGGGGGATTCTACCTTTCCCCATTTGTGCAGTAGGTAGTTGTTTTTCCCTTGTTCTATTCTTGCTCTGTTTAGCCTTATTAGTAGTAGTATAATAATGAAATAATTTATATTCATTTATTATTAAATTGAAATCCATATCAAGCCAAGTTTCACGGAGTATAATAATATGAACACGATTTTCTATGGAAATTAATAGATGTAAAAAATCATTTATATGATATATCATTTATTTTTATAGGTATTCAAATTATATTTTAAATTATTCTTCTCGACATTTATTCTTATGTATTTACATAATATATCTACATTACTTTTATTTAGTAGTTACAGTAGAGAATTCTAATAATAATTTTATTTCATTCTACATATATATATATAGCACTATAGCAGTATCTATTATATTATTTTCTACAAGAAATTTTACATAGTAAATATAATTTGTATACATTATTAAATTGACATCTCTAATCATACCCTAACGTCTCTAACTAATAATTTATAGCTGTAAGATTATTTGCAAATAGTTCTTACCAATAACAGAAAAATCAAGAAAATCGGGCATTAATTTAGGTCAACCTTCAGTAGGTAAATGCGTTAAAGATGTTTGTAACGTATTAAATATACAAACATTTTAAATAAATATAGACAATTTATGTGGCATTATATAATTAAAGTCATAATAGACAGGAGTCAGTATTACAACAATTTAATAAATATCACGTTTAACGTCCGAATACCTACTGCCTGACTACGTCTACCTTAAGCACTTGCCGTTTTCGCGAGACGACTAACCGCAATTTGATTCCAGATTCTGAATCTACATTTCATCACCCACGTTTTCATCCATGTTAGAACTCGGCAAAATAAATCTAAGTATTTTAAAAATAACTTCTAAAGTAGGACGATCTTACCTACCCTTAGCTATGGCCGTCTTTCATTCGACTTCTTATCACACATTTATGCTTAATTAATACCTATTTAACACCTTGATGGTTTTTTCAATTTTGGAAACCACTGGGTTCTCTTATCATTTATTGCTAACAGAAAATACATCAAAATAATATTTTAGTTAAATAATTAATTTATTAACTAATTTTTAAATAATAATTATATAGGTTTCCACTGTGACGATCTTAGTAATGATTTTTAACAAGTTTGTGTTATTTGATATTTATTAGTAAATACCTTAGACGAGAATGTCTATCACAAGTTAATTTTCACGTGTTTGATACCTACTTAATTGAAAACTAAAGAATACGCGCTAAACAAAGTAAGGATAATTTTATATAAATCCTTTGTTTTTTTGAGTGACTTGTTTGAATATGTCAAATTTCATTAGTATAATATAATTTATTACCTTTACTCTGCAGTATTATATAAGCCATAATAGCATATATCTAAATTTTTATCATAGTTCAGGGAAACATTAAAACAATTTAAATTGTAATCATTAAAATAATTTTTATGGTACTATTTTATCTTAGTTATACCATAAGAGAACTATATATGATTATTTAGTTTTGAAAAATAAGTTTTAGTAACTTAATGTAGAAACATAAAATGTTCATCCAATTTTTAGTTAAAACTTCTGCGTTGTAGACTTTTATAAAATAATAACACAACTATTAAATAAATTAGTTGAATTTTGTGTATTTATAATCTATATTACCTATACATAATAATTGTTTAAATAAATAGTTTTATATAAAATAACACTTTTTGTCTTTAAAATATACAATTTTATTAGAATATTGTTATATAATGTGAATATAAATATATATATAACCATAAACAAAACAATTAGTTAGAGTAATGATAGTAAAATTAATAGTAGCTATTTATTTTTAAGAAAGATAAAAATAATTTAAAAATTTGAAATAAATATATATCTTTATATTATATTACAATTAAATAATAAAATCAAAGGCAACTTAACATTAACTGTTTTCTCAGCCTTTAAATTCAAAATAATAACAAATATAATAAGAAAATTGTTACTGAATAAATTAAATGTTAATATTTTCCTTTGAATTAAACATTGAAGCATTAAGCAATTCTATAGAAACATCTTCAGACTAATTGACTATAAAGTGATTAAACAGTCAAATATCAACAGAAATATTTGTAGACATATCAGCTCTATTAAATTTATTTTGAAATTCTTGAGACTGATTGACTATAATAGAACTTTCAGAATTTTTATCAATACAATATTCAAATTTGACTGTAGAAATAATTTCTTTAAAACTTAATAGATTTGGTATAATATTAAATGAATTTGAACTAAAATCTTTTTTGAACTCTCTTTTTAAATTGTATTTTTGTAATACTATGTGACTACATAAGAAATGATTATATGTTTATTCCAATTACAGGTATCTGAATGCTGTAGTTTTATTCATAATTTACGTTAAATATATGTTTTAAGACAATGCATTATATTGTCATTAATCATACAATAGTTAATAATAAAGAGTGGGTTTACATTCTTTTATAATCTATAGAAAAGCTTTAACCAGATTTAACTTATTAAATTAAATATCCTTGAACTACAAAAATGATTCACAAAAAAATAATTTCTTTTAAATAAAATTGTATGTATTATTAAAAAGAATTACTTTTTATTTACTATTTTTATGGCCCTAAAAAAATATTATTTTATAAGCTTAAAGGAGGACTTTTAAACTCCTTTATCATTTTTTTTGCTTTTTTAAATATTTGTAAGTGCTTTTTAGGGATTTTTTGATGTTTTAAAGTGCCTTTTTGTGAATTATAAGAGGATATAAATCTGCTATCTAGTTATTAATTAAAAAATCCCACTAATCTTATGGTTTTTTAAATGTAAATTATTTAAATATGCAATATTTTCATAGGGAAATGATTTTACTGTGTGAAATGTTGCAGATACATGTGATACATTGTATCACTACATGGGAAGTATTTATTATTTATTTTTATTCTATTACTAGCCCGTGCAACAATTGCTTATCTTTGTGTTAGGTTATGTCAGAGTGGACTAACTCACTAACCATTTATTTGCCCCCCCTCCTAGAAGACTTATATTAAAAAAATCTAATTAATTATAATATATTAATTTGTGATGTAATAAATTTTGCATTATATATGTATGTAAAAAAATATTGAGAATTGGTTTACCCAATTTGTCATAATTTATTAATCAATTTATTAATTTTGATTACATTTTTGTATTTGATAGCTGTCAATCCATAATCATGGGTCATACTTATTAGGCAAAAACACCAAAAACTCGCAAAAAATATAAATATTGTCATGTTTCACAATGTAAAATAATATTCTTTGCATAAACATATGAAAAATAATTATTTGATTTCCACTCAACAGTCAATAACAAGAGGATGTAAATTTCCACATTTTCCTAAAAAAGAAATGGGAGTATGCTTTAAAAATTGATTTTAATAATTCTCCTATAAATAATATTAATATGTGTAGCAAACATTTTATTAAAGATAATTTCTTACAATTTACAACAAGTTATTATTATAATTTAGAAATAATGCTCAAATTATATAGAATATCTACCAACTGTTAAATTAATATGGAGTAACATAGGTAGGTACTTTAATATGGTTGTTACGTAATGGGTGTGATTTTAACAATTCCATAGACTTCATAGGAACATAGAAACATAGGTTTTACACTGACATCACTAGTTTTAACCTTTTAGGACACACATTGTTTCTGAACATTTTTTTCTTGGAAAATATTAAAAGTTAGCACTCATATTACATATAAATTAAAAACCAAAAAATAGGTGGTTTCACTATATTACAATGCTTCAAAGGGTTAAGACACATAGTAATGATCCTTAATATTTTCTTATATTATTATATTATTTTCCACATATCCAAATTCAATAATGAAACTTAAAATGTCAGCTCAACAACTAGAGTAAAATTTTTTTTTTTTATTTGATTAGGTAGGTAAGTATTATGAAATTGAATAAAATAAATTAATTTATTCATAAAAAACAAACTAAATTAATAATTGGCATTGTGAAATTGATTGTTATTAGTTATCAGCATTGACAGTGGTTCTGTTAGTAAAAGTAACTACAGCGCTCCTATATTTGCTATCTATCGCAAGTAAACAAATAAAAATAAATTATAATCATCATTTTCTTTCCCATTTTAACTCAAGCTTAGAACTCTTATTAAGTTTCTCTTGCTGGCATGGTTAAAATTTGTTCAGCTTTTTATCATTGATCTGATTTAATCCTCATAATAACTTAACCTGCTAATTCCCTGTTTTAATTCCGCCAATATTACTGAATCTAACTGGTATTGCCCTTGAGGCCTTAAAAGTCTGAAAATACCTTTCTTTAATTTTTATTTCAAACTTATATGAATTAGTTATATGGTTGCTTATAAGCATTGAAAAATACTTGTAAATTATTATTTTGTATCCGGCCCAAACAACTGTGGTTTAGGTTTATTTAGACCTATGTAATAGTTATTCGTTAAAACTCTGTAGTTGAATGTGTCAAAATAATTGTTTATTGCGATTAATATATATATGATTATTGATACATATTTATTTCTTAATCATATTGATTAATCGATACTATTGTTTATGAAAACCTAAGCACAGGACTAGGTTTACTACTTCTACTTATCAGATTGAGGATTTCAATAGTTCAAAACCTTCTCCAGACAATGCGGATCTTTTTGTGAAAACCGCATACAAATTGGTCTAGTAGTTTTAGAGAACGTACGTGACAAAAATGTCCATTTCACATTTATATATATAATGTAGATAGATAGATAGATAGATTTTTAATGGTTATCATGAATATAAACAAAAGAAATTGCAAGGAATAAATTTTGTTATTAAACCTCAATATGGCCAAAAATGTAGACATATTACATTTTACCTAATGATTTGTTAACTAAAACCAATTATTTCTTTTTATTGTAAAGATGATTCAGTACCCAAAACATATTTACCTAACTATCTTATTATGTATCATATGTATAGATTTAATAGAGACAAAGTAGAAAGTTAAAAAATAAGCAGAATAATAATAGAATATGATAATCATAACAAAATTATTTAATATACTTTGGATAATTCATTTAATAATAATCAATCATTATTTGTAATTCAGGAAGGCTGTCTTTAAAAAAAAATAAAGGTAGGTATAAGAATATATGATGAGAGGAGATTTAAAATACCTGGTTATCAGTGATAATCTAATTGTCAGAGCTCAACAATATTGTAATAACTGTTAGATTATGCTCATTGATTTTTTTTTTGTGTGTTATAATTCTATACAATTACTTTTAATATATTAAGAGTACATTGCAATTTGAAATTGTATCCAAACAATAGTAATTTACAATAACAACTAGTATTGAAAATATAAGAATATTTGTGACAATATTATAGGTACCTACCTATATTATACTATGAATCATAATCATAATATTAGAGTATTAGGCCATTTAGTTTTCAAATATTGTAAAAAAATGTCTAATTAGTAATCTAAACATTCTAAACAAATTAAGTTCTCAAAAATGAAATTGTACAGGAGAGATGGTAATTATGCTTTAAAGTGAAGGAGATTGATGGTTACAGTATTTTATCTGGATTGATATTTGAAATGGTGGTTTACAATATCATTTTAGAATTACATCATTTGCAGAGGTGCCAGGTTTTGAAAATATCATGGGTGGCTCACTATTTTATAAACACATGTACAGTTTTACCTAAATCTTACAATATATTTCTTGTTTTTTTTTGCCTTAAATTGTTCATTAAAAAAGTACTAAAATATAGTTATTTGTTATGTAAATTTTAAAACTATAGCATTATGGAGAATCGTAAGATAATCTACACTTTGTCTCTGCTATCAATATCATAAAAAAAAATTTATCTTTCTTAATTATTTTGTTATGAATAAAATTATTAGTTTGAGGATGTACATGACGAATATTGTATTTTTTTATAATATAAAAACCGTGGGGGTCTGAGTTCTTGCTTATCAAGTTCATAGGGGCTGCACCCCCAGAGCCTCCCTGATCATTTGTACATTATAAATATTAAAATATGTTATAATATGTTATATATAATAAACGTAACTTTCAATATTACTATTTAAATAAATAAAAGTATTTATTGTTTGTTTCAAAAATGTTAGTAATATTTTTCAAATAAAATTACTTAACAAATTAAATTTAACATAAATAACTAAAACAAAGAAACAAAATTCTATTAATATTATTTACAACAGTAGGCAACTTTTTATTAACACTTTGTTTACAAAAATATTTAAAATTTGATAAAGTTATATTACAGAATTAAATTTAGCAAATTTAAACGTAAAAAGAACATTAATAATTATTTTACTTATTAAAAACATAAAAATACTATAAATTGTAATTTGATTAAAATCAATTCTAACACTAAAATTCTGACAAATAAAGTCAGTTTCAACACTGTAAAATTGATTTATTTGGCTCTAGGTTTTCCATTACACCTTTAACAGTCATTTGAGTATCAGATTTGGTTTTATTATTAGAATGTATTTTTATCTTATTGTCTGGGAGAACATAAATGATAACATAATATTATAATATTATTAATATTATAATATTATTAATATTATTACAATTTAAAACATTATCCTAAGCTAACAACAATTTGTCTGGTGTTTGTATGATAATACCTCAGTTGTCAAACCAATGTTTTACTAAATCGTTTTTGTATTTTTCATTTAAGTTATTAGTATCAACTCTGTTGTGACTTACTTGAACACTATTGTTTTCTTCTCGTGTTGATGGAATTGCATTCAACATTTGTTTTATTCTGTTACAATGCATAATGACAAATTATTATTTAGTTACCATGAAATTCATAGAGGAAATATTTTGTTTTCATAGATGAGTCCGTGATTAACCAGGTTCATCCTAGAGGGGTGTGATCGTTCCCTCTCCAAGAGAAGTGGACTTACCAATGTAATTGGCATTTAGCATAGTTATTGGTCCTGAAGTAGATATAATTGATATAATCAATATATTATTTGACATAATTTTTTAGATTCTCAGTGTAGCAAAGAATGTATTAGTTTTACAAAGATGTTTATTTTTTTATATATATATATATATATATACTGTGAACAATTTCTACCAAAATTCTTGCTCTGATATGTACGTGTAGCACTATTTATAAAAGGAAATATTGTCTTTTATTGCAATAGAGCAGAAGCTTGCTTTGATTAATTTGAAATCAAGTGGTGCATTGATTTAACCAAATCATTGTATGCTTAATTTTCTATCTTCTGTGGAAAAATCATTCTCTAAATATTATGATAATTCTGATGCTTTTTTACTGACAGTTGACGATTTCTTTAATACTATTAACTATATGTTACATATTTTTCATGTAAAGATCATAAGACTGAAGTTCTTACATATATTATAACTAATTATATTACTATACAAATGCGACAATTAGGTATTATCGTGTTCCAAACTAGTTGACACTTAAAATTAAAAATTAAAAATTAAAATAAAATTAAAAATGTATTTTGTAACTTCTTGTATTATTCTGTGGTTAAAACAATAACCCACTGGATAAGTGAAATTTCACTTATTCCTTGTAAAAAAAAAAAAAAAACATTTAGAATTATTGTTATAATTATTTATTCACAAATGGCGTAATTGCCTTATACCGATCTTAGAGGAAACATTTCGTTTTCATTGATAAAACATACGGTTTCAGTCCATTCTTTCTTAGTCTGTGGTGTAGATAGAACTATGTTATTTTAAAATCTTGAAGTTTAGCAACTGGGTTCCGATGTCATCACTGCACATGCGTAAAATATAAAGTGTTTGTGATAATAGATATAAACCGCATTTATCTTACCACTTTACATACACAAATATGATTGTGATCCCTATTCTTTCCGGCACTATTTCGTTTCTGACGTATGCGCAATTAATACATCTGTATCAAGCACAGACTATCAGACTATGATATCAGATATAGGCTGTAGCTCTAAAACGTAGATTCAAATACTAGAAACGGTTCTTATCCTACCTGCTTAATTGGAATAAATGACACAGTTACCTTACTAGAGGAATATATATGGCTAACAGAAGCTAGTTACTAGAGGCCTTAGTTATATTTTGCTATTGTGGGTTAGTGTGACACCATTCTTAAATGAGAAAATATTGAATTTAACTTTGAAAAAAAAATATGTGTTTTATCATTATTAGTTAAAACCTCGATTTCAATGAAATCTCACTTGGCCAGTTACATCACTTGGCCTTTTAACCACCGATACCTATATAATTAAGATGTAATATAGAAATTCCTTTTCTTATTAAAAGAATTTCAGACATTTGTAATATTCAAATGCTAATTGTTCCAATATTTTGGTTTCTTGTGAAATGTTAAGTACTGTCTATAGATTACCAACTAATATAAAACTATTGTAGATTAATATTTAAAAAAAAAAAATAATAATAATAATAATATTGTATGCATATTATATGTTTTTATCACCAGACATAAGAAATTATTTATTTCAAAGTTACTTTTATGTTACTTTCTTGTAAGATAACCTAATTTTGAAATGAATTGAAGCATGAAATTATAATTGCTATTATTTTTTATTTTTTTAGGATGTCTAGCATTATAAATGATAACACAAGTGATGAAGAAGGAGACTGTTTAGACAATATTTTAGTTGTACAAAAATGTAAAGTTGAGCCTTTTGAATTCAATATAAAAAAAATTTTAAAAGAAAGACAAGAAGAAAGTGAATTCTGGAAAAAAAATGCTGAACTTAGTGAACAGATAAAAATTGTTGATGATTTATTTGATAAAGTAATAAATCAGGTTGATGTTAAAAATATTGCACTTCCTATACCAAATTTGGGTTATCATATATTTGACCATTCTAAGTACAATATATTATTTAATAATAATTCAGACTCTGGTATAATTAATTCCTACTCACAACGTCTACTAATAATGTCAATTGAGAAAAATCAGCTTCAGGCCAGTATTCACTTTTATCATTTGATGCAAGCAAATTGGACTCCAGTATTGAATGTATGTATAAATAACATTAATTATATATATATTAAATAAATTACTATGTATACTTTTATTTATATATTTATTTGCTATATTACAAGTATTTACCATTTTAATAACTTTGTTTTTACTTTATTATTTTACTATTAATTATATTATTAAATTAATAATATTAGTAAATTTGTTATTTGATTATTATTTAATTTGTTTTTAGGATTTTAAGAATATCTTATGCAATTGGGGAGCTGATTTAGATACCTTAACGAAGCCCTTGTTAAAATGTCAAATAAATGATAATATAAATATTAAAAGATACAATTTTGAATTAATATTGGATTTCTTTTCACACACTATTTTGAGAAATAATGAAGGATTTAGTAAAAATGATATGTTAATATTAGCTAAATTGACTGTTGCTATATCTCAAGACTATTATTGTGGACAAATAATAAATTCGATAAAACAATTATTTAGTGCTTGTGTTGTAAAAGCTCTACATGAAGATAGTGAATTTGAAATTAAAACATTTGCTCAAGAATTATATTTGCAATATGAGAAAGATGATCTATTACAAATAGTTGTTGTTTTATTTTTACCATTGGAAGGACCCGTTTTGAAAAAAATATATTCATATTTAACTTACAAATTATTTAATTTACTTTTAGCAAAATCTGACAACATAATCAAATCCTTTCCATCCAGTATTAATGATTGGTGAGTATTGTAGTTATTTTTAAAATAAATAATTAATAAATTAAATTTTCAGACCTAATAATCCAAGACCATAATTTAACATTACCAACAACAGATTAATTTATTTAAAATTAATTATATTTTTTATATCTACTTTTAATTAAATTTCTGTTGGTTGGCATTTATAGTATTTTTATTGATATTACATTAAAATCAATTTAAAAATGTTATTATTGGTATATATTAAATGCAGATAAAATAAAAAAAATTACAAAGAAAAATCTTAGCCTGAAATATTATATAGGTTGTGTATATTACTCTCAAAAACAATTTTTTGTTTTTTTTATTATATGACTGTTGTTTATTAATGTAATTGAAATAATTAAAACAAATAACCATTTTTTTTTTTTTTTTTTTTTTTTTTTTTTGTAGAATAATATTTTGTTTGAATATTTTATTATTCTAAACATAATTTTTTACAGGTTTATACAGGATTTGGTAGACACAAATTATTTAAAACAGATTCCAAAAAGTGAATTGGAACTAATTTTTCGATTATTGGAACATGTTGTGTTTATATTTAATTTGTATAAAGATGAAGACAAGCTGAGGGATATGTTTGAATTTTTACATGGTATCATTCGGCCAAAAAATGGATTAATAGAGCAATTTCCAGGATCTCTAAAACTTCTCAATATAATCGATCAATGGAGATTGCAATTATTTAGACTACACGTTTATCGGATAATAGATTCAAAACAGCAAATATGGTCAAATGTTTGAAAAGTTATTTCTATACCATTTTTGTATTTTCCTTCAATACAATGATATCATCATATTTTAATAGTAAATAGATTGTAAATTATCCAACCGTAGAACTCTACTCTTTATGATTATATTATAATAATAATAATAATAAATAATAATTTATTATTTTATATTATGTATACATTATTATATTATTATATTGTTATATAATGATATTATTATTGGTTTTAATAATTTAATGGAAAATTTTGTTTCTAAATTAATGATTAGCACACTAAGTAGCTTTACATTTAAGATAATACTAAAAAAATAATGTATAATTAGGAATTACATTTTATTTTCTGTTGTTTTGTTTTTATAATATAAAAATGTTTAAATTATCTTTAATAATCTCCATGTTTCTTTTTACTTCTTTACTTGATTATATAAGTAAGGTTCTATAATACATAAACAAATATTCTATATTAATATATAGTAAAATACTCATAATATTAAATATAGTTAATGTTTAAAGAATGTGGATAGTAAAATAATATTAGCGCCTATTTATATTATTTTATATAATATTTAGTATAGGTACCTACCTACCTTGATCTAAAATTTACTAGGTAATATAATATAATCATGATCCGTTAAATGTGTAATAAATATATTTAAATATTTTCATTATTTTTGCAATGAAATAATATTGTTACAGCTATAGTTTACCTTTACACTAGTAAATTTGTTTTATACAATTAATTTCAATAGAAAACGAATTCCCCAATTGAAATTTATAACTTTAAACTTCTAAGGTATGAAAAAAAAAAAAATTGTAAATTTCTTTCTGTTAATTTTTATTTGTACTTATTATTTTTGTTTAGTAAATATATTATTGTTACTTTGTTTTATTTGTCTATCATTCATTGCTATAATTATTTATTTATTCTAATTGATTTTATATTTTGGATAAATTTTACTGAACAAATTTGTTAGATATTAAATTATTAAGAGAATAATCATAGGTAATTAATTAATAAAACTTTGAAAACCAAATTCTGTTTACATATAACCAGAGTATTACACTAATAAATAATTGTAGTTTTATTTGTTTTAAAAATAATTAACTATTTCATTAAATTTCAAAACAAATTTTTTATTATTAACATAAAATAAACAAAAGTATAACATAAATGTAGAATATTAATATATAGTATAGTAATATATATATAGTATAATATATAGTATGTAGAATATAAAATATTTATAAATCAAGTAAAATAAAAAATCCCTTTACAGTTTAATGACTTTATAAATATTTTTAAAGATATAAATTTACATAGAATAAAAATATTCACAGAATTGATTTGCAATAAAATAGATAATACAATATAAAGATTACTCTTATTGTATAATTTTATGAATTTTGATAATCAATTGAAGTTTTAGTTTTTAGATTAATAGCTTTTTGAGTATATGACTGATGATTAAATTCCTGGTAAAATCCTGTTCTCACTTTTTCTGGATTGCAGACTGCATCCATAATTTTTTACAATTAAAATTAACATAACTTATTTAGTTTATTATATAAAAGGGTACCTATATTAGTTAGATGGTGTTCAGGTGAAATTTTATTTAAACCAATAATTCTAATTTTTTTAATAAATAGCCACAGGTGGTATAGATATGTCATAATTTGAATGGGATTATTATTAATTTCATAAATCTCATCCAATCCATTTGTAACATCTATTCCACCACATCAATCTAATATAAATTTAATTAAAAATAAATATTAATAATTAAAAATATTTATTTTTGAATGATAAACTGTTGAGTACTCTACAAACAAATTCATATTTTGTATCCACTAATACAATTCAAATGAGATATTTCTGAATCAAGAAAACAAAATTTATTTTCAACTAAAGAAATTAAATTTTTATCTGAATGCTCTGAAATGCTTTTAATAAAATATAATACCTGTAGATATTTGAATAAAAATTAGTTTTTCAGTTTTTACATTAAATCAAACCTTTATACCTTATGTTTTTGAAATCATCTATTTGATTCTGAGTGGAATAATAAAGGTATTGGTTTTACAACAATGTTAATTTTATTTTTTTTATGTGAACACTTTCTACCAGAAAGCATACTCTGATTATCAAGTATAGCATCTTTTCTAAAAGGAAATTTTCCCTGAGTAGTGTAATGTTATGCTCACATAACATAATATAACTGTATAATTATTTATTATTTATATCATTACAAAAATGTAACTAAAAGATACAAATATGGCCGAGTACTTGGTATTTCACAAAAGGTAAATAATTTAATAAATCTATCTATTCGAAAGGGATACAAGCTTATCTACAAGCAAAATAATTTAAATATGTGTCAAATATAATAGAAGTGCATGCTATCTGCTGCAGCCCTTTGTGGACACTACCGCCTCAGTCCTACTATTGTATATTATCTTATTTTCACAATTCAAGTATTAATTATTTTATATCGACATTGACGCGATTGCCGTCTGTTCCATCTTTTTAAGCATACAAATTCCAGTGGTTTTCTATCATTCGAGAAAAATCAACATCCAATCAATTACCTTCATTTAGAACATTCAAATATAAGTGAAATAAAATTAAGCAATAAATACACAACATCAATCGGCCCTTTGATGATACCGCCGTGTCGTCTTCATTCTTTCGCACTATATACCGTTACAATTATTTCAATACAAATTTCGAATCTATGCATAACACATTTTTTATTGTTGACCTTTTTTTTATTGGCTTATATAAACACATAAAATTTAACGGTTTTTTCCATTGAAAATGAAGCGTCTTGATCCCTCTAGAAACCCCAAGACGAACATTCTGTCGAGAATCCTGCACACAGCAACAACTACGCTCCACCAACTTCTTTCGAGGATCTTTCTCGAATAGCTAGCTCGGACTTTTAGCAGCTATAATTACTCGTGTTCGATTTATTTATTAATTCACTTTGTAATTCAACCTTTTATTTTCCTAATTGAAAAATTAGCATTTTTTTATTTGGGTGCACACAGGTGTTAAATGTTAATTAATTAAATTAGTTTATCTTAATTAAATTGTGATTGCCGTCCAACGACTCCAGGTTCACATGAGGTTATCCATAAATATACACCCTAGCGTTCCAACACCGTGGGCAGGTAATATAATTATATTTTTCTTTAGTTATTGATTTCGTCACCATTCTCGGATTCACGACTCCGAAACCCTTTCAAACATAGGAAGGAAGGTAGTAATATAACTAGTAGGCTGAACTTTTATTATGATTAGANTTTTATACCTACTCCTTTATATTTCATTCTTTGTAGGTATTTCTACGTGATTATCCTATAATTTCAAATATATTTGTCTTCTATTTCTATACTTAGTGTCCTAAGTCTACTACTTTCCCCCTAACCACGACCCTCTTTATATTTTCCCCCGTTTAAACCTCTTTTAACTCTTCTCTTATTTGTCCCCTTTTCCCTTTTTATTTACTTTCCTATATTTTGTATTACTACAGTAGTACTTTAGAGTGGTAAATTTTTAAAATTCTCAATAATATTCAAGACACTGAAGAAAACCTTAGTGTTTAGGTTTAAAAAAATTAAAAGATCAAAAATAAGGTTGTCATTGGCAACCCTTTTTGTTTATTTTTGTTATAATTGTTAAGTTTTATTATTTTAATCTTTTTTAAACAATCACTGTTGTCATAGAAACGTATATACCTTTTTGACAAAGCAACACTATCAACTGAACTTCCCTCAGAATTGTTTTGGGTATAGCGGATTCTAACAAATTATTTTAGAAGAAAACAACAACGACAATCCAGGTAACTCGACACAAAATTTTAATGATAAATTACGACTTTATTTATTTAGAACAGGGAGCACAATCCCGAATATTTTTCAGAGAACTCAAGAGCTTTTTTTGTACCATGCACTGCGCGCAGCCTTAACGAACTTCTCGGAGACATGGCATCCTCTGTACCAGCTGATATGCCATTTTTTGGCGTAACTCAAAGAATTTATACAAAAAGTACTTCTATTGAAAGATTGACTATTCTTTTAAAATATGTTTTAAGTTTTACTTTAAAGCCAATGTCAGATACCAGATGGGAATCTCGGGTCGAATCAATTAAACCTATTCATTTTTCATCAGTATACCTCACCTCTTATATTTCTATTTACCATATATTTTAAAAATTTCACGAATTCTACAACATGTCTGATGATTTAGAGGTATACACATATTTACATTTTACAAAATTCGTTCACATATATTTCAACTAATATTAATATAGTTAAATAACAAAAAAATAAATTTAAAAATCAGACTTACTTTTCAGTTGGGTTGTCCACTTTAGTGGGTGAGAAGTGGGAAAGGTAGGTTATAGAAGGGAATTAATGTACATCTGTATACAACGATTAATCACTGCAAATGGAAAAAAACGCAAATTAATAATCTAGATTCATTGAAACCGGATTTGAACTATATACGCGTGAAGTTTATATATTAGTGGGACCCGAAAAATTTAAAATATGTTTTTAAGTTGTATAATAAGACAAATTTAATCAATCAGGGAGACTAAAATGGGCGGAGAAAATAAATAAAATCTCTACATATCTTTTGATCTACCATCTTGACCTAAGAGGAGTAGTAAAACATTTTAGAAAACCCGGAAAAAAAATTATAGGAAAAATGAAAAATATTTATGGCTCACCGCAGCGTTGCGTGACCGATTTCATTGTTTTTAAGTTTTACGCTCTTTATTTTCTACCAGAAATATTACTTTAATCAAAAACAGAAAAGTGACATTTTTCGTTGAATTTTAAATCTTGTTACTCACGAAGTAATTATTTTTTTTTTTTATTCTTCAAGTGATTCTTTTAATAATTTGGAAAAAAGAGAAAATTTACGAAATATATTACGTTTAATTTGGTTTTATTGTTGTGATTCAGTTTAACATTTTTTGCAAGAAGAGTGGATGTTATCATAGCCTCG